TTCAAGTATTGACCGGGAAAATACTTTTTACTCATTTGAGATATTACGTAGCCTTTTAATACCTGGAAATTCGGGAATCACGCAAGTGACGCGAATAGACCTCAAAGATCTCTGCTCCATTTCAATTTAGGCAGACTAACATTAATACGAAGAACGGAAAGAAGTCATCAGCATTATTCCATCAAAAGTATTTATGTATCAGAAACGTCGCTGTTGACCCAAAAGACTTTTCACTCATTTGAAATATTTGAAAGCACTTAATTACCTGGAAATTCGGCAAATATTCAAGTGGAATAAATAAACCTCATGGATCGCCACTCCATTTCAATTTCAGCAGACTAACGCTGACACGAAGGGCGGGAAAAACTCCCCATCAATATTTTTCCTTTAGTGCGACGTAAATCTCAGAAATGCAGCCAAGGAAGAAAATGGGAAATTACCGAAGCTTTTGACCCAATCCACGCCACAAAACAACTCGCACAGTCTGTAATACGTACCATTTGCGGATCAAGGTGACACGCCATCAACGTGCCTCCTTCGTACTCCATCACGTAGCCAGTGTACAAGTCCTTCGGGATTCCAGAGAGATCGTCACTAAAACCGTGCAGTTTGAAAAATCCCGCGGAATACTCGTCACAGCTCACGAACACATACATCAAACCAAATTCATTGAACACATCTTTACACTGCGACACAAGCGAACCCCCGAATCCGTTTCCCTGGGAATCCGGGGACACAGCCAAAAGTGAAATCTCCGCGAATTTCGGGAACATCCTGCACGTGATTCCACCTTGCGCAGCATTATTCTTCACAAGTGTAAGCGTTTGTTGCCTATAGTCGAACAATGTCCGAACGATGAATTCTTGGGGCAGGTTGGGTAACTGGGCCGAAAAAATGTCCACCAGCTGACGGAGAAGAACTTTCTGCATCTCCGGTAACGAAACACAGTCGTCGGGAACATGAATGAGTTGGTATTGGACTTCGACGTTGCCTTGAACCTTTTGTTCAATGTCCCAGGCATCTTGAACTAGTTTCTCGATCCCCTCAGGGGTCATGACGACAGCATACGGACGTATGTCCTCTTCCGCGAACTCGTCAGATTGTTCCATTTCTTCTTTCACCAACGCTTGCTGAATTTCTGGTACCGACGGAGGTTCCTTCTCTTCACTGGCAACGATTTCGGCACTCGGGGGTTCTGCGTCATACAAAAAAGAACAGTAGTAAGCAGTTCAAATACATTGGTACAAAACAGGACCGTAAAATTTCTGAACTGAATTGTGCTTGATAAAAAAAATCTGAGAACAACCCAAGTAATTGTCCATTTGAAAGGGAAAGAAACAATTGAATAAAAAAATATCATCGCCAACTTTAACGAGGTCCTTCATTTTTCGTCGCAGTTCGAACGACATAAATTTTACAGCAAGGAATTTCTCATCGCACGTGCTTCCAGTTGCAGAACAGTTTTATTCCTTCTTACCCAGTCATATATAGAGAGAGGGAGAGAGAGAGAGAGCAACAGAAAAAGGACGGTCCAATTACCAGAAGAGTAAAATCTAACCATCGCCAAATTTAACGAGGTCTTCAATTTTTTGTCGCAGTTCAAACGAAATAAATTTTAGAGCAGCAAGTTGGTAACCGTTGTTATAAGGCAAAGAATTTCTCGTTGCAGCTTTCAGTTGCAGAACCGTTTTATTCCTTCTTATTCAGTAGAAGAGAGAGAAAGTAACATAAAAAGGGATGTTCATTTACCAGATGAGTAGCTTTCAATCAGCGGTGCTGCTGGACCTCCTTGCCAGAACGACGATTCCGCAAGCTTCAAATCCTTTTCAAACAGATCCATGAACTTCGGAAACCCTTCGAGTACAAACTGGCTTTGCTTCGGCAACGGGCCACTGCGACTGCGAACATACTCGTCCAATTTGGAACGAAAAAACGGAAGCACACCAGTGAAGAACCGAGTTCCGAAAACATCCCCGATGCTGTGCAGGTTGAAAGAACTGCAGTACAAAGGCACATAGCAAAAGCACAGCCATTGGATGTAAGTCGTATTGTCGATGAATGGCTGGATGAGGTGAGGGTCCACTCGCCAGCAATTGATGGACTTGATGAGCCCCGAGGCAGCGGCCATCATCGAGGATCGTTCTGGTGCAGGGAAATGAATGCACTTGGTATTGTAAAACTGTTGAACCAGGGCATTGAATGTCGGCTTCTCGAACGGAGGCTGGCCGAGGACTTTGAGGACATCCAACTGGGCGTTGCTTTTCTCGTTCACTGCCTTCTTTAAGATCTGGTAGAGATACCTAAAGATTTTCCGAGTTTCGACGTCATTTTCTTTCGTGAGACTGATGAAAATCGTTTCGGCATCGTAATACAATTCTAGGAGTTGCTGCAATCGTGCATCAGTCAACGAAGAGAGATGTTCGTAATGAGCTCGTTTTGGATGCAGACACCTGTTCAGAAAGGCAGGAAAAAGAACCGATCATACTAAATACGAATTTTAACCTTCGCTGGGAGAAAATGGACTGTTGAAGGCAATTTTCGAATTGCTCCTCCGAACATAAACACTCAACACTACAAAAAAGAAAATTATTGGCCCAGGTGAAACAATCTTCAGTTGAAGCTCTGAGAAGTGAGAACCCGAATGAAAACTTCCTTTTGTCTGTAGGGTAGTATTTAAAAAACGAGGTTCGTGGTGTAAATGAGTCATGGTGCGCATGGAGAAGGTCTTTAGCTTCGTCTTTTTGTCCCACGTGCACCATGAGCCCCTATTTGAAAATGTTGAAAAATACCCAAAACCAGTGCCCCTCACACATGAAAACACATCTAAGCAAAAAGTAAGAAATTAATCAAGAGGAAATGTGTGGTGCCAAGTCTCCTTGTCCATGGGAAATGATGGTTCAAGCAATAACAATCTTCGGAATGGATCAGTTGGAGATGCAACAGGAAGCAAAGAAATAGGGGGAGATATTCATCTAATTGAGGAAGCTGCCATAAATTGCATACAAATCTTAGCTGCTCCAGCAGACAGAAAAAAACAAGAAAGACAAAATATCAAGAAAAAAAATGGGTCCGCCCACAAGAAAATATTTCACAATTCTCAATTTTTAGCACAAAAAAAGATGGGGTGCTGGTCTTCGACGGAGATAGGTTTTTGGGAGAATTTCTCACACAAAAAAACTGGGGTGAGTGTTTTCCTCGAAGGCGCGGAAATACTAGTGCTCTGGTAAATACTGTTATCCGTAAAAAAGACATTCATTGCAGAAGTGGTCCAGATTATTAGCAAAAAAAAAAAAAGTCAGTTTGGACGCTGTTAAAAGGCTCAACGCTCTTTAAAGAGAGGTAGGCAGCGTACGCGTCCAGTGCAACATGAACGTCAACCATATCCAGCGCTCCGTGAGCTCGAACATTCCTGCGCCCCAATCCAGGAGTTCTTGCTTCCGATGATGAATAGTTGACCTAGTGAAACGGGTAAAGGTTGACCCAACCATCGGAAGCCCGGTGGCACGCTCTTCTCCCCCTTCCTCCATCTTTGTTCCAGCTGTGAAGAAAGGTCAAGTCGAACCTCTCTTTTTCAATAAATTAGAATGCACTTCGATGATATTGGAGGTCGAAACACAAACATACCTTTCGTAGGCGGGCGTAAACTACGGAAGACGGACAGCACGCTTTTATCACTCGCGTCATTCACAATCGACCATCAACTGCACGACATTAGGTAAATCTGAAAAAAGAATCCGAAGCAGTGTCCTCTTTTTGTCCATGGGTCAGTTCGCTTTTGTCTTAAGTATCTATACCGCTACAGACCTGGCTTTTCTCTTCGCATTGTATCCGAATGTTGAAGGAGAGTAAGCTGCTGTAATTCTCAGAAAGGACAGCATTCAGCAGAAGTCAGGACTAAGAATATTCTGAAGGGGCAAGCCACAAGGAAAATCGTCGTTGAAGTACAACGAACAAGGATCCAAAAAAATGTCAGGGTCGAATTTTTCGAAGAACCGGATCACTTAAATGTAAGAGTCAGGCTTAGAAGGACGGCAGATCTGCTCAGTAAGACCAAAAAATTAACCCCATGAGAAGTCGAAGAAATCCTGTACTGAATTCTGAAATTTAACAATGCTGCTCAGAAATACCCTACGAACATTAATGCAAACGATGACACACTCATCCGAATACTTTGCAAAACAAAAAGAAGTTAGCAAGGACAAAACCTAAGAACCAAAAATCCCATAATATATTATTTTTCGCTGAGAACACTCAAATGAGGCAAAAAATATCCGTTAAAAAAACACAGAAAAAATTCTAGACCATATAAATTAACTTCTGCGTCGCCGATGATCTACATGCTTGTCACGTCTTCGGTCTCGGGACCTGGAACGCGATCGAGACCGAGTCGACCTCTTTTCTTTTTTAGAATGCTTCTTTCTGGAACTTGATTCACAGGAGAAAAACAGGTACCCAGTCAAGCGAAAACAGAATTCATAGATATGGCGATGTCTGGACCGAAAAGAGAAGCGTAACATAGGCTTACAACTTCCTCTCATTCGACGACATTAAGAGTCTTCGGACAGCATTCAGCAGAAGTCAGAACTAAGAATATTCTGAAGGGGCAAGCCACAAGGAAAATCGTCGTTGAAGTACAACGAACAAGGATCCAAAAAAATGTCAGGGTCGAATTTTTCGAAGAACCGGATCACTTAAGTGTAAGAGTCAGGCTTATAAGGACGGGAGATCTGCTCAGTATGACCAAAAAATTAACCCCATGAGAAGTCGAAGAAATCCTGTACTGAATTCTGAAAATTAACAACGCTGCTCAGAAATACCCTACGAACATTAATGCAAACGATGACACACTCATCCGAATACTATGCAAAACAAAAAGAAGTTAGCAAGGATAAAACCAAAGAACCAAAAATCCCATAATATATTATTTTTCGCTGAGAACACTCAAATGAGGCAAAAAATATCCGTTAAAAAAACACTGAAAAAATTCTAGACTATATAAATTAACTTCTGCGTCGCCGATGATCTACATGCTTGTCACGTCTTCGGTCTCGGGACCTGGAACGCGATCGAGACCGAGTCGACCTCTTTTCTTTTTTAGAATGCTTCTTTCTGGAACTTGAACTTTCTCGTTCACGCCTTCTTTCCTGGTCGCTCCGATCGTCGTGTTTGTCCTTCTTCGGTCGTACATCCGACTTTACTTCCGGCTTCACCACTAGTACTTTTTCACGTTCGACAGCAACTTCCGGTGCACAGCCTCGCATGACGATGTCCTTCACTTCTTCGTCTTCGATTTTATCTGTATCTGGAGCCTTGTAGTCCGCCACGTGGTCAACTCGGATCGTCCGACCGCAAATCTTTCATATCGAGAAAAAAGACTGTCAACGCACGAAAACCAAACCAATGAACGAATTGAAGAACATGAACATTAACCCAATGAACTGGAAAAAAAATTCTTTAAAAAGTCATGCGATGGTAAGTGCCGGGTCACATAAAGCGTGAACCAACCCTCAGAAGATGAATTTTTGAATATAAGTACAGCATCGATAAAATCACCTTGATGGTGTTGAAATTATCTACAGCAAGAACTGTGCTTCTTTGATCTTCGTAGCAAATAAAAGCAAATCCTTTGCTTTTTCCTGACGACTTGTCTCGTACAAGGTTTATGTTAGCAATTTCACCGTATCTGAGAACAAAGAAATGAATATATCATGAGGGCACAGCACACCGGACCACCGAAACCTCGAGAATTCTTACTGAGAAAAAACTGAGATCACGTCGCCTTCCGTCAGGTCGTAGGGCAAACCTCCAACAAAAATCCATGCCGAGTTTTTGTATTGATCATGCCAAGAGCCTCGTTTACCAGCATATCCCATCTCCAACTCCAGCTTATTCATTTTCTGGAGATTCTTGGCATTTCTAATCGAAGAAAGTAGCAATTTAGTAAAATAATCCTTTTCATAAGATAATCCAAACAACTCACGTGAGCGGATTCATCTTATCCGACGGAGGGGAAACCCTTCACGAAAACAAAACGCACCTTACTTCAAGATGTACTCCGCGGATTTCAAAACTTCTATCTTTTCCTTAAAAAAAAAAAAATATTTCGGTCTGTATAATCTTCAGCTTCACGATATCCTTAAAAATCAGTTGGTACTTGGGCGATTATGCACAAAAAAAATGACTGGATTACGGCGTGGGATGAATCTTCATCCTTCAAGAACGTAAGACAGAAAGCTCGAAAGCCTGTCCTCACGGAAGAATCTAATCGGAAAAGAATGTCACGCACAGGTAGAATCTGTGTTTTTAGACGTGACGTCTGAGATCATTTCATCAGCCAAATAAAGCGTATCTATCACAATACCTCCAGTTGACAGCATAAAAATCCCCCGAGATGATCGTGGGGCAATTAGAAATTCTAATTATAAAAAATTAATCATAATCTGAAGGTTCGCTCAAAGAAGCATAAGCCAACCACAATTCTTCACAGCGGCTTACCGCCCGAGCCATGAACGATCTTGAAGGAAAAATATTCTTTTTCATCATCCATACCCACAAGAAAAGACGTACCAAATACATTCCAACCTTTTCTGAACAAGAAACCCGAAGAAAGAGGAAAACTTCCACGGGTAGACGGTATCCCAATCTTTCTGGCACAAAATCTTACACACAAAATTTGTAGATCACTCCCAAATAAATAAAAACAGTAAACTAAAAAAAGAAGTCAAGTAAATAAAAACAGAAGATGCTCGGTAACATACAATTAAGAAAATTCCTGATACATGAAAATTATAAAATTCTTCGTTGTTTCTGGCGGACGCAGACAGCTCCATCGGAAAGGGAGAAAAATTTGAATTTTGAGGGTATCTTCGACACTATTGACTGTTTTAAATCAGCTGACAATCGCAAACAAAATATTTGACACGATTTGCGCCAAATGAAGGATATAAATATACCCGTACAAAGCAGAGCATCGGCGCTATTTTATAAAACGGAAGAAAATAAAGACTGCTGATCAGCAGCCATTTCAAGCGCACACAATTTTATGCTACAGTATAACTTTCAAGAAATTTCTCGACAAATAAACCATCAATTTCAACTGTTATTTAGATTAGAAAGTTGTGATACGACAAATTAACCTCGCGCTTATCCAGATGAATCAATTGAAATGGTCACTCAATGTTCTCCTCGGAATCTGGGTCATCCTCGGGCGATCCCCAAAGGCGTAAGACGTTCCTCGCAATGCTCAAAAACTTATTTTCTTTGGGGTGCGCACAACCATTCACCAGCGAAACTTCTGGGTGGTCCAATGTTAATACAACATTCGAAGACACCGTCCTCCAGAACAAAAGCTTTCCGTTTTCGGATCCCCCCACGATTAAAGAGTCATCAAAGTTCGTCATGGCTCTCACGTGGAAGTCCTTCGCCACGTGGCCAACGTATTCGGCCAACAATTTCCCATCGACCTTGTCGAATAACCGAATACAATTGTCCATCGTCGACACCAAAACACACTGAGAATCACTCGAAAACTCCGCGTCAACCACTGGAGCTCCAATCGTATCAGTAATCTGCTTCCCATTGCGTAGGTCAAACCGCCACACTTTCCCGTCGAGACAGCCGAAAAGCACTTCGGCTTCGTCGACAACCGCAGAGGTCGCCGAATCGCCAAATTTTCCGAACGTGATAATGGCGGACTTGGACTTGGAGCGAGTGTCCCAAGCAGCTCCGGTCGCATCAGCACTGGCAGAAATCACCACTGACGATAACTCGTTGAAGCACACGCCGTTGATTTTCCCCGCGTGTTCTCTCCAACGTTTCAAGGGAGCCGCTGTGGCGACATCCCACAAAATCACCTGGAAGTAAAAAAAAATAAATAAATAAAATTGAAGTTGAATGAACACTCCCATTTGAAAGTGATCTGCTATCAAACGGGCGCAGGAGAAAATCCCGCGGCTCGAAAATCTCGCAAGAACAAAAATGTGTAGAAAATCACACAGCTTATATTCAGAACCGATGTCGAGATTAAAGCTCCAATGAAGGCTACATATTGTACTCGTATTTCCCAGGCTCTTGATAAAGGTAATCCTAAACTTTCAAAATGGTTCGAAAGAAACACCAAACACACTTTCCCAATGCGGTGATAAGAATATTCTTGTTCTCATTGGTTTTTTGCATCTGGATTTTCATTTATACTTGTTTGACTCAGAAATTTGTCTACACACCATCCTACTAAGGTTACCAAAAGAGGCTTTCTCTGATGCATGAATTCACGTTACGGAATTTCTGTACCCCGCGAGCTTTTCGGGCCTGCGGTATTTTCGAGCCGCGTGATTTTTTCTCTTGTGATTTTCTCATGGAGCCCATGTAGTATCAAACATATTTCTTGCAAGTTACCGAACTCCTAATTAAAGTTAACAATGCACGGCTTCAGCATTTAAGCTCCCACCTTTCCACAAGACATGCAATGCTGAAATTTTGTCAAGGTTTGAGTCGGTTGAAGATTGTATTTGTATGCCGGACTTTTTGAACAACGCCTTATTTTGGGTGGCTGGAATAACATTGCCAGGACTAACCTTGTCAAGCTGGAATAATGTCGTGGAGCTTTAATGTCGTCAGGAATATCATCATTAGGAATAACATTGCATTTGGGAATTCTTTTTCTGCTAATATGGAATAAAATTGTCAACATATTCTTTTTCCTAAAATTGGAACAACCTTGTCGGTTGTTAACAGGGATGTTTTTCATACAATTCTTGTCCTGATCATACAATCAGGTATCATAGGGGAACAGGGAAGAATAAAATGTACCAGATAATTCCATTAGGGAAGAATAAAATGTATGAGATAATTCCATTTTTATCTTGACAACAATACTCCGGTTCAGGCATACAAGTTTTTTCCAGTTCTTAAGAAACTACATTTTTCCTTTACCATTGTAGGAGTTTTATCTGGATTTTTTTAAAGGATTATTTTTATGACAACTTTCAGGATTTTTTAGCAGTACCACGTTAGGCCAGTTATGCAGAAAGGGAAGCTTTTTTCACGATATAATTCCTGCAGAGGCTGGACGACAATAAGCCCGTTTTGAAATTACTACGTAATTCCACCACCCCCTTATTTTTAGGATGTTGGATGCGACTTGCGTTAGATTAGGTTACTAAACACTCGGACGTTAGATAAGGTTATTCCAGTTTTAGGAATAGTACAGATCCTTGTCCATCTGTTCCAGGTTTTTTTTTGTTCGGTCAGGTTCATACGGTTCGAAGTTCAGGTTCATTCCATGTGAGGTTCAGGTTCATTCGATGTGAGGTTCAGTTACATTCGTTCGGGTTATGAGATTATTTCGGTGTAAGGTGAGTTCTTTTAGATAAACTTGAAGCTAGATTAGTTAGGGGTCAGCTTAGGACAGATGAGACACGTAACGTGAACATTCCACTAGGTTTTCGCATTTGTTGTGCAGGTCCTGTTTTAGGAGAAGTTCATTTGAGGCAAGGCTTGGTTAAATTTTGTGCTAAATTATCAACGGAGGTGTTAGATTGAGTAATACTGAACAAATTTCAAGAGATTTTAGTGCTAGTTTAGGTAGATGAAGTTTTCCGTTAGTTACGTTACGGCAAACTACGCTGTCATGGTCACCACGGAGTTGCGGAAAAAATATCAGAAAATGATGTAAGCAGCTTCATTCAGGAAGTTAACTACAGTACTGTGTTCGGAAACAAAATGAAATATCTTACAAAATGTAAATAGAGAACAAAATAAAATGATGAAATGGCTCACGGTTCGATCTGCTCCTCCAGAAGCAATGCTTCCATTATCACCAGAACTCCTCGCAACTAACGCTTCACTTCCGTGACCGACGTATGACTGAAGCAGCTTTCCCTTGTGCGGGTTCCATAACATCTGGTAAATTCAACGATGCGATCAATGGGTCGGTTGATTTTCCTTCAATAATTCATCCTCACCACACTTTTGTCACTAGCACTCGTCAAGCAGTAATTTCCATCCACGTTCCACGCGACGGAACGGAAGGCTCCATTCTTGCAATTCAATGTATGCTTACACTCGACTTTAAACTCTTCAGACTCACTTTCCGTCGGCATTTCTCACTAAGGGAGAAACAAGAAAAACAAACTCGAGCCAGTGCGTGTCTGGAAACGATGACGCGCGGGACTCAGAATTCAAGGAAAGAAAAACGCCACAAATGTTGTCATACGAAAAAACAATCATTTAAGCACAACACTGAACAAAATCTGAAACTAATCAAGTAGACGCAGGTGCAGGAGGAGATCGGTTAGCAACTTCCTTGTTTTTCTCCGCAGAAGGATTGCTAACCTCGAACCATTCACCTCGCATGTCCTCTTTCCACAAGCTAACTTTGTTGTCGCCACCGGACACGGCAAGAAGTTGACCCATCAAGGACCAGCTAACGTGCCACAGCACGTCGTCAAACACGGGTAGCGTACATGAAGTCCACGATCCACTAGACCGTCTGCAATCCATGAATAAGTCAGAAAATCGTGATTGTCGAAAGAGCTGCCATTTTAAGCGAACATACGAAGTGACTGATGATCAAATAAAACAAGATTTTATCAATTGTTACGCTCGAATTGAAGAAAAAATATCTGCTCGCGAGATTCAGACGAACGGTCACTTACTTTACAATTACATAATATTTGCAAGGCTTCTCAACCTTTCTTTGGATTGTTCAAGATGCGATAATTATGTCATGCCATCTCTTGAGCGTCAAGTACAACCTTCGGCTTCAACTCGGATCACGGACATATGTGGAGTAGGTCATGAAGATTTAACCTTCTGAAAAATGTGCACTTCCAACTCCCCTCACAACGTCCTTCACGTCACATTTAAATTTAATTTCTCCCTTCATTCATTTTTATTAAATCTTCAATACATGGAAAGTACAGTTCACTTTAAAATTTATGTACTGCAGGCGAACTCTTTACAACGATCTTCTTTATGACGATTCTCTCTGTATAACGATCTTTTGTGGTCCTACAGGGTTCTCACCTTATCTTGTACGGATTCTCTACAACAAAATTCTCTCAAGACCAACGAATTATCTTGTGGTCCCTTATATTTCGATGTAGAGGGAGTATTCGACAATAAGTTGAAGGAAGAAAACAGAAGGAAGCCAACGTTGTTCATGATGATATATTGTAACTCAACCACACGAAAATTAGGTAGCAGCTGTTGGTCCAATTTGTGGTAAACTGGAGTTTTTACGAGAGTTTTGTCGAATACAGGAGGACTCTCCCTATATACAATACAACAAAATTCTAGGGACCAGAAAATAATTCCTTGTGATCTTGAATATAGAATTTCGGTACTCGAAATTCAAACGAACATGAAAAATTCTTTTTAATCTTATAGGGAGAATTTCGCAGTAGATAGAGTCCGCATGTATTCGACAATACTCGCATAAAAACTCCAGTTTACCACAAATTAGACCAAAAACTGCTTCCCAATTTTTGTGTGACTGACCTACAATTTTTCATAATGAAGAACTTCCACTTCCTTCTGTTTTCTTTCATGCGAATAAACCCTACGATCAATATCATCACTGCAGTACTTCAGTATACTAAGCCGGAGAAAATAGTTGCCAGATACTTTCTCACACTTCGATCGTCCATTTTCTACATACAGTTAACGTCATACTTCAAGTGTATCCTCCGCTATGGGAAGGTTTTTTCAACGAGTTCTTATGATACGGTATTAATCGTTTGAATGGGCGTACATTTTTCGACGAACATTTCGTCTAGTGTTTCGCAAGCGAATCTTGTCACCACTGATGGAAATACACACTCCGAATTTTCGAAGACAAGTTTAATATTCGCATAAATATAACGACGTAAGATCAACTCACCCACTGTCCTCAGTCCATATGACGACCGTCTTGTCTTGAGAACACGACGCGATAACATTCAACGGCAGGCCGGCAAACGGTGCCCACGCAACATCCCGAACCCAATCTGTATGATATTCGAGCTTTGTCTCTTCTCGCCAGCCGTCCGACGTTTCCGACCAAATCTTTACGCAATTATCATTCCCACCGGAAGCGAAGCGACGTTGAACACCCGGGGGTTTACGAGACAAATGTAATGCCCAGGTGACGGCGTTGCAGCCGAAATTGTGAGCATTCTTGATCCTCGTCACGTCCCAAACCCCGTTCGTGCTTTTGTGAAGGCTTATGGACCCATCCGAGCTACCCGCTGCGAGAATGAGCCCAGTCTCCGACGGACCCCAGCAAACGGAGTTCACAGAAGCATCGTGCACCTTGGACTCATGCAGTCTGTTCCATTTACCGCCCACTTCTTGCCTATACAGTATTCCACGCAAATACACGTCTGCTCAGGGAACTCAGGTGGAAAAATAGGGTTTACGATTGTTCCTCAATCTAGCCACATCTGTGCACCAGATTTCGATTCACCTCTTTAATAAAGCGCGCATCAATTATGTTCAGCGCATTAATTAGTCGACTGAATATTCAAAATTTTAAATTTTCAGAAAATGCATAAAAACGCCCCGAAAACACGTGTGAAAAACCCACAACATTAAAGATTGCGAAAGAAGCGTCGAGAAAAATCTTAGGACACATTAATAATGTAGCAAGAATTGTCACTTCTTCCATACATCAAAATATTCGAAGATTTCCTTGAATGGCATCAAATTTAGCCACATCTCTACATCAGATTTTAAATTAACGCCTTGAATAAAAACACCGGCTAAGAATTCTCATCAATTCTTTCGCGCAATAAATCAATTGACTAAAACGTACAGTATTCAGAATTCAAAAATTTCCAGAAAACGTTTAAAACGCTACGAAAGCAAACGTAAAAATCCCCGATTTGTACCAGATCACTCAGATTTTAAATGGGCATCACGCAAATTCTTGAAACTCATTAATAGTGCCACAAACATTTTTACTTCTTTCTCACTCCAAAAGATTGCTCGGAAATGAAAGAATGTCATGCATACAAACATCTTTGACCATTCGGTGATAAGAAAATAAATATTTTAAGATCATAAAATTGAAAGGGGGTTCCCAGAAAGTTACTGCGTACAGGATAAGACAAAATACTTCATTTTTATTTCCAAATCGTGGATAAAACAGTAAATTCTAGTAAGTTTAAAATAGGGACCATAAAATTTTTGCATGGTATGTGAATTTGTACCATTCAACCCTCGCCTGTTACAGTAGAAATACTCATGGCAGACAGAAAGAAGCAAAAGAGTGATCCAACATAATATGACTGAACGTAGAATCGAGATTTTGTGGTGACTGTCAGGGACATCTACCCGTAATGAATCGATTCATCCCACAAAAGAATTGCGCAAACATCAGATGGAAAACCCATTTACGGGTGACAGTATTTTTTCAGTATCACTATACGTATTTTACATATCTCCTGTAGAATCGGAGGATTGAAAGATATAAAAATAATTTAATTCGAAAAGTACAAAAAAGCTTATTCACCACACGATGACCCTCTGGTCGTAAGAACAAGACGCCAAAATAGAACCAAACACAGAAGGAGCCCAAGCAAGTTGCCACACAGGACCTTCGTGTCCTCTCAGTTCGGAGACGAATTCTTTCGTCTGAACGTCATACACTCGCACGCTGCAATCAGAAGAACAAGTAGCGAGGCGGAAACCCAACTGATCCATTTGCGCGTCATGAATGATGTCCTGGTGTCCCGATTCGATCGTGGACACTATTGACACCGTGTTCACCATGACGAAACTCTCAGGTTGACGACTGACGGTAGTTTTTCGTACTGATGACCTTTTTACCACACATGGAACAGATTCCTTTCTTGTACGAGCAACCTTGGCAATAGTGGGAACCCGACTGATGCACGACTTGGCCGCAGATCCTACACTTGTTGAAGCCTGCTGAGTAGGGATTGTATCTGTTTTTCGTTGCAGTTAGGGCCTTGTTTTCGTTCACTTTTCGTCCGCCGCCTTCGGTCGTGTTCCGGGCTCCGGCTTTCCACGGGTCGGGGGTCACGACTTTCCCAAGCTTCTTTTCACAATTCGCACAAACCATATCACATTGAAATCCGGTTTAATGCAGATCGCGGAACTGTAAACCTGCGGAATAGTCAATCACTCATGAAGTACTGCACAATAGAAATAAGTCGGCAATTAATTACGTTATTGAAATCAGTATGAAAATGTGACCACAACACACGAAAACAGTGAGTGCAGCATGAATTTTCCATAATATTCGGGCAAAGTTCTCATCACTAAAATCAGAACGGATACATTTCAGAAATTTTCCACATTAATTTGTAATTGAACACTTTTCAACACGCTCTACTTCGCAAGAAGCGAGCAATGTACTTTACCATAAAAAATTGGAATAGCAGCCTCAATTTGTTGACGGACGACGAGAAATCAAAACTTCATTGCTTGAAAAAATGAGCGAAGAACGATGGATTTAAAAAGAAAGCATCGCTTTATTTAGCTCTAAACACCAATCGCGCTCATCGACGGAAAGAATGAGAATGAAGAAGCTATAATAAAAATCCCCCAGTTTAAACAAGACCCAACCACAATATCTACAAGCGAAGTGATGGTCCCTCCGCAAATGACACTCGCACCGAAACATTGCCAACGTTCCCATTGAATCTACGATTGATCAAAAAACACGCAGTCTTAAACGAGTTGGTCAATTTAAAAAAAAGGCTTTTCCACCATCCTTCATTCAGATTCACAAAAATTTTAATCGGCCCTTTCACCCGAACTGATTCCAAAACAACGTCCACGATTCGCGATCCGAAGGCTCTCGATACTGGATCAAGGTTTCGTTCGCAAAATACGCCTTCTAAAATCATTCGAATCGACGGAACTTCTTCTCCGAAATCGATAGCTCTTTTCTTCACACTAAGAACATTGAACAAATGAAACAACAACAAAATACCATGAAGGGAGAGATAAATCACTGCTCGCATTCGAATACAAAAAATAACGGACAGCTTCAAACAGCGGGCGTAAAAATGTATTAACTCAAAGACGTGAGAAAGACCTGAAACATCATTCTCCACCGTGAAATGACATTCCGTACATAAACTCAGTTCGATTAAATCATGGCATCTTCAAAAAATGATTCCGTGGAATTATCTTTAGTTTGACAGCTCTACTCATCCCGAGTGCTAGACTTATGGTAGCCTCAGAAAAATGTTGACCACAGAAATATTCAAGATATACGATATATATACAACAGATGTTCAAACGCTCGGATGCACTTGAATCACAGATTCTGAATCTCAGGCTTCTCTCAAATCAAGATAACTGTTCATCCCCAGCAAAATAAAATGCCATCCACCTCTTTTCATTTGACGTTTTCTCAACAGAAAAAAAGGTCTATTTTACAAAAAAAAAAACGGATACTTATTTTCCAATCGCTACATTGGCAATGGGACGACGATCTTCATACCCGAGAACCAAGCATCCAAAATTTTTACCGTCTCAGCTCCCAATGATTTCCCGCTTCGCATTTGTTAGTCCCGCAAACTTTTTTTAGACGGAAGTGTAGCCGTTCTGGCGTGAACGACGGCGGCCGATGATGTAGGCGGCAATAACGACAATCACAAGTCCGGCCAGAGCACAGCCAACAGCAATCGGAACCACGTCAGACGTCAGGCCACGATCCAACGAGCAAGTCGTCGCTAAACAAATGAATGCAAGTCAAGACCACATCTTCTCGAACACAACACAACACGTAACATCGCCGATTGACACAATCGCATGAAAAGTTGAGAAAAATCACCGTATTTACTCAAGTAACACGCGTCCTCGAGTAGGACAGGCACCAGGAGTTTTCAGTCAATAATTCAGATAAAATTTTACTCTGGAGTAAGACGTGCAACACATTTTAGTGAATCTAAAACTGGAATATTTAAAAATGAGAAAACCCAAATTTAAACTTAGACATGCTTTGAACCTGAATTCAACCATTTAATTTACAATTTTTCTACACAAAAAACAAGTTTCTCTGTTAAAATTGGTCAAAATTTCCAATTTGGATTCAAGTAGAGAATAATACAAACCTAATCATATAAATCTTTCTGAAAAATGTACTGTACTGTATACCCACCCATGCCAGGCACCCCCCTTCTTCCCTCTTGAATTAGAGCAAAAAGGTGCGCGTGGTACTGAAAAATTTGACCAAAACTGCATTTCCTTCTTAAATCCATCTCGAAACAGCGTACAACGGAAAAACTTGTTTATTACAAGAAGTGATACATCAACATGCTAAGATCGTATATACATTAGATCATAACGCACTGAGATCAGAATCGACCTTTGAAGAGTTTGAACTCTGACATCGGCCAAATTAGAGAAATTCAGAGCGATTTAAGGGTACTCGGTCTCCGATCGCATCTCACCAGCCTTCATGTTCTGAACTCAAAATCAAAGAACTTGGACATGAGCAATTCCACAACAACGATTTCACGCCCGAGAACATCTCACTCAATCAAAACAAGACCCACCAGGAAGTTTAATCATCACCAACACGCAGCTGCTCGAAAATACGGAAAATATCTCACCCGCGCCGAAGCCTGTTGCAGGCGCAGTTATGAAGGGCTGCACTTGAACGTCTTTAAACAGCAAATAGCCGTCAACAGTTCCGGTAGCATTCGAGGCAAATGTCTGCTCCGAGTAGCATCGATAGGAGGTATCCACAGGAGCATGCACGAATGCAGCAGCAACTTCAGGCTTGAGCGAAAAGGAGAATGGTGTAACACTGCTTGCTGCGGGGAATCGCGCGGGATCCACAATCAACGTAGCCGTCAAAGTGGACAAATGGAACTCTTCTTTCGTTGCGTTCACTGCAGTGGACTTGACGAACTTCATAACAACGGTGTTCGTGCCACTGGTCATGTTGGAAGTCGGCCAAAAGAGCGTCAGCGAGTCGTCGCTTCCAGTAGCTAGAGCAGAAGTCGGCAGGACAACGGTGCCGTTCACGAAGCTCTGAAATGTATCAAATAACTTGATCATTGAATGGAACCGTTCTTCACACTAAATCACCAACGGCACTGAACAAAATAGGTTACCAATCAAGCTGCGTATCTTTTCGAACCAAAGACGATCGTGCACCTCAAAACTGTAGCAACTGATCTTCCACACAAGAATAGGCACATATTTGTATGGAACCACACAAAAATAGAAGAAAAATAAATGCGCCATCTGTTTGGATGCGATAGGAAAAAGGAGCTGAAAAACCAATGTAACAGTGCCTCATCACAGTAATGCACACAATGCATGAAAACTTGAAAACCAGTCATTTTCCAATATAAATGCACGTGTTGACTGTTGGGCAAATAACTTTTTGAAGATACCGAATTCTTTCGAAGACATTCCGCAACAACAAAAAATTCCTCTATTTTATTACCCCATATATTTTATGAAATTCGTGGGATCAAAAATACTGGCACCGGCTGCTAAGTAAACTGGCTTTCCGTTGGAATAAACGTGAGCTGAAAAAGAAAGAACTTACTCCATTCGTCTGTTTGTAGGGAATCGTGAAGCGCAGTCCAAAATGCGCACGGAAGACTTGTGTACCATTCGCATTTGTTACATTCCACGTTCCGGCTTCCACCTTCTGGGGTGCAGGCGGCGCAGGAACAGGTGCTGGAGCAGGCGCAGGCTTTGTAGTTGTGGGTGCCGTGGTTGTTGTGGTTGTTGTAGTTGTTGTAGTTGTTAAAGGCGTTGTTGTATTCGTCGACGGAGTTGTACTGGTTACACTCGTAGTGCTATTGGTCGGGGCAAGAGTGCTGGGGACATCTGCAATTTTTTTAAATCCCTTTAGCGCGCAAAAACGAGTAAATATTTCGAAGATAGCATCCCCTAGTTCATAACAATCGTGTACTAAAATGACATACATACCCGTACATATTGGGACTTTATTTTAAAATATTATGGGGCTTCAAGGACGGCGTTAATAGATCGAATTGATTGCATGGCGCAACGCCTCTATGAGTTCAAGTAAATTATTCTGAGTACAGTATTTGCATCCATTTTCAACACTAAATGATCACTTCTTCAAACTTCAGATAAAAACTGGATAAGAATGACAATGTCATCAATTTATCTACACCTTGATACTTTAATTGCTTCTCGAAAAACTCAATATTAGGCGATGCGGCTTCAAGTTTCAGAACGAGTACATCTGTATGGTAGATCGTCGTTTCCGGGCTTCGTAAATATGCAAGATAATTTCAAGCGACCCCTTAAATCACTAAATAAATTGGATCATCAGAATCAATGACGACGAAGTGTGAAGAAGATTGCACAATACCCAGTTTCGTCTCATAGACGAATACTGATGCACGTACAATATTGAGTCATGGGTTCACGAACACACACACTTCATTGGCAACCATGTTCTCATCCAGCCGTTCGAAACTATGTTGCAGTAATTTATAGAGGACTCTCGCAGATCTTTCTTACATATAGAAAAGAACCAAGAATCTTTAGAAAACTCAATTTTTCACGCGCTTCCTACAAAAACACGAATTCCCTTCAATTTCATCATATTCAGATCCACAGCATACGGCTGCTTCCATTGATATCCGGACTTCAGTTGAACATAATTGGGGCATTCATCGGCAATAATGGGCAAAAACTTGTTTCGTATCACTAATGAGTCATTTCTTCATGACGCACGCTAGCTTCTACAATCACATGAGGGCGATGAATCCTGTACTTGAAGGAGAATCTGCGCTGAGCTCAAGACAAAGAAATAAGAAACATGCACAACTCACCTTGCGCAAAAGCCACGGCAAAAACAAAAAATGCAACAACTGCGAGCCGAATGAACATTTTGAAGCTTTCACTCAAATTCCAAGAAATACGTTCACCACACTGAACCTTTTCTGAGGCCTGAAAATCACGGTCGAAAATCGGTCAGTTCAAATAAATTTCAATATCACAAGAACATGCTGATGCATCCCATCATAATTTATCCGGGTAAAAAATGTGAAATCTTGGTCATGAGCAAGCAGGCCTAAGCTTCGGGTGCATTAAAGCCCATATTAGTATTTCAGTCAATAAAAAAAACTGTAAATACTTCAGTAAGTCAAAATTTTCGCTACGCTTAAATAAAACTTCACTCGACTATTAAGACGCAGTCAATTTCTGGGCGAACTTTCATTTCCATAAGTGATTGATTCACAAAGTATTCTGGAGATGTAAGATTTCGTTCATCTCAATTTCTTCGGAATTTGCGGAGGCTCAGTTAATAATAAAAGATGTGAGACATCGTTTAATTCAATTTCTTGATAATCCGGGGACTCCTACTTAATTAAAATCTAAGTGGTCATCAAATATAAGACGTATAAATTTTTCCATCGGCCGATTCTTGCTTCACAAGACCTTCGGTTTTGATTCGAGTTTGTAAGGTTACGAGTAAGAATGACTCGCACTCAAGTCCATTCCCCAGTAGAAAATTTTCCCTTGTTCTCACAGGAAAAAAGATTCGTTAACTGAATAGCATTACGCAAGCTAAAATACGTCTCTCATCTACAACCACTCCGGATAAATTACAACAGGCGAATCACAAATTTACGAATACAGTACACCACAGAAACAAGTCCCCAGCCGGCTCCAAGCCAGACAGACCATTCCAAGACCGGCGCTCGCGTTCATCTCCCCAACGACCAGCAGGCAGGCAGTCAGCCAGCCAGCCATCGCGATAGGGACACAGACATAGGGAGTCGGAGAGACGCCGCGAACTTGAATCACGAAAGGGGCTCGAGACACAATCGGGAGAGTGCGTGATCAGCCCCCCACTCTTGGTCACGGGATACCCGCGATAACAAACACCATCCCCAAGCTCACTACAGTACACGGAACAAACCGAGTAACGTGATCAAGGGTAAATGTACGCATGTACGAAGATTATCCCAGCGAATCACAAATTTTGCTAGAAATAACGAATGATTGATTTCCCTTCTCTGGCACCCATTAAGACAAGAAATACGGATCAAGTTTCCAAATTCAGAGTTTATTTAGAAAACTACGGAGACAAATGTCAAAACGGAAGAACAGCTAACAGGCCGTTTCTATTTCGACACGACAGTCCGAATCTTCCACGCGCCCCAACTATACTACTGTATTCGTGCTCCCAAGTCAAAATGGAAGATCAGTTGCCAACCCGTAAGTGGAATCTTCCATTTACATATACTGTACTGTACAGTAATAATATAGGGGAGTGGGGGGGGGGGGGAAGAAAGATACGGTACAGTGGAAAAAGTAATTCTGCAGCATCAAGCCATTGGTAGAAAACATCACAGTAGTAGAAATGTTTCCATACTACCGTACCTTATTTCATTAAATAACACGGCTCGATGAAAATTCACGGTTGCTCGAAAAAAGATTGAAATGAGTGGTGAACTACCGTACTTCGTAAGTGTTCCGATCACGGAAAAAGAAACAACCTTGATAATTTTTTTCTGAACCCATTAATTTGGCATTACGCAATATTTTCCGAGGTTCATCAATAATTAAATAATGCTCGAAGTTCGCGAGTACACAACCTGTGCTGAAACGGACCTGACATACTTTAGAGAGAAGAAAAATTATGCCGTAAACTTATTGTCAAACCCATCGTGCGCATGCCACAGGGAACATTAAACCATTCTATCATAGCAACGATCTCGCACACGAAGGAACTGAGAAGCAGATTGAACACGGGTTGAAAGACGAAATTATCGGCTACCAGTGACACCTAATCAGCTCCAAAAATATATTTTTTCTGACGGAAATGGAAGAGTATTTTACCGCTATGATTTACGAATGTCTCGCTATGCAGTTATTCTGTGAACACCTCACCCAAATGTTTGGGGAATCAGAACCGTACACTTACTGTAATATCTTGCATCAGCATCAAGCAACACTTTGTTCGGGGGCTGAAAACGTACGATTCCGCGAATGCCCAAGTGGGTCTATGGGGTAACCCGAACGCCAGCCGGAACCCAGGAAAAAGGAAAAAGTCGCGATCACAAAGTTATGTGTTGCTTCCTTCTTCTTGGAACATCGATTTACACCTCATAGAACAAGACTTGAAATCAAACCATCATATTTCAGAGAATCTTTCACATTAATTATAAGTCATATAACGCGGCGTAGCGCTGAACTTCGCATAGGCTTTGATGACTTTGTTCACAGCTTCTAAAAAGTCCTTCTCGGAAGCCACCTTCCTCCTCGCGCGAATCGCGAACATTCCAGCTTCGGTACATACCGAACGAATTTCCGCACCTGTCAAAACGAAAAAATAAATAAATAAAACACGCAACCGAATAATTTACTTTCTTCTTCCAACACTGTAAAAACGACTTGAAAAAAAAACTGCAGTTCGAAAGGAATCTCCAGAGAACAGTGCAGCAGGCACAGAAAAATCTCGCTAAAACGAAGCCACTGGGAACAGGAACAAAGCTTCGTTGAAAGAAAAAATTAGTTATAAATTTATTGCAATGGTGTTTATTGGCAATTTTTTTATACAGTACAGAATTTTCAAGTGACGAATGCTGAAACGTGACTGAACAGTTGAACGCGTCCCGGAACGACGCATCCAAAAAAAAAATTTGCAAGCATAACGCAAAAAAAGGCGCTAGGAACAAAAAGCTACAGGGTCAAAACATGACAAATTTCGTCTCAGTTAGTTAAGCTGCCGTATAAACTTTAGTGAACAAGGTACGAATATGAATTTAAAAGTGAGCAAAACATTTATAAAAATAAAGTTAATTTCATGGAGAATTTTCTCATCAATAGTTGATTCTTTTTCCCTTTCGCGCATTACAAAAAAATTCACTTGCATCAGTTGCACGAATTTTTTCCGCAGATGGAAACTGCTTTGACTAATGCTATTCTACAGTTGCGCTGATCAGGACGCGTCTGCTGTGCCAGTGAACATTGAAAATATTGTACTTAATCGAATATTTGCCGACGGAGAAGAAACTTTTCTCGATTTTCATCAGTTCCCGCTTCAACGAAAACCGTTTCGACTCATTTACTCCGGTTGACATGCGACATCAAAAATGCGAACGAAAAAAGTTAACACGCACAAGAAAATAGAAAATGTTGTACAGTATACGGTAACTCACCGGTACTGTTGGGGCAGAGCCTGGCGAGCAGTTCAAAACGAATATCCCGTTCGACACTCATCGACCTTGCGTGAATCTTGAAAATGTGCGTTCGACCTTCCAAGTCTGGCAGACTGAATTCAATTTTCCTATCCAATCTTCCAGGTCGCATGAGAGCAGGATCCAAAGTATCGGGTCTATTCGTTGCCATCAATACCTATGATGAACAGATGAACGTTTTCAAGGGGAACGGAACAACGACTACGCCACATTCTTTCTGCAAAGATTATAAAAACAAAAGATTCTTCGTCTTCCTCTAAAGACCAATTCACCTTGATGTTCCCACGGGGATCGAAACCGTCCAACTGATTGATCAGTTCCAACATGGTCCTCTGTACTTCATTATCCCCACCAGCACCATCGTCGAATCTGGCACCGCCGATGGCGTCAATCTCGTCAAAAAATATGAGACAAGCTTTTTTTGTCCGCGCCATTTCAAACAGTTCGCGCACCATCCGAGCACCTTCGCCCACGTATTTCTGCACCAATTCTGAGCCAATCACTCGAATGAAGCATGCATCGGTTCGATTCGCAACTGCTCGAGCGCAGAGAGTTTTCCCAGTTCCCGGTGGTCCAAAAAGAAGCACTCCCTTCGGTGGCTCGATACCCAAAGTAACAAATCTTTCCGGCTGGAAAAAATGATGGGAATTTTAAAAAATGTATATTGCGTGCAACACCAAACAATTAGAGTCGTCGTCCTTTCTAACCTGTGCGTTCTAAAACTGATTTTCCGTGAAGATAAGAAGGACAGTACTTCATCAAAAATTTCCAATGGCTAATTTTTAACGAATACTTCATGAGTTAACCCGGAAATTTTAAAGAATTTTCGAAATACAGAATCACAGAAACCATACATTTTGAATTTAGGAAAAAATATAATATGTCCGAATTCCTGTCCAACTCAATCCCCGTTATCTCATGTACAGGACTGAATTTAATTTCATGTTGATCATTCAAAATACAGTACTCCTAAACTAAATGTATATGTACAAGGACTACACTCGGGCAATGCTAGCATTTAAAAAGGTGTTTTAAATTTGTTTTCTGGCCTACTACACGAAAAGGCTAAATTTTCGGGAAAGTGCAGGGACTAAGTTATTTCAAGACGCTATAGCAACAGCAAAAAGCTACAGAAAAATTCGCAGTATACAGTACTGTACTCACATGAAGCAAAGGTGTTTCCACAACTTCTCGCAATTTTTCAATCTGCTCCTTGCAACCACCCACGTCGGAATAAGTTACATCGGGTTTCTCCTCGACCTGCATCATCGTCACCGTCGGATCGATCTTAGGAGGCAATGGGATATGAATCTGGTACTTGTTTCGATCCACTCTGAAAAAATATTTCAATAGTCAAACACGCATGAATTTTGGTCAAATGCGGAAAATTCCGCAATTTCATTAGTCGTATTCGCGCATCAAGAGGTTTTACGGAACAGCGGCGAAGACAGTATTGTATTACTTTTGGTTTGAGCTGAACGCACACAGAAGAGCATAGAAGCGCGATGAAAACTGAGAAGTTGAAGGAGATTCAAAGCAGAAAAATGCAAAAATTCATCAAGACTGAAACTCAATGAACGCTTGCTAAATACTCGCGCAACGCTAATGGCCCATGGGCTAGGAGAAACTGAAAGCAGGAGAAACTTGGGATGGCACAGCGTATTACCGTACATTACAATTACAGTACATACATCATGGCTAGGACTGCGATTTACTTGAACTGAATCAAATAATCACAGCAATCGACAAGGTAGCAACATTCTTCGTACAGTATTGAATAGCATCTCTTCAACACCTCATACAATAAGGACAGTCGAAAATTCCTGAAGCATTTTACAAATCCAAAAACTTCAAAAATGTCGACACTAACCCGACACGCATCCCCTCTTCGATATCAGTGGGCGCCACCGTATCAGCCAGGTCCACGACAAACTTGGCGAACTGCTTCACGTTGATGATGTATCTCGGATCTTCCGTGTCAGAGTTGATGATCTTCGTGCAGCGAGCCACTTGTAAGGGCTGTTCATTCTGCAAAGCCTGCTTATCCGCGGCCAGATCCCACAATGCCGGAGGCGCCAAACCAGTGTCTGACTCCTTGATTCCCGTCAGCTCGTTCACTCGCTTGATAATTGCTTGTATGTCGTCTTCAGTTTTCTTGATGGCTTTCGTGTACTGAACTTGACCCTGAAAAAAGTATAGACCCCACGTTCATTAAAACGTCAATTCCTCGACGATTCATAAAATTATTGATCAAACCGAGAACACGATTAGTGCAACCTACGTAAGTTTTCAGCAATGCAATATCTCCCTCGTCCAAGGTCTTGATCTCTTTTTCTTCCTTAGATTCCGCCGCCTTCGGGCGCCTCATATCCGATCCCAAATGATCAGGCATTTTGGTAGTTTTCTTCCAATCGAAACTTGACAATCGCACGAAAAATCGATCTAACGCCCGAAAAATTTTCTGCGGATCACAAATTATCTTAGTTGAAACAATACATTATTGAAGAGTGTTCCGTTATTCGAAAACTTTCAAGATATATTCATCTTTACTGACAGCAACCTTTCAATCATCGGATTAAATTAATCACAATTCCCCGGTGAATATCTTCCCACCTCTGCGGCAAAAAAGAAAATGTTTAACGTGTGACAAAGCTGTTCCTCATACCGAACAAGGTAACTTCTCATACGATTTTCAAGTCACCCTGACAATGAGAGCAGCACTTGAAAGGAAAAGCTTTGTTTATTGGGAAATAGAGCGCACTTGCAGATTTCAGATTTTCGTTCACGACATACGGCATATCCTGCAAGTCCATCAAAACCTGCAATAAAGAAATATCGTTTTATAGCTTGAAAACGAGGTGAAAATAAGATTAAAAAACGAACAGTGCAACTAGAGCTCTTCCTCCGGAATTATTCGCCCGAGTACCACGCGCCCTCAAGCAGGACTGGCACATTACTTTTTTTGGCATAGACTTTGTCCAAAAACCTAACCCCGCGTATGACGCACACCAAGTTTTCGGTGGTTTAAAATATTCATTTTTCTTTGCATATTGGAGTTCAACTCAGTATTCATGCAAACAATTGTAATAAATTGAAGCCTCGTTGCAGTATAATTATCGAATATAATTTCTGGTTCGTAATTTTCTCCCACAGACTCCCTCAAGACTATCTCCGCTGATTTCCTGATTTTTGGCGCTGAAAAAAATGTATACCCGCATACCACGCACACCCCACTTTTCTGCCTTAATTTTGCACAAAATAAAAGGTGAGCGTGGTATTTGGGTAAATACGGTACATTTTTGTTACATTTATTTAAGAGGTTATAACGATTTTGGATAATCCTTCGGCCTTTCCAATAAGAAAAATGCAAAGCGGAAAAAACCTTCGTTTGTACATATTAAAAAAGGCACCAACCTTGGAAGCCAAAACTTGACCCGGAGTGTCACTAATTCTATCTTCTCGTCCACAATTACTGGCCCGGCCTTCCGGTGAGTTCGTCCTACTCCTGACTTGGTTGTACAATCGCCTATCTTCCAAGGACCGCAATACCAACTTGCTCCGCATGCTGGCTTCGGAAACGATCCTCATAAGGTCTTCTGAAGAAGGTTCCGTCCGGTGTTTATCGGTGACCCCGTCCACCATTCCTTGACAGGCTTGCAAATTTCTATTTATTTGCTTTATCTCCCCAGCGAAACGTTTATGCTCATCGTCAAGCACCTGTAACGCCTCCCGAGCTTCTTGGCACCGGCAAACCAGAATGGCTTTACACCTGGCCAGCTCGTCGACCATTAGGCTACAATAAGGACGAACAGTACAGGATTATTTTAAATAAAATTCGTAAAAATGTCCAGAAGTGATCCAACTGTATCACATCACACAGTATTTTCTAGTGAAAATAATTGTTGCACGTACAGATCAAGCACGAAAATATTAATTGGCTCAAGTGCATGGGTATAAAAAATGCAAGAACTGACCTGCTCGCAAGAAATTTGCTTTTCCAAACGTCACATTCGATCGAGATGTTGTCTTTTTCTTCCGTTTGTCGAGTAAGGCTATCGGAATACTTCTTCACGTATTCTCCTAGAATGGCTTTATCCGTGGACAAACTCTCCACTCGGGTTTCCCAGTCTTCGCCAATTGACGCCACCAACAGGTTTTTCAGCTCGGCGTTGATCTGAATTGGAATGCGAAAGCTCAAAATCAGCATGGATCATTTGAAAGCATTGACAGCGTTCTACATACGGCAGAATAAATCACCGCGGAACACAGTTACAGCCCAGTTTCAGCATTCAAGTTTAATCATGATTTTTTTTTATTGTTAATACGTTCGGAAAGTATAGTCTGATGTACGCTTTGCACCGAAGGTATACTATCTTTCTCTCTCTCTCTACACATAAATTCCAAGGACCAGGAAAGATTCATTGTTGGGAGAATTTTGTTTCAAAGAACATCGATAATATGGGGAGAAAATCCTATGGGATCAAAAAACAATTACGGTACATTAAGCAAAGAAAATCGTTGTAGAGGGACAACACGTATACTTTTTTTATACAGTCAAACCTCTTTAATCCTGGACACAACACACGACAGCATCCTTCTCAATGAAATCCCACATCAAGAGCCACGATTTTGAGTGGATAATTCAAAATGGTGAACCTCAAAATGGACACAAAAAATTCCAATCACAAACAACTAACCTCTTGTTGAATCTTGAGCTCTTTCTTCAATTCGTCCAATTCATCCGAAGACTTGTCGCTCACGGATATAGTTAGCTTGCTCAAAACGTCTTCCACGCAGCCCTTCGCACCGTCTTCGCTTCCGCTCGCGCAAGAAACAGATCTGACTGTTTTCCGAACAATCTTCGGCGCCGGAATGGGAATCAAATTATTCGCGCACAGCCCACCCGACTTTCCGTCTTGAATGAACGAAGTCACTGCCCCTTTGTACGGCTCATAAGGGACGAACTTGGGCTTTTTCCATGACCGTGGCTTGTTCTCAAGAACACTGCCTTCTTGAGTCTCCATCCCGTCTCCGCTCGACCTCGCCGCCATTTCGTCGGCGGAGACTCCTAGATTAATGTTTTGAGAAATAAGGACCAACAACTCTTTCACTCAAGTCACGGGCATCAACAAGCTGAATTCAAAAAGGATGAGTTTTCCTGCGGCCTTCAACATTGCCCTGAACGATCAAAAACGGTGCAACAACCTACTATGAGATGCTATGACGCGCCATTTGATTGATTTCAAAATATTCGTTCAAACGGCACAATGTTTCAAGCACACGAAAAAAGAAAATCACAACGGTCCGTTTGAGACAGAAGAAATCTTTCCACTGCCTGTTGGAATCACATCTCGAATCCAGAAGAAAGTAAAACAATCGCACTGTTGTTCCACGGGAGGCTCAGAAATTTGTCTGAGCTCGGAAATGACGCTGCAACTTATTTCCTTTGATGCCGACGGCGGCGAATTCCTTCTGCCGCATCCTGCTCATGTACTTGATGTCTCTCGCTTTCCTACAGAAGGTGGAACAAAAGAATTTATTTATTTCTTCACTCTCCGAATAGAAGAGAAAGAGTATTCAAACGAATGCTTCTGAGCATGAAGAGATAGCTTTAAAAAATGTGAGTTAACAACCACGAGAATTTGGGAAATGTACTCACTGGGCGGCAAGTTTTCGATCCGTTGCAGTCCATCCTCGAGACATGTAACTGGATATTACATCCTTCAAAACTTTCCTCGAATTCACCATTGGATTTCGATTCGGAATCTTCTGCCTATAAAGATAATATTGAAATCTAATTATTCACGAAAACTCAAATTTTGTTTTCACGTCATCAATTTACATCTTCAAATTACAGAGATCATAAACTTCGCGAAAAATTTAGTCGAAGTTCCGCGGAATTAAAACGGCAGATTCTCCTTCACATTCAACTTCAAATTGATGCCTTACTAATCGATTTCAGAACTACACGAATAAATATTTCAGCTGCAAAACGTTCAGCAAAAAATATAGTTCGAGCTCAACGAAATGTACACGAGCGATTCTTTACCTGTAATATCGAAGTAAGGATCTGTGACCAATAACACCACCTGACGGAAGCGCTAACTCAAACCCTGTTGAGTCCAAACTGGTCAATCGAATTTCCTCCTCCGGTTCTGCATCTTCTTTGTCGGGATAGCTCGAAGTGTAATCGTAGAAATCACTATACTCCGCCAAACCATCGCCATCGTGTCTCATTTTGCAATGACCTAAAGACGTCATGTGTTTCTGCACTGCATCCAACGACCTGAACACGTAGACGCATTTGAGTTGACATGCATCAAGCGAGTTTCGATGATCACTCGCAGAGATATTTAGTCGGCAACCGAGCTACAAAGGTCAGTCAATTTTTGGCCCATTAGACGATCAGAGCATCCACCAGGATCAGACAAAACGTTGCAATCAATTCATAATTTAGAAAAAGCCATGGGGGCATCTGCTTTGAAGCTATGGGTAAATAATTAATCCAACTCAGTCGAGAACGTTGTCATCCGTAATCGTACGCACGATATTCGTAGAGTTTTCCGCCGTACAATCCCAATGATCGCGAGACCGAATCATGTCAGCCTCAACTTCAACATGATCACAGTCATTGAAAAAAACGAACTTTGGGCAACTCTTTGGAAGAATATTTCATCTGGTCTGGCTTCGCTTCGTGCACGGTTGCAGTACATACTGCGATAAGTAAGGAATTAAATCCCGAGCATGTTTTCTGACTGCACCGTTTCAGTTACCCGCATCCGCTTCAACACGAATACACATGCCACTCACGTAAATCGCTTCTCATTGGAGCACCAAATGCAATGGAAACGTAATCCAATTTTTCTTCCAAGATAATTCAATAGAGGAACGACATCGGTCAGGTATTCAACGTCAGGGATGAAGAATGAATGAGCCGTCATCATGTGGGATAGGTTGGCCTGAATATTGCGACTGTGGTGAGAACAGAACAAACAATCCTCCACCGGGATCCCTTCCTCATCTTCTTCCCACTCATCTGAATCCACTTCTTCAACTTCCATATCATCTTCATCTCCCTCTTCCTCAGCAACTTGATCCGGAATTTCTGGAATCTTCTCCGTTTCTGACTTCGTCCTCGCCTACAGTACATCGGAAAATTGCAGACAATAATTAAGTCTAAATACCATGACAGATGATCCCTCCCCATGAGAACGTTCGTGATCGAATTTTCATGCTTCTGCCACCCGCATGGAAAATTGGCATTCGCAGCATATCGCCCAGAACACAAATTTTCAAGATTCAACATTGCTCGATACGACATATTCATGTAAAGAGGTTTTGCATTGTTGGTGGGAGGAGGGGGGGGGCGTAATTACGCCAAATTCCAAATCAGGACAGTCTATGTCATACATCTGAATACTGATCAGTCTATCTAATCGCTCGTTCGCCAGCTTGGAATAAGCGAGGGTTTCCTTCCCCGTCAACAAATTCGAAAAAAGCTTATACGGTAGTGAAATAAAAATTAAATACCTTTACACCACGACTTTCAGGCGCCTTCACAATCGCATCCTTGTGTTTTTTGGATGTCAAATGATTTTCATAGGCATTGCTGTTGCCAAATCGTTTGTGACACGCCTCACAAAACATCGACGTATCCGCGGTCGCTACTTCGGCTTCTGCTTTCGCTGCGAGGACCTTCGCGTCGAAAGCTTCGGCTGACATGGGAGGGAGTTCCATTATTTTTCGTTTCAAGTTGTACCGATGCCAATCCGACTTGTAGTGCAGTCGATGAGCTTCTGGGTCGGAAAAACCGACCATACAAGCGATGCATGTTAAGCCAGCTGACATTTCACCACGGACAATTCACCAATGCCAAAAATCAAATGCTCGTAAGTTCTGCAGAAACGGACACACATCATGACAAATACCGCTTACATGTCCAAACCCATCACAGCGTGCGCAATGGATTATTCTGAGATCAATACATACAACTCCGGCGTCCAATACACAACGAACGCAACAATAAACATTGATGCTTTCAAAGTCAGGAAGTATGGTGCACCTCTTCATCGAAAGCTATGATAAGCACCTTTTATTCCTGCACTCGGGCAAGTTCGATGCTTCCCTTCGTGCATCACTATGCCAAGTCCGCGGATGGAAGTTCCGCAGTGGGCTTCTCAGCGGAGGCATTTCCGCGATGAACACTTACGCGGTCGTTCATTCCACGGGATATGAATTTTGCGTGACGCGTCGTTTACCTCCGCGGAGAAAATGTTCCATTTTCCGCGGAAATACATTTCTTTAGATGCCGTTGCGGATATTTCAAGTCCATATGACTCTGTCTTTAGTTTTTCCTTTGTCCTGCGTACTGATGAACACAGACATTTCTGTAAAGGAAACCCTGCTGTTGTATTCCTCGAATATTGTAAAACGAAAGTAAAGTACTGTACTATATCGCACAGTTTTTTTAAGGGGCCCTAATATGTCCTATGGTATCGAAAATAAGCCTTGGATTTGCAGGTCTGTGATGGCTTCCGTGATATGAATACAGTATATGGACTCTCTATATATAAGAATATCGTATACTGTACATACAAAAATTATTTTAGCATACCGATTTCTCGAGGTCCAATAAATAGGATTATCTTCCTAGGTGATATGCTTACAAAAAAGTACTCTCAACGAATTTTTTTTGTTACCTCGATTTTTTTTACATTATCTAGAGAGTCCACCTGTATACGAATATAGGAGCAGAGAACGAAATAAATTCCCGAAATGTTATTCCTGCATAATCTTTATACTGTACTACAGTATATGTTTGGAGCTGTATAAAAAGGAAGGCTTTTCCTGTAACCTGCATGTCACCAAAATGATTTCCCTTCCATGAAATAGGGTATTGAAAAAGTGAAAATTGACGGACGGAATAGCAGGACTTGAATATCCATGATGCCATCCGTGGGATTGAATGACACGTCATTACTCTGCGTACTTTTCCATCGTAGTAGACGTCGCGGAATCCACTCCCCGCGAAAGACAAGGTCGCAATTTTCACCACCATGATGCTGTACCTCCGCGGAAATGTCCATCCCGGATGTGGACCGCTCCCATCCCGAACCAGTCAATCAGCGAATCCAGTGGTGTTTCTTTTCGGGTTGGTGAGTTGAACAAATGATTTAATTGACGGTTGGCTCCGTCAATTTTCGCTAATGATGCGGAGGCTTTTCTTGATATCGATCGTTATGTTCGAGTGATGTACTGATGTGTACATTACAGTACAAGTACTGTATTTCGATCACTAACATTGCTAAGGGAGCTGTCTACGCTGTATTTGTTGGGAACAAACCGAGCACCGGGAAAAATGTTTGACTTGCACTTATTGCTATCAAATTAAACAGCATTATGCATGCGGTAAAAGCTCAATAATTCAACCAACTTCGTCTGGGGACTTGAGAAAAGTTTGCATTATACTGAATACTTTGTTATAATGAAATTTTCATGATTAATGGCTGGAAATTTGTCTTGAATCAGTTAGATTTTACTTTTCTGGCATTTTCATATTTTTATTCTTGTTTTAAACTCAGTGATCTTTAAAAAAAAAGTCAGTTTCAATCATGTATTAATTGTATTCCATCAGTCTCTTCATTCTGGAAGCCCTCAGGATGGAACCAACTTGTAAGCATGCATGTTTGTCATGGATTACCATTTCCAGCCATGGTGATACAACTGCTGGTCAATCAAATTTGGGATTGCAAATTTCGAATTTCAGCTCCTTTAGTCGGGAAACTTTTACTTATATGGAGAATCTATTAAACATTCCCAAACAAGTTCGTCATAAGATTGTCTTTACATGTACTGTACTGTACTCTGGGCTTTCTACCATGCAAAACTTGCGAGAAAGTTTGTTATACTGAAAAATTTGTTGTGGCAAGATTTTGCTGTACAGTATATACGATGGTTTGTCATTTTGAAGATGATCCATCATGCCAAAGTCCGTCCACCGCCATACACACATGCTGTGCCTGTCATTATATTATTGGATTGAAGTTATAGGGACTTATCGTAGCCCAAAAAATTTGGAAAAATATTCCTCATTACCTCAGTACAGTAGTTGTACAGTATAACAGACCAGAACAAACCTTTCGTTCTGGAACTGTTTTGAGGTCTGTATACAAATGCTTGCCCTATTTAAAAATAAACTGTAGCAAATTTGTCCCCCTAAACTTGCCAACGCTGATTCATTCAAAATCCATTTGAGAACCAATGAAATTATGATGTACATTGTTTACAGAAATGATTCCACGCTGAATGCAAACGTTGCTTAGTTAGCAGACAAGCATTTCATAACCAATCAACCACAAACATTTTCATGCAGTGTAACAAGTTTCCAGCTACTGAGGAATTTGTCAAACATTCAGTGAAAAGGAACAGGGAAGGAATATCAACCTCATACATTTCATAGCCTTTGATCATTTTTCCTCGCAAAAAACAAGAGACAAAATTTATTTTTTCATTGAATGCATGCATTTCTGCTTTTCAGCCAAGCACATCAATGGTTTGTTGCTCAAGCACAGCTGGCATAAATTTCATCAATTTTCCTTGTTTCCAGAAGGACGTATTTCCGGAGAGAAACTAAATCTTGTTTGTTCAGCTCTGATTTGACTGGAGTGAGTTTCCCCTTTGGTAAAGACCACATCATTAACACCGCTCTGGCTACGTTGGGTACAGTATTTTCCATTTTAAATTTAGGCACAAGTATTCTATTATCGGGTTCTTGAATCTACCTAGGCCGCTTTTTTCTAGCGATCCTTGATTTCAATATGAAAGAGAGAAACAGTACGTCATATGGGGAAACTAGTCCCGTGAGCTTTGCTCTAATTTTTCAAGTAAAATTTACTCAATATTTCCATTTTAAAATGCGAAAATTTCACAGACTTAACTGCGAAATCATTGAAATACAGTATTCAGAAACTTCTTCAAAATCGCAACTTATACAATATAAAGATTGCGCATTTTTCTTCGCCTCTGATTATCTGTCGCGGCTCTTTGGCATGAATCTGCTCGAAAATCCCTGAATTCCGCGTAATATTCCGAATTCCAAGATTCCATTTTATTCGAAGTCGTTGGTGCATTTAAAAAATTAATTATCACAAAGTTTCACGCTGGCAACACTTTCTGACTTCTATGCCAAGAGATTTGTAATGAATAAATTAAAAACAGAAGTTCATTACTGCCTACTTTTGTGCATTGTTGCTTGCTGCAACCAGAAATTATGCGAATTTTTTAGCAAACCCTTTCTTCTGAATCTGGAATTGCACCGACGTGTCAGCTGACTCAGTCGGTGCACTTGCTCAGTACTCAGGCGCTTCAAGGCAAAATATATTTTCCTTTATCTGTTTTACAACAAAACTTAAATAAATATTCAAAATATCACTCTGAAAAATCCAGTAATACAGAGCAATTACTTACTGTACTTCAAGAATACTTTTTCATACTATTTCCCTGCATTTCTAGCAGCAACATGCATTGCCTGTCCAGCCTGCTAATAAAAGTCGTAGTCTAAGCAAGAATTACGTCCATAATATATAAGCGTGCTGAGCAAAAAACACTTGGGCCCTTTCGGGAAAACATCTGAAGTACTGTACATAGATTCACTGTGAAAGTAGTGGACTGCTCAGATCTCTGCAAATACTCGGACTGCTCAGATCTCTGCAAATACTCGGACTGTCCTTGTGTTCATCGTCAAGAAAATCAGTACTGTATAGGAATGAAACAAATATCAATCTGCCCGAGATCATTTTATCTTGCTTCATTGAAGTAAAAATACTTGCGGAGAAGCTCACTCTGGTCAAATCGGAGCAAGCAAACAAAGAAGCTTGCGCTCATAAAAGTTGCCTTTCGAGAAACTTGGGGAAAATAAGATAACATTTTCGTAAAATAATCTCCAGGAATGAGATAAAATCACCAGTAACAAAAATAGCACACAAAATCCACTGTTGGGGAAATAATTTCTGCTGATTAGATGCGCTGTTATAAAAGTTGGATTCGCCACTAAAAATACATCGTTTCACAGAAAATAACGAACATCGTCAGCAGCGAAAACCACGTGAAGAAACGGCTGAAAGTTGTAGGCAAATGCTGACACGGCATTCAAGAGCACTGTTTCACACTTGAATAGAATTTTGAGTTCAATTACGAAAGTTGAGGAAGACGAGAATTAACTCGTAAAAAAAAACTGAGATTCCACACAAGCACCGACAATTATCAAAAAACAACTGGTTCATGGAAACTGAACCATTTCCATCAATTAGGACTATCTAGAACTTCAAGAATAAAAAATGGAGTTCTTTGTTCCTATGCTGCATCCTCCTTGAGTTCCAATCTTTTCTCGTAACACCCCGAAAAACTTGAGTTCATTCTTCCACCAACCTCGGCTTCTTTCCATGACTCTCACTTGGCCGAGGAAGCACTTGTAGAAGAGCTGGAACGACGCATCAAACGACTTTGTGTTGCATTCAGGCGATCCCTATCGAAAAATAATTTCGAGTCAAGACTCCCGCTGGAAAAAGTTCTCAATGAGAATTTTTCAATATGAACAGTCTAAGCAACTCAATCATTCTGTTGAATCGCTTTCACTACGAAGACACATTCGATTCTTTATAGGACACTTCAGAGACAACCAGTTTACTTTGAAATTCAGCAATAAAAAAAAGGATTGAAAATCAGCAATTTCAGCACTATGGCAAGGAAACGCTACTTGACATACAAAGATATGCACAGTAAAATCAATCTCGTTACAACGAATTCGACAGGACCTGATGAAAATTCGTCAAAACGAAGTATGTAGCAATGAGATTCACGGTTATTGGCCCATTTTAGCCTGAAATGTGGAAAATGGGGATTAAAGACAGTAAGGTGCTTCTACAACAGATAATTAAAGACATGTCATACACTCATAAGTTTAAAGTTCATTGCTTCTTCGGTGTTGTTCGAATGCACCACCAGTTCAATGTTTTCCTTTTTTTGGGCCAATTATCAAATAATTCATACGGCCTGTGCACAGAATCAGGGCCACAAATTCGTTATACTGTACTGTACTGAGATTCCAGTCTAAAATTACTTAAATTATGTCATGAAAACGAGATTTTTAAACATGGAGCCTAGTGAGAAACTGCTCATACTGTACTAGGAAAATAATCGTCATAACAAAATTTTTTGTAACGGAAATTTACGGTACTGTATTCTATAAAACGACATACCTGCGCCCGCTCATCATCATGAATAAACGCTGTTCGACTAGCGCAAATTCATCTCGAGTCATAGTGGCTTCGGCTGTCTTGCCGTCCTTTTCGAATTCTTCAAACTCCTTCCTCAACTTCGGCAACTGGTCTCGTAATTTTCGTATTTCTTCCTCTTCTTCCTAATAAAGACACATAAACGAAAAATAAATGAAGCACAAACACAGAGCCGCAACAACAAAAATGTAGCAATCGAATCACCTTCGGGTGTGTGATGTCTACGTGCACCAGCAATGCCGAAAGTTCCAACTCCTCACTGTAAGCATTTTTCAACTCAACGCTACGAAATCCTGGACGGATGCAGGTGATCTGTTTTTTTTGGTGAAAACGCGATCACGTTTTTCATCTTTCAACGTTCTCAGAGCTTCGTTTTTGTCATAGAATAATCGAACATTACACAATTACAGAATTTTCAAGCTTCATACAATTTTAGAATTATTGAACACGAATTTTAGAACAGATTAATACGACGACCAAAACGGCGTACAGTTAACTCCACTCCATCAGGCGAGGCAAGTTACATGAATGCAACTTGAAAATGCAAACACTGATACAAGTAAAATTCTAGTTCGGAAAAATATAATTCAATTCAAGAATTGTACTCACTGGAAAAGTAGCTTGACCAAGGAAATTCGGTTCACCGAAGACATCTTCATTCTGAACAACAAATCTCAACAATGCCAGCGGAGGACACAAAACGGTGAATTCACTAATTTCGTCCCAAACAGGAGATAAGCCATTTTCCGCTGCGAATAAAAGAACGAAATTATAAAAAAATGATAACATAGGAATTCAAGAATTCATTTATTACAAGCATTGCTGCAAAAACGTCGGAACAGCAAAAACAATTTCGTTGCATCCACAAAGGAACAAAACCCCTAGCGCCCTTTCACTATCTTCTTCTGAACGAATTGCGCTTCGTCCTTACAACTCAAAAAGACGCTTTATACTACATCATTTAGTCTAAAAAATAAATTATTTAACGATGTTTTAATTAGGCATGTCTTCGTTGCATAACGCTGTTGAGAACTATTCAGGAGACGGCAAGTGCAAATATTTCCGATGAAAACGGCAAACTACGCCTTGTCCGAAGATTTAAGCCAACCACAGAAAGACGACAAAGTAGCCGTGAGGGATTACGTTTGGACTTACAAGAAAAATAAAATCAACTAGAAAAAATGCGACCCCAAATGTGCCAATGAAGTGAAGGAAATCCGAACTATGGTGGACAGGGGATGGAACGAATTCCTATTAAAATTCACATATCCGCGGGAGACTTTCTCGTATTTAAAACTGAGCTAAAAAAGGAAGAAGGGCCCAAAAAATACGGGAAAGAACTCACTGACAGTTTTGGTGACGAACTTGCTTCCGCTGTCATACTCTGCCCCAATGACTTCCACCTCAACGAATGGACTCACGACTCCACGACCCGACTTGCTTAAATGTCGGCCCGAAATAATCCTAATTGTGTAGATCACTGGACTGACATCGGGCGTCAAAGTACTTTTATTGTAGGGATCGTAGTTCTCGTCGAACATGAATGATGGTCGCAACACGTAACCGCAGCCGCCGTTCTGAAGGAATTTTCCTTGGTTCAGCTGCATGGGTCTATCTAATATTATGGAAGGAATCAGAATAAAAAAAAATTCAATGCCGAGAAAAAACAGAAAATCTCGAATTTAACCTCGCGGTTGCTCCTAAATTGGGCGATAGCACATTAGTTCAACAAAAGCTACCGCACAGGGTCGACCTCAAGAAAAGTAAGTCATACGCCAACAGATATCCCATCACTTTTCCAACAACATCCGATTTCTGGATTTAGATGCAGTGGTATTATTATCAAGGTCAGTAAAAAAATGAATAACAAGCTCTTCCCGCTTCCCCTATCGAAGTTTAATTCTATCAATTGAAGAATTCTGGACCCCTTTCTGATTTCAACATTATTAGTTTCGAGTTATATAACTCCAGCTGTTCAGGAGATATCACAAGCTTGAAGATGGGGTTTACTTTCCCGGGTTAATCTTCAGGATTTGAAGCGTGATAAGGTTTTAGTTCCTTACGTTCAAAATTACTGAGATAATTTTGTGAAGAAACGGCGACTGATCCTTTCTGAGTTTCACAAGCGCGTAAACTTTATAAAGACGATTTTCCATCATCAGTCGAAACAGAACAAACCTGGAGTTTGATAATTCAACGCAACCATTTGAACTCCTGTGTTCCACATTTTCACTGGCTCATAATTTGACGAATCCAATCGCTGTCCCTTGGGATAAACCCGGCTGAACTGAACATGGTGGTACCACATGAAAAATTTGACATTCGCGGGACTAAGCCACTTCTCCACTTTTGTCTCGGGAAAGGACGACATTTCCGAGTGGTTCCGTCCACATTCCTGGATTCGATCGGGCAAAAAGGCCACTGAGCGACAATAAATGATGAGGTTGGACAGGTCCTTGGCAATGCGCTTGATCCGTTCCATCTGTCGGTGTTGGAGGGCGAGATCGTTGGACAACGTGGCCATTTCTGTGATTTTTTTACCCCAGTCCATGGCCTCGTCCGCGTCTGCTGATGCCATCTCAAACGCTCTCGCCGCTGACGCAGATTCAATTCGGATCAACCTGAAAATAAGTACTTCGTTACAAGAATCCAACTTTAAATCTAAAAAATACATTGCCGGAAAAAAATTTAAATTTGCAACGAACTGATGTTGTCCGGGGCGTTGCGTAACTGGTTTCGATTTTCGGTGAAGACTTTAATCACACTTCGATATAGTACAGCTCGGACCAAACGAAAAAATGTTTAATATTAGAATTCGCATAAGAACAACGGCGCAGAATTTAACTACAGTATCGGTAAAACGTTCTTTCATCAGACGTCTCCAACTCCCCGGAAATTTATTGAAAATTACACTCGTACAGTATCACCAAAACTAAAGCAGATTATGTTCTGCTGGGTTTAGGTCGGATTGGGTTACAGTACAATACGGAAGTTAATCTTTCCGGATAGTTAATAGTTGAACCTTGACAAATCAAACATTCGTAAGTTGAATACCTCCCTAAGTCAAATTTTTTCAAGTCCCCGTCTGAATTCCTTGGAAACAATGCATTAAAAATATAAAAACGTCCCTGAATCGCAGGCTTTTCCTCTCAAACCTCTGAAAGTCGAGTTTTCTAAGGCCTTTCAGCTATTATTTTCTAGATACAAGAAAGAGAAAAGCAATAAAAAAGTAAAGAGATGTGTTTTGAAAGAAAGTGAAAGAAAAAATTGGGCAAATGAACCCGTGCCTCCAAGTTCAGCATCCTGTCAACTCATTTAAGAAGGAATTTCAGGCTTAGGATATTACCATTTACAATTGCCTGCAATTCTACGTTTCCCACAACAAAAACGCTTGTTACCTTAATTAAAACCCCCATTACTCGAAACATCTAAAGTAGAATTTTTTCGCTGGTCACTTGAAATTTGACTTAGAGAGCTTCGATTCTAATAAACAGTGAAGAACCGTAATTACTTGAGTACAACGCGTACCTTTTTTTAAAATCAAAATTGAGAGGAAACAAGGGATGCACGTCATAGGAGGGGATAAAATAAAATAAAAATGTTGTGCGCGTCACAGTTGAATATATAATGGTGAATTTTTGACAGGAACTTTAAAAAACACAATTGAAAATTACTTTAAATCAGGTTAAATACACGTTTGAAATGGAATTCTGATGTCTTTTTTCATATTTTCATTTTCAGTCACTAAAAATGAAATGCGCGTCTTACTCAGGCATAGGATTTCATCAAAATTTCTGGGTGGAATGATCAGGGTGCGTTATACTCGAATAAATACGGTAGTTCGGAAGTTACAGTTCAGATCGGATTATTTCGTTGAGCTTCGTGATACTCGTACATAAGAAAACCTGCGTGTTACCCCACAACGTGATTTCAAGCGTAAAATTTCAAGGTGATCAAAGCTCACCATTTAAGCCACGTCGCATGTCTACCTTGATGTATCGCGTCCCCAGCGGATACCATCAATGGGTTTGTCAATTCAAGCAATTTCACACTCGCTCCCACGATGTCAACACAGCCTTGTTGGAGGTCACCAAGTACAGAGTCACCAGCATCATCATTAGTATCCTCTACCTCCGTCACATAGTTTGCAGGGAACCAGTGCTGCCGCTTGCCACCGTAGTCACCCTGCCACCAACCGCCGTCCTTTTTCTGCACGTTTGTGATGACCGCGTGTTTGCAGAAGCTCAGTTCATCTTCTCGTTGCGCTTTGTAATCAAACGTGGCTTTCACAGTCACGCGTGAGCCTGCGCAAGTGATGGGGTCCATGTACAGGTCCGGCGTTGCATATACCGCATTCTCTTTCGCGTCCTGAAAACAAACGAATTAATTCGTTAAGAAGGATCGATTTAAATAAAATCGATTTAAATTTTATAAAGTCCATGTACAGGTCCGGCGTTGCATATACCGCATTCCATTTCGCGTCCTAAATGAAAAAAATTACTGTAATTCCTTAAGAAGGATCGATTTAAATGAAATATACCTCGTGAAATCAAATTTCCTCTATGTCGAATTTTCTTTTAGACACTTCGCAAATCCACTGAGAAGAATACGTTAGAAAGCTGCACAACCCGAAGATTCCCTCTCAAGTCTCTATAACTCTAATTCCTGGAGGCTTTCAGGGGATTATTCTGGTTGATCAGGAGATAGAAACACACCCAAAATGTGACTTCATGGTTTTCAGGAAGAAGTGACGAATCGGGCAATTTAACCTTCATCTCCAAATTCAGCTTGCCGTCAACACATTTATTTTGCAATTTGGCTACAAAAGAGTTTGGACACCCAAAAATATTCCCCAACTGACAACAATACGATTAGTTACAGGAGATGAATGAAAGAAATTTCGGGCAATTGCTTGGTTTCACGTTTTTGTCTTAATTCCAGCGTGAAACCAAAATAACTATAGCTTCTTCCAACAACGAAATTTCACTCACTCACAAAGATTTGTCAAAAGTTTGCTATCAAACGCTGTAAATTCGATAGTGCTCACCGAATTCATTCGCTTCACGAGATCGTCAGTAACCGGAATTTTTAGCTTGACCTTCTTGTAAAGATCATTTGCTTGGTAATACTCAACCAGCTCCACAAGGCTTTCGAACTGCGAACTTCCGATGGAGAAAAGGCGTCCCTCTTGCTTCACTCGACAGTGCTTGATTTTCTTCTGAGCACTAAAACGGTGGATGTATGAAAGCGTCAAAAAGAAGGCTAGCCAGTTTTTCAATACGCTTCCACACTTGACAAGTATCGAACAATGCACTAATCTGACGAGCATAATCTCCGTTCTTTCAAGATTCTATTTAGCTACTTTCTCTCAATCTAAAAAAAAATTAAGAGAATATGCCCGGAAAACTACAGTACTTGAAATCAGAGTTCCAACATAAATTCGAATTCGTGAACACATCCGAAAAGCTTACACGAAAGAAACAGCGAAAGTTCCCATGCCGGTTTCAGAAGGCCTCACTAGAAAAGCTCCATCATGAGGAACTTTCTTCAGCATGTCTTCCGCCTGATTTCTACTGAGAGATCCGTGGTACCATTCTCTAGATTCGTGCTGACTGGGTGGCGGGACGGGTTCTTTGAGCGTAATCCAGAACTCTTGACTCCTCAACGGGTTATTTCTAGATGATTGGGAGGAATCACGAAGGTTCAATTGAATTACAGCTTTTAACATGGTAAAGCGTCGAACGTTGAACGTGTGATTCGATTCAAGGCAATTGAATGCAGATGACCGAGATACTGCACTAAACATACAATCGTGTCACGCCTGAAGAACACAGAGAATTGTGAAAATTTGACTAAGCACACGAACACTTCTGTCCGAATTTTGCTCTACTCTTTTTAGCGTGTGATTAAAAAGCTTATATTTTGTTATTTTTCTTTCTAAGTACTGTTCCAACATTATGTACAGTACTGTAATGTGAATACAGTATACAGTACTTCATTTTTTCAAAGAGCAGGGACTTTTTTATATTTTAGGCTTTTCTTCTCACGGATGGAGCCAAGGAAACAAGACATGAAGAACTTTATCACGCATTGAAAATTACTCCGTGGACTTCCAGAAGATCACTGAAATTACCCCAGTAATGTACTGAAATATATTTGTAAGGGTTCACCTCATGATTTTCTTGAAGCTTAGCAGATTAAAATTTTAATGGAACAATACTCGATAGATTCAACATGAATGTCCATGAAAAAAATTGTTCTGAAATATAAAAACGTCGTCGGAGCGAATCTAATTCGCACAGCGAGTTTTCTACGGTTCGAACATATTGATATTACAAATATGCGACAGAATAGCTTTTCTTCGATAGGACTTACAACACTCTCTGACCGAATTACGCTGAGTCCCATTTCAATTGACGATTGATAGAACTTATCCCATTTTCAGAGTTCTTCGGGAAATATTTAAACCAGTGCAACATAATATCTCAGGAAATGCAAACGTAAGTTGGAGCATAGTTGACCCGAGTTCTGCTGATGCTCATATGGCATCATTGAGTCATCCTATGAAAATTCCCTCCCTTTCGCAATTTAGACAAACTCGTACGATGGAAAATGCACAGGACTCACCGATAGTACGTCACAAGGTTGTACAAGCTGTCAAACGTGACGGAGTCAATCATGAAGTATTTGATGCATCCTTGCTCCAATCGATTTTTAATTCTGCAATGATTCACTTTACCCTGACGCCAGAAAGACAAAGTATAGTCGCCGACAAACGTTGCAGATTCCCTAACCAAGAAAGTTCCATCGCCTAAATGAGAATGTTCTTGAAGTAATGCTTCAGCACCCGCCCTGCCTCCAGGAAGAGCCCCGTGGAACCATTTTTCACCGAAGTGTAATTCATCACGACTTGTCCGCTGTTGAAGAATAACACATACCCGATCATCAGAATTTCAAATCATCAACACATAAACTTATCACAGACCGCTGACTCTTGAACGTTTCCATTTGTTGAAAAAACAGTCAAAACCCGCATGGCGACGGAACAGGCAAACTTTTCAACGAAATTTATACAATACAAACAAGAAATGAAAATTACAGGACACGAAACAAAATCGAACAGTGCGAACATTTCAAATGAAATGTGCTTTGGGATACCACGCCCCAATGCTGAGACATCGTAAGTCATGATTTGCAAGCGAAAGAGTGTGCTTGAAAGAATGGAATCTAACCTTCCTATCACATATTTTATGCCGTGAATGGAAACAAATTTATTTGCAGGCAATTCGATGCACAAAGACGCATTCGAAAATTGAGTTCCAACCGAAATTATGTCGAATGGCCGAGAGCTTTTCGATTACTGTACTCACATCTTTTCGTTTCCTAGAATCCTCGTCTTCGTCTTCTTCCTCGTCTATTTCCGCCGAAGTATCCTGGTGTTCCGTGGTATAATAAAGTTTATTTTGGGTGAGAACGAAGTAGTGTCTTCGCCACTCTTGTTCGCATATTGGATCTTGCAGCCAAAGAATACCATTTTTCTGCCAACTGCTCGTTTCTGACTCTCCGCCTAGGTAAAATATTATATAATTTTGAAAAAAAAAATTCCGAAAAGACTTCAACATACTGTATTACAGAAAATATACATGAAGTAAAAAATATATAAATACGTCATAAACCACAAGAAGAAAAAAAAGAGTAGATCTCGAAAAAGTTCGCTCACCCAAGCCTTCGTCTGCTCGCACCAATGGGAAAGAATCCAGGTCGTCTTCAGGGAGCTTCTTATGTTTCAAAATAATCTTCCTCTTCAACGACGCTGGTGACGGCATCACCTTCTCATTCCTATCCAGGGGCTGGGTAAGTAGCAATTCTCCGAATACTTCGCGAAAAGCCGCCGCCATCTTCCTCTGTTGCGGCAATGAGCAGTGATCCTCAATTGACAGAATGACGGGGTAACTGCCATACGAAAATTGAAAAAAAAGAGGAATCACTACTGAGGTATAAAAAAAAAAAAAAAAACAGTCCTTCACACTTTCACAGCAGTGATCCCCAACCTTTTTTTGTGCCCGCGGACCGGCGGATTTCCCCAAAATGTTTCAAGGACCGGTAAACTTGAAAAATAATTTTGCGGACTGGCGAAGGTCCACAACATTTTTGCAGACTAGCAGCATTTTTTCAATACCTGCCTCGAACTCCTCCGAACAAATTTTTTTTGCTCAATAAGTTGAGACCCAAGGAGCAGCTACAGTGGAATGTCTTAACAAATTAGAAACCTCAACTTCAAGAAAGGTTTCTCAGAATGAATACTCAAGATAAATTATTTCAACAGGTGGAAATTTGTCTGAAGTGCTTTTAGGAGAAAAGCCGACTTGTATTTCTCATCGGATAATTTCAACTGCCATTGTCTTTCCAAAATTTCAGATAAAGATAACAGAATTCATTACTACCTTTGATACTGTACATTCATTTGTAGAAGAAACTATTCCGAGGATTGGCAAAAAAATCTTCTGCGGACTGGCGCCTTGCAGATAGCTTTACAGTATTTCACATGGAAGAGGGAAGGTGAAGATAATATTTTTCCATTTTGAGCAAATGTTACACGCGATTTTGTCCAAAGAAGCATTAATTATTCGGCCATAACATTTCCTGCCCTTTCATTAAAAAGTTAAAAAAAAAGCTTTCGTGAGGCATCATATCGAAAAGGAAAAAAAAAACCTAGAAATGCAGGAAGAAAAATAAATTTCCTTCTTACTCGGATGCAATAAAAGCGTTGTCCCGGATGCATTGGATAACTTCCAGAAACTTAATCTTGGTAGTTAATGTGTGGCCGTGGTAAATAAGAGGAAGTCCATCGGGTCCATCCCAGCAATCAAGTTCCACGCATCTGCAGCCCATCCGCAAACAACGCGCATAGGCTTCCACGGAAGATTCACTCGAGAATTGATCGCCAGTCAAATATCTGCACGACAATCACACATCTTGAGGCATAGTCCATTAAACTGGCTGGGATACTCCAGGAGAGTTGTGTAAAAATATTTTTCCTTAGTCGTAAATCCTGACACGTAGCAGTCACCAAATTGTAAATAAGAGCATTTTGCAAATTCAACTATTTCTTTAGAGTTGTCTGATGTAATTCATGATTTAAGCCGCATCATATCCATTTCAAAATCAAATAAATCGAATACCTCCCTGAAAATGCCGCATACTTCTAAAATTCAGCATTTCTCGACTGACCATTTTCTGCTAAATTACACGAAGTTAAGCTAATGTTCTTTCAAACGGACTTCGACTGTTCATTCAAAATTCGGTCAACGTGTCATTCATCCTTTCCAAAAGCAGTTTGCAATCATTTCAGCTCCGACAAAAAAGGCAAACAACACTAAGAGATTGAGAAAGTTCCTCTCAGGAGACTTGCGTTCCTGAGGTCATGTTGGGCTTTTGAAGAAATTTGGGATACTGTATTGTACTACGCTGGACGACTTTCATGTCAAATATTTTACACGTGACGGAAAAAAAACAGGGTGCTCGTCTTACATAAAGATAATTTCTTAAATAAATAATCCGTTAAAAATATTTGGGGCGCGTGGCAATAAAGTAAGTTTCTGGTTTATCTTCACGCTAACTCGGCAAAATAATCGAAAGATGAATGAAGTGCATAATGAGAGTATCCAGCTAGGCTATCCGCTCTGCATCGAACATTGGATTCTATAGACACAGGATCGAATGCGTCAGGAGAATATACAGTAGAACAGATGGATTTTGTCAGTACGAGCAGGAATATATGTGCTCAGAAATCAAGGCTGGAATTGATCAAAAGATTAACTCACGTGTTATGTGAAGAAGCGATCCAGTAGTGACTCAAAGGTCGAGTCATGTCCTCAGATACGGAGTTGTTCACAGGATCCCATAAGGAATTGTTCTTGCTGTACAGGTAATCCATAAACTGTTGAAGTTTAAAACAGTTCATACACACATCAGCACTGCTTCAATCCCAATGAAACAGAGTACTAACCTCATCGCCGGTTAAATAACCATCACATGAACTTCTACCAACATCCACATAATCTTTCATGATATCCAGACATTTCGCTTCATCCGGATCAATCAAAGAATTATCTTGCCGTTGGAGAAAAGCACCAAAATCGGCTGCAATCACCTTAGTTCCATCAGCTGAACACGAACCAAAACAATTTTGGAACACCTAGAAGTATTCAAACATGGCTGCAAAAATGCTCAATTAAAAGTAATATATATATATAGCTCACATTTTTGTCGCACAATAACACTTTGTACAAAGCCGCAAAATCGTTAAACAGAATCTCTCCTTTCTTGCTGTTGTCCACACTCGTGAATGCTTCTCTCAACTTGGACGTGGGAAGTTTCACATTGACGCGTGGAAGCCACGACTTCACGTCACGCAGAGAAACTCTGAAATTGAATGGCGAAATCAATTTCTCAAAAATTAGAGGCCGGATGCTGAATGACAACTAGAGCAAAACTTCATCGGAAACAAAGCGAGGGACCGTCGAAAAAAAGCCAGATTACAACAAAGCGTAAACTGACCATTATAAAATTAAAATAAACACCTGAGACCTGCTGTTGATCAAATCGAAAGTTCAAGAACCGAGAAAATTGAAGGGTTTTCTGATTTCTTCATTCGTGACTGTAGAAGCTTTTACCGAACACACACTGTATGAGGCATCCACCAGAAAAACAGCATCTCTCCTTTTCCTCCGACATATTTCAACCTTCAAAATATATTTATCGGCAAGCTCAGAAGTTTATTCAAACAAAATACCGACACTGCTCGATTACACGAAAAGAGAATTAATTCCCTTTCCACTTGATTTTACACTCAAGACCAGACTTCGAAGTTATGAGGGGTTACACATTTCCCCGCGGACTCATTTCTGCATAAAAGGGGTAACATGATTCCGCGCGGAATCGTGTAACGAGTCCGCGGGGAAATGTGTAATCTTCCCTTCAAGAAAATATTCAGTGCAGCGGTAAATTGTCTTTCTGTTGATGCTCGCAAACGTACGCCTTTCCTCATGAAAATCAAGTCACAGCAGTTTCCTTTCGTTCGAATGCCCCCACCCGCAATCTAAGCATCCGTAAAATCAGATCATTGAAAATAAAATTCCAACTTACGCATTTCGTGAATTTTCAAGAGCCCGGAATTCTTTGATCAACCACCGCTTCATTTGAACAGGATATAAGGCATGGATTTCTTGCAGTGAAAGAAATTTGAGGGTATTCACCCACATTTCGCACTCTTTCTCGGTCCATGCTAGACGATGAGAACGCAAAAGAGATCAATCACTGGGAACTTATTCAACATAAGGCAAAAACGTACCTACGATGGACCAATGCTTTAGTCTGAAGTCGTTTCCGTACGAAACTACAAAGCAGCATGACGGTTCGTAGCGTTTACTTTCTTCATTCCATCGTTCAAAATCCTTGGAAATTTTCGTTTGCCGCACTCCTTTGATGTCCCTGATGTCAACTAAAACGAAAGCACGGTCCCCCACTCAGCAAAACCAAAACGGACAATGTGCACACGAATAAACCATAAAGTCTTTCAACGCACAGCAATCCCCTTTGAAGCACACAATACAAAATTCAAAACTCACCCCGGCGCTCCTTCGACCCGAAAGCTTACAAAAAGCAAAATGCGTTTAAGATTGAGAAAATTCAGGATAAGAGTAGTTCCACTATTTTCTGAAGCCCATCGGAACAGATTTCCAGCTCGAACCTTTGTTCGGTAGAAAGAATGGCTCAATGCATAAGCAAAACCTTGATTTTAATCCATCAAGAAGGTGTGGATACCATTTTATGGATGATAGAGATAGCCTCAGTGACGTTACAATATTTCTTTCGTTATTGAACACGGTCTTGAACTGCGTTTCCCAGAGGATGAGGCGAGACATAGGTTCTCGAAATAAGAATTAGCACAATTTAGAGACTACGGTATTTTTGCTTCAAGATGAGATCAAACCGATATCATTGACAAGTAATGTATTTCAGATGGTGATTCATCAAGACGAAACTCGTAACAGAGGGTAGTAACATCCTAAAGGAATTTGAGGCCCAAAAATTGTGGGTTTTTGGCATTTCAAGCTCAAATTCAGTTTCTCATCGTATACCGTATACTGCACTATCGCGTTTTCTTTTTCTTCTCTGATGGGAAATCGGGCAACAATTTTTCAGTCCAACCTGATTAACATGAGAAGTACAAAGAAGGAGGCCCCGCAATACTCTGAAAAAGGTATCATTTGCAATGAAATCAGTCCAACATTTCGGGAAGTACGATACTGCTATACTGTGCGACGAAAGACGATCACTTCCAAGAGAACTACGTACTTTTGTCCAAATTATTCATGCTCATCAAGGTCAACTTGAGCTCAGTTACACTATTTACAACATATAATTCCAATGACAAGGTTCTTCCCGGTATTCAAAAAATGAGAAACTTCTTCACCATTTTTTTTAACCTTCTCAAGTGGATTTAAGATGCCAACAATTATTCACTGATACCAAAAATCGTCAGCTCAAGCCCTACACATCATGGACGTAAACTCAGAATAGCAAAAAAAAAAATCTTGTGACGACGATGAAATTGGGGAAAAACAAATATCCTTTTAAACCTTTTAAAATCCCACGTTTCCGCAATGGCTTCAGAAAACAGCGGAGTTGGACAATGCATTGACACTTACCAGATCCCTCGAAGATAAATCGTCCCGAGCCAGTGACGGAGTTGAGATTAGCACGTTTCCAAATGACCTGCCGGGTGTCCATTGCAACAGCCAAGTGACCCTTTTCGGGCCGCTTTCGCAAGAAAAACTTGTAAACCAAGACGCCCCGCTCCACCGCAGCAAGCTGGGCGCCGAGGTTTGAACCTTCCGTCGGGCTCATCACATTTTCACTGAACTAAAACAACTATCCCGTAAAGAAATAACGTAAATACGATAAAGAAATGAATGTCTGCGAAAAGGAAAAATGATTGAGCAAGTTTATCCATCTTCCTGTGACGAGAATATTAAGAACATAAAAAATCAACATGCCTTTGATGAAGACTGCATCAGTTTCAAACCGCTGCTTTTAAAGAATTCCCGGACTGACAATATATATGCTTGATCAAACCAAGCAAAATAGATCAGGAGAACACTGGAGCTTCAACCGCCGTTCTGATTTGATACACCAGATTTACCAACGCACATGCACTTAAAAAAATTTTCGAAACCCTAGGAGTGGAACACTGCGCCACTTGTTAAATAGAGTACACGAGCATACCGTGGATTCCGTTTCATCAAACTACAGTATGTCAGTTGTGTCCTTAATTTGCTCCCAGGAATGCTTCCAAAGCAAACCAGACAGGTGAAAAATCACCCTTCCGCAGACGGAATTTGAAACTTTTGCCATGTGACACAATAAAATCCGTGCAAAAATTCAACTTTACAGAAGATGAAGTTAAATGGTTTGGGACTGCAGAGATTTTCCGAATAGTAAATCGAAAAGAAGAGCAACTTTGTGCAAGCCAAGAAAATTTTCATCCCAGTGATAAAATACTTAACAGTACTTCAATTCTTCTCGCAGAACTGAAGAAGAGGTAACATAAAACAGGTCAAGTGTTTTTGTCTCGAAAAAAATCTCGGAGAAACTCAGAAAAAACACAGAACAGGAATCTAGAACACATGCAACAATTCCTGACCCTTTATTAAGATAATTCTCACAATTTTCGGAAGATATGCTCATTCCATATCACGAACATTTTGAACCACTGGGATTTTGTTTGCAATCCTGAACAATAACTCGAATGCGTTTCAAAAATTCCCTTTTAACAGACCGCGGACAGGACTCTCGACTGACAGGAGTCAAAGCGTTGACCAAGTCGTCAAGCTTCAGATCAGCTTGCTTGGCGTCAATGACTTGCCTGGCCTCGTTCTTCATTGTTTCCGGCCAATTGCCTTCCATCAAATCAAGACGAAGCAGTTCACGAAGACGCTCTTTTTCCCCACTCGTCGCCATTTTAATTAGGACGTCTTCACGAAGCTGCAGTTCGCGGGCATCATTAGTGTGATCAACTCGCGTCGCAGGTAGGCGGGCACCGTTGCACGACACTACTGTTGGCGGACCTACCACACCACCGGCAAGTAAAAGACAAAACATTTCTCCTGCAACGAAGCAAACATCGTCAGAATTCCGTGTAGATGATTCACTAAATGCAAGCGTTACCGTCATCGTAAAACTAATTGCTTGCTCAAACCAATGACTCGATAACAATGGGTGGCAGAATCACAAGATCGGATGGCTATAAAAAATATGCAGCATACGCTATCCAAGAAAATAAATCTACGATGCAAGCTGTGGTTCCATCATTTTTTGCTTCTTCACTTTCACGCGTACTTGTGTATCTGCAGGAACAACTATGCTCTCTGGTGAAGCTCTCGGGGGTTCTGGTAAGGATAACTCATCTTCGTGTAACAAGTCCTTCAATTCATTGTCCAGGTCTTCATCTGACATCCCCTCCACAGAAGCTGAGAAGTCGCGTAACATAGCATTGATTTCTTCTTGCTTCTCGGCGCCTTCTTGAGTTTCATCCAAGATTTTCTCTATTTCAGCTATGTCCATCATGGCGTTCATTCTCTTCAGCGACTCGTTCCCGACTCTGAGACCTTCTACCACGTTCATCTCTACCTGCTTGAATTCTATATCCGATACCAGTCTTTCCAGGTTATCCATTTGATTGCTGGTTTTTTCCAATAAATCTTCCTGGAAACGCTTCTTTCGCAAAAGCAGCTTAGCTCTTTCTCTCTGGTTCTCTGATAACAACTTCCTTGCCAACATTCGGTCCTTCTCCATGACTGCCTCAATTCGTTTCTGGTATTTGCGCAATTCATCGCGTTGCTGCTTCAACTGTAATACTGCGATATCTTGCTCAGTCACTCGGGAAACAGGCTTCTTACTCTTGCTAGAGAAGATTCCCATAATAATGACAGCCACAGGCTTCCAAAATTCCTGGGAAATGTTTGAGAAAAATCAGACCTACTACAAGGGGATACGAATGGTGCGCCAGGCCTACAATAAATTTGTTTGGTCCCGTCCCTGATCAGTAACAATATATCGATGTGCACATAAAAACGGCGCAATTTTTGAAGGACGAATGCCTTGCGCATCTTCAAACGTACGCACGAGTATTTTTCAACAACTCACCACGTATGATGAATACACTGCCGAAGCCGTCCTTTTTCTTCCACCACAACGGGGTATGGTTTCAGTTCATGGCACAGCAGACTATCGCCAGAAATCACGACATATTCATATCGAAAAATATTCGCTATCCGAAAGAGTAGCTGATTTTATATGACTCCCAGCACTGTACCGAACGAACCGAAATGGGGCTCAAATTATGACGAGACAGAAATTTTCCGAAGGCCCCTAGTACGTTACAGTACATGGGTTAGCGAATTCACTCAGTTCATGACCAACAGCATTCTGAAAATTCGGGTAGCAGTACCAAACTCGAAAATGAATCGTCCTATAAGCCATGCTGTACTGAGCAAATGAAAGTGAACCACGGTAGAATCGGACTCTTCAGAGCAGGGACCGCCAAAGTTGCTCATACTGTACTTTGCATGCCATGCTTCCATCAGCTGAGGATTCTCTGCTGTTAGAATCAGCATGAAAATTTTCAATCTTTAAAATTTGCATGAACGCGAGAGGATTTCATAATTTGAAGTTTTTAAAACATCCGCCTCACTTCATTCAGTATCTTGAATATTTTGGCTTTTTTGTTGTTGCTTAAACTAAACCGCACAGCGCTAGCATTACGATCATCGCTCAGCCCCCACATGCCCGTCTTACGCAAAGGTTCGATTTATCCCTTTGCAATGGCTGCTAAGCTCTGTCGCCAATTCTCGGACCAATCATGTCTCTCGATATCTGCGCCATGAGCTCCAATCATAACAAAAGCCTTTGTTTGATTCATGCGAATTTGAGCAATGTTTTCGTGGTTCTGCTGAACTGTGTTGTAGTGACGACTACTTGCGTACATGCAATTGCGCCTTTTAGAATTTCAATGATTATGTCAGTGGGTGATAATTTGAACCGAAATTCTGTGCGCATCGCCTCGCGTAGTGTCTGATGATCATACTTCGAGGGGTTAGAAGAAGGAATATTTGAACTTGTCGTATTTTTGCGGTTCATCCGCCCGATTCTACCGTGGTTTACTCTCATTTGCTAAGTACATCATGGTTTATTCAATTTATGCAGATCTGAAGCAATTTTTTGTTTGGATTCGACCAAAACCTGTCCATTAATAAGTATGGATTCAGTATGTACCGATAGCATGTAGCTAGTCATCTCCAGGAAAGCTCCTCTGCCTTCCGGGCCTCATCCTGGTAAAGTTCAACCACCTTGTTGCGTTGATATTCGTCTAGATCATCTAAGTAATGCTTATTTTCAGCCCTGATGATGGTTTCCACCAAAACAGCGGTCGGCAACTCGGCTTTGGCATTTGCGGGAACTACGAGCGTATTCTCTTCCACCTTAACTCGCTTTTTCGGCCGTGCCAGTGAGTTTTGAACGGTGATATTTCCTATACAGTACATCTTTTCTTCACCACAAGGTTATTCATTTGGTAGAAGGCGAGTTGATCCGTACACCGCTGCCACCGCCCATGTTCGCATCCGACCAGGAATAACGTGACACACGGAAGCACTCATCTCAAAGGTAAGTCACTGATTTGATAACCGTTTAGATATTTGATATTTTATTGGTGAACTGTTCCAGGTTCACAGTACAACTAACTGGTTAAATTTACCTGGATCAAACCGCAGAGGTACATTCTTATTCCACGTGTCGGTGCGTAATCACCGAGGATGGAGGGTCTCCCTGAAGCTGCGGGAATGAATCTCTCGGAGTACAACGAAGCCAAGCAGACCGTTGAAGACTTCTTATCGCGCGGAAACCATTTGGTGGAAGTCGGGAGCTACTCCGATGCTCTGCTTGTCTTCACCCATGCACTTAGCATTTATCCCAACCACGTGCATTGTTACATTGCCCGCGGATATGTGTGAGTTACATTCATACCATTCCTTTTCAAAGTATCTCGTATCGCGAAGTTTTATTTGAATGGATTATCTGTGTGGAAGTTCGTGCTTCACTGCCCAGTTCAGGTGAATTTATGTGCGACATTTCAACTAAAGTACTGTACTCTACGAGGTGTTCTTCGTTCCAAAACGTATCAGACTCGCAAGATCGCGTGGAAATGTGCGACAAAATTCATATTGAATTTCTGTATTGTAAGAAATCTCACAAACCTGAATCTCCGAGACTTAACGCAATACCAAGAATTCTTGAAATAAATCTATAAAATTGGCAGTTGGAAGCATTTGCGATAGCCCGAAAAAACGCTGAATGAAAATTATGTTTGACCCGCACTGACACCCCGAGCCTTTTTCAAAATGTATGTCTTGATGCCTGACCCGAAATGAAATTCTTCCTAACCTCGGTTAGCTGTGACAGCGTTCCAAGCAAAGGTATACAGTAGTGGATTTCTTTTAAGCAAGGGCCATCGTATGCTCCGTAAACTTTGACTAGAACCGCATTTTCTGGGAGAAGAGAACACGTAATTGCTGGTTTTTTTATTTTAGTTTTATATCCGGATGTCCTCAGATTACTTGAGGGTATGAGGCTTTTTCGTCAATGAAATATGACGATTGAGAATTGCAGGAAAAAAGCTCAGTTCCAGGTATTCGAGCAATTATTTTTTGAAAAACATTACCCTGTTGAAAAGCTTAGTAGATCATGCTTTCGTGATGGATGAATTACGAACGCAGGGCTCTCTAAGTGACTTACGGAATGCGGCACCCATTAATGTTCACGTTGAAACTAAAAATTTTGAAGTTGCTGAATAATGTGCATTATGTGGAATTCTAGATCATGGAAGAGCTCTATTCAGAAGCTAATATTTATTTAATTACATCGAGGCGCGTGCCATGTCTTTCAGCTTCTTGTTCAATTTACTTCGGTGAAAATCAGTTCAAGAAAATACAGTGGTAAAAACACGTTTGTTGGAGAAAGCGTTCGAAAAATAATCTGATGGTTTGATAGTATCCCGATGTTGCCTGCGGTTTTCTGTGGGAGCAAATCAAATAAGTGTCTCTCGTATCCCCCTGATCACCTTCGGCGTGTAATGACTCTTCTCATTTCCAAGGTGTAAAAGGACTGCGAAAATCTTACATACTGTAAATTATAATTGTGAAATCTTGCGACCTCCGTGAAACTTCAGACGCGGTTGACCCTGTTATTTTTAGTTTCCACGTAATTCCGCGAGTAAACAACGATTCATCTGATTCGGGCGAGATTGCCAGCATACCTAGAACATGACTAATTCCCGTGTTCTCTTTCCTTCTCGGATCAAAGACTTTCTGGGATAAAATCGTGAGCGACATGATTACTGCATTCTTCTCATTGTATCCAAGACCATAAAAACTAAAAGTAGAAGAGGATTAAGAGATGAGGATCAGAAATTCAGAACCTGTTTTTCCTCCTTCGCTGTTCACGAAATTCCTCAAGATAAACTTCTCAAGATCAGTTCAAGTTTTTGTTTTTTGGGCTAAATGTGATGCGCATTGTTTTCCCCGTTCTCGTCGACCGAATCAAGTGAGTGTGATGTAAGCAAAACCGGAAAGTACAGTAATTATCTTTTTAGGGGCTTGAACAAGTAATTTTAATCCTGCTTATGTTTTGTGTGAAGTTTCCTGGTGTGCTAAGTGATCGCATTTTGTTCTAGCCACCAAGAGATGGGAAATTACGAAAAAGCAGTTGAAGATCAGTGGCGAGCCGTTGAGTTAGATCGGAAAAACCCCGTTGCCAGAAAATATTTGTCTATCGCACTGACGGCACTCAGTCGGAAGTAAGTACGGTATCGTCTGTTTGGGTTATCCCAAATTATAGAGATTGACTAAAACAAATTTCAATTATTCTGCACATACAAGGTGATATGCATTTATTGTGTGTCTCATTCTTGATTTACTCAGGATGCTCATGGCTGGAAAGATTTCTGAAGCACAAAAACTTCTCACTCGTAGTATACACGTGTATCCCGAAAATACGGATGCTCGAGAAATTCTCCGGAACATCGAATTGAACTTCTCAACGGTAAGTTCAGGATTTATGTGATTACTCATCGGCTGTGATGAAATTTAGTGTCTTGTGGTGCGGCGAAATGATTAGTGAGCGAAATGGAACGAAAGCGGTGCAGGATGAGAGTGGAATAGCTATTGAAACCGTATTTACTCATTTAAAGTATTCGTTTTATTGAGCAGTGTACAGAATACCGAATTTAAAGTTCGGTGTCTATCTAATAGGATGCATTTGAGTTGTCGTTTCGATCCCGTTAAAATGCGCCTAATTTTCCCCAAAGTGATGACTTTAGTCATGGAATCTGCCCTGGCGCTATGTTTGAAATTGCAAATTTCCAAGATTGTGTCTGACCCGAGGTTAAAAGGTCGGATGAAGATGCTTTTTCGCTTTTTTTTCAAATGTCGGATTTTGAATCAGCAATTGAAAGAGTACTGTTCTACTGTTTTCGTATATGGAATTTAATGAATACGTATTACATTTTATTTTAAAGCTGATCTTTCATAGAGTCGTTTTACGATTGGAAATCAACTTTCCGAATTAAGTCTTCGGAGGCATTAATGGTCGTATCGCTTCTTTTTGGCGGGGATTCGAAAAGATGGGAGACCAGGTCGTGGATGAAAAGATTCGCGCTCAGGATGCGGGACAGAATGAGCAGATTTTCATCGTGCCGAAGCTGGAAGCCTCAGTTCCTCCAGAGAACAGAGTCCCAGGAACTGTTCTGCTGCCGTGTCCGTGGTCTCCCGGAGACCAGAATTCGCGTATGAGTGAGCACGAATTGCCGCAATGGTTCAACCGAAGTCCGAGCAAACAGGCCAGTAATGCGTTTGATACATCCATGGCCGAGTTCATGTCGAAGTTCGACGATTTGGAGTCTCTATGGATGCGTAGTGAAGTTGTTCCGCCCGGGTTTGAGCAATTACGATCTGACAGTGGATATTCGACGATGGACGATCAAGTTAGTGAAATGCTTGCTCTTTTAATCGTAATCTGCCATGTATGAGACCCTTTTGTGGCAAAAATCCAGTTCATACACTGTATCTTGAATAACTCGGTGAGCTAAATAGCGAGAACCGGTTTCCGTTCAGTATCCCTAAACGGCTCAGTCTCGATGAGTTCACGAGGTTAAACTTCGAAGCTTGATTGGCTAGTTCATTGACTTGCGAGGTCGTGTTCCTTTTTCACCCTAGGTTGCTGCTCATACATCCACTTTTGATCATCCGGAATGACTATTGAATTTCCTTTCAGAACATGTAGACTGGATTTTTATTGAATCCCACAGGTGCGCCAACAACAATGGAAGCAGCCCAAATTTTACCATCATAAGGGTGAGAGCAGTTTCAAAGAAGTCGTACCTCGACCATCTTCTGGTGTTGCTACATCTGTCACACATCGTGAGTCACCGTTGACTGTTGAGAATTTTATTTTTTTAAGGAAGATTTTACTGACAAACCGTGTGAAACCCTCAAGCTCACGTGTTCGTGCTTATGTCGTTAATTTTCTGTGTTGACCTTATTTGTGTGATTCCTTTCGTGTCTCGTGCCAAGATTGAGGAGACCCAATCCGCAGTTCTGTTCATAGCCTAGATAAGATACTGGCGGGAGTTTCTGAAATACCATGCGGGTGCCCCATCCTGTTAACCAAGTTCGACAAAATTAATTGAATAAGATGTTTGATACTTCCCGTCGTGCGTTTTAGAAAAGTACTGTACGTCACCAATTCGTGTGTCTCTGGTTACAGTAGAAGGATCGAATAACTCAGGAGATTGATTTTTGTGAAATTTTCCAGTTGTTGACGTGGTTACATTTTTGAGATGAAAATTTTTTAATGAGATGTTCAATTCCGTGAATCAAGTATTTTTCCCTTTGATACCAAGGTGGAAGCTACGGTCCTTTGGCTCCGTTAACTGTTACCATGAGATCAGGCGAAGAATCCCGACCCAGCGAAGACCTGCTGATTTCTCCGAAAACCCACTTCAAGCCCATTCAAGACGAGATGTTCAACGATGGCACGACGTTTTCTGCGCCGACGACGATCGAAGATCCCGTTGAGTTTGTGCGGGATGCCAGTGGCGCCTTTCTTACGTTGACAGCTGACTCGGGCTCGAATTGTGGTTCTCCGAAAAAGTATATGGTGTACCGGCGAAGCAAAGGCGAACAATGGGTAGAACATAGACAGGCAGAAGATGACGACGACGAGGAGACGGATGAGGCGAATCTTGCACGTGGAGGAACCGTGGAAGACGTGGAACCTTCCCAGATGACGTTTTGCAAGAAGAATGGCCCGGGGCAGAACTTCGTACCGAAATTCAAGGTACACTGCTCTAAGCGAGAGAAGACGTGTCAGACTGATGAGGTTAGTTGATCCGAGGTTTAATTTCGAGCGCTGGAGCAGTGAAAATGGCGTCAACTTGAAGCAGATCAGTGTTTTCAAAAATCAGGAAGAATTGCGTTACGAATATTATAACCTCATTTCTGTTCTCTACGTTAACAAATCCCTGAACGAACTCGTTAAATCAAAGTTCATGGACGATAAATATGAAGCGTTTACAATAGTTCGCACGCAAATTATAACGATGTGTCTGCTTCGGATCCGATGATCTGGGATTCTAATCGCACAATCAAGCTTTTAACCAGAGATGTTGACTTTCACGAAAAACGTAGTTTTAATCCCAAATGCTTCTATCATTGGAAAAAGCTTGTATCTCTTGTCTGCCTCTAGAAAAAAATTGCTGATTTTTATTTCTGTTTTACTTCGGAATTTTTGTCATGTTTTTCAAACAGCCGTGTGTCTTTTGGTGCCGGAATATAAGAAGAGAATTGCTCCTGATTATGCGCTGACTGAGCTTACAATAAAAGAGCTAAATTTACTCTTCAAAGTCTTCACATTTTTGTGGAGTACCCTTTTTACTCTGCTGTAAACCGAACTTAATCGCCTGAAAAGCTCAAAAACGCTGGTGGGTCTCCGGCTTTGTGCTGGCTTGGATTTGAAAGATGGAATGAAATATTTTTTCAATAAAACATGCTGTAATAAAGACTGTTAAGTTTTCTTCTTCCGGACTGCCTTTCCGAAGTGACGTGATCTTCTGAGTGGGAGAACCCGTTGGTGAAGAGTTAACCATTGAAATTATCATTTCATATTTATGATACATTCTTTAAATTTTCTTCATTTTGCGTTCTGGGCAGTATTAAATCTTGTTCATACCCATTCTATGATGAGGGTGCGGTCTCGCGGCCTTCAGTTGTTGTCCAGTAAATTTTTGCTTGGTCTTGAGTCTCCTGACTTTTCATGAGTGCAAAGATGACTTGACTCTTATTTCGCTGTGAACTCTGATGTACGCATCATCTCTGCTGATATGCTTGAGAAATTGAATTTTGGAGGACCTACCAATTGTGCATTTCTCGTGTTACTTTTTTAAAACGAGAATTATCAGGTGTTCCCGACTTGGGGATGTGAGTGAGCTGTTGCTTTTTTATTTGTTCATTGACTGTCCTTCGTTATACTCCAGAGGGGAATCCATGTATTCGTATTTTCACTGTGTTCAGCACAGTATTAATTCGTTCTATGAGATGAAATAAGAAGCGTATCTGATTAGTTTTATGCGTACGCATCCCTGCTCGTTGCCCTTAAAAGGAATCTCATTTTTCAAGCTTTTATGGAAACATTGTTCTATGCAATTTTAACTCTAAAATTTTCATAATACACTAACTGACCATATGCGCATGGGGCCTAATGTGTCTTTTGAATAATCCTGAAGTTGTACTGTATTTTCAGAAGTATTCCTAGTTGCTAGGTATTTTAATGGAGGCTTTTTGCCTGATTTCAGACGATGCTCTTCCTCGCGAAACATGCGTCGAGCGGCGTAACCCGTGACTGTCACTAGAACCGTTTTTCTGTGTTTATTTTTATTTTTTAGTAGGTCACTTTCGTATCTCGAGCACACAATTAATCGGTATCCAGCTTTTTTCCCAGCTGCCTTAATAGGAAGTTTTCTTCGATGTATCAAGAACGACTGAAACATTCCGCCTTCGGTTTATTTGAGGTGACTTATGTCTGGCAAGCATGGAGAAGTCTGAAAAATTGTCTTCGAATGTCCTTTGTTTCCGATATCTAATGCGCTGACAGGGCGATGATCTTGCGTTTTTAAATTGATAGCCTTTGCAAATAAATATTTTTGCGCAGTAAATCCTGTCCACCTGTTGGCGATAAATTCGTCGAATTTCTTCGATTTTCCTCTTCGCCTTGTGTTCCTCCAATACCATGAAAATACGTGGTCATCACTCATACTGAGTACAGTACAGTAAAATGTCTACTCCACGAAGAAAAAGCAATGTCAAGAATGTTCATTTGTCGATTTTGCTATTTGATATTATTTGTATACTGTATAGAGCTGTGCCTTTTCATTGTTAGGAAATTTAAATTTTCATAGATGTTGTGTTCCGTAGCCGAAGTTTCGATTTCTCCAGAAAGACGCGTCCAAATGTAGAGGGCGGAACCGAATTTTTTTTCTGATTTTTAAAAGAGGTAGTGTTTCAGAAGCCAGAATAGATTAAAAAAAAAAGATGAACTGATGTTTGAAGGTTAGTTTGCTTAAACTGATTTTTCATTGTTTACCCAATTCATTATACAGTATTCGCCTTTTGCATTAAATTCGCAATGGTCATTTGTAATATGCTCATCTTTGAGAAAAGCTTTCCCCAACGAAGTAGTGAGCCGGATTTAATCGCAGACAGATTCTTTACAAAGAAATTCTCAGTATAACGATTTTTTCTCAATAGGCGTGGTTTCTACTCATCACGAAGGGGTCATTAGTCATTACAAAGAAAATTTTCTGGTTCCCTGAATTACGGAAAACTAAATTTACATGACGAATCTTTACTTCATGCAATTGAGATGTATCTGTATATTTTCATTTGTTGTCCTCCGTTAAATGGCTGTTATTGCCAATTTAAATTCAAACACGAATGACGTTCAAAAAATGTGGGGGTTTCCATTTTTGCTTTCGTCTTTTAAGACCAATCAGGAGGAAAGCAGAAACGAGCGAACTTCTGGATTAAATTGTAGATACTGCGTCAAGTTTAATTTATTTTTTGAATGATTAGAATATCTTCATCACAACACTCGATTAGTTCATCCACTATTTATGATGTGTCTGGAGTAGCAATAATGTGCAAGCACACACTATTGAAAACAGTTGGGAGTGCGCTGTAGTTCGTGTAAAGAATTTCAAGTTCCCATTCGTCCTACCCGATAAATCGACGACTTCCCTTTTTTATGCACGTGTCTGTGCCACTTCGGAGCTGACAGGGTGGAATTCCTCACAGCGTTGTTCCTTCCATTTCTTCCACGAAGAAAGTACGCGCAGTGAAGTGATTTGGAAAATTCCTTAGTTTTATTCCGCTACGCGAAGAGTCTTTTCGAGCATAATTTCTTCTGTCTTATTAAGTTTATTTTAGAAATACGCCGTTGGAAATCCTATTCACATATTTTTGCTCAGAAATGGGATTTTCTTCATTACCAAAGAAAGCGAAATGCGGATTTGTCGTCAGAGAGAAAAATAAATTTGCCAGAAAACCTCCTGCGGTGGTTGTAAAACGAGTCGCCCATCATTGTGCTGTAATCTGTGAAAATGGCCGAGTACCGCCTGCCCTGAACCATGACTACCTGAGCGAAGTGTAGTACAGTACAGATTTTTTAAAAGTATTTTTTGACGCGCCTATAACCTCAGTATTGTTTATTGTACTCAACATCTGATTAATTATGGGGAAGGTCATAGGATTCTATGGGTTTCGGCGAAACATCGTCGTTTGGGGGGAGAATATTCGCGGGACCCAATTCTTAGCGAAATGATGATCCCATTGACCTTCACCTCCAGTGGATTCTTTCTCCACTCCTAGCAACATGCATGCTCTCTGGTCTCTATAGGATGAATGTTGACCTTGACTAAGTACTTCACGCGTCCTTGGAGTCCCGTGTTTTTGCGAGTACAGTACCTATCTTTTATTTTACCAAAGCGTGATATTATTTCGAAAAGAGGTAAACATGCGAAACAAAAACGTTCATCAACGTAATGATTGGATCTGGTTATTTTCACTCGTTGAATTTGCCGAGGTTTTCGGTCTTGCTGCTTCGATGTCGTAGTTTCTGGAAAACTTCGTTTGGTGCGGTTTGTCACTTTCGAACGGCTTCCTCTATTTTATTGCTCACTTCTGGACGGAAATCGCGACTCACTGTGATTTACGTTCGTCACGTGTCAGATTTATACACAAAAATGAATTTGTTTGTTGACGGCTTGATGTACTCTTCTCTGCAGCGGGACGTGATGCACGCGAAAGTGTCGAATGAGCAGTTCATCAACGATATGTTTGTGGGCGCCCCGAGGTCGGGGCACGGGTTTCCGGCGCATTTCAATCAGTCACCGCCGAGCCACGCTGAGAAGATCCAACAATGGTTTGTGCGTTTTCTTCATTTCTTGAAAATGTGCTTGTAACGGAAGTTTAAATTTTTTCGGGATTTTTGAAAATATATTGTAGAGGATATTCGGGAGATGTTTAGCTACTTTCAATTTGAAGCCACTTTCGTGGCATGTATGCTACTACGGTGATCCGAGATACCCGAGATAATAAGACAGAAGAAATTATGTATGCTACTACGGTGATCCGAGATAGGTTAGCGGTGTTTAGCTATTGCTGTGAAGTTCGCATTTGTTCCTTCGAATAGATATTCTTATGAGCTTTGCATTTTGAGATTGATGAGGTCGTTCAATTCCCCGTTTATTGTGTTGATTTATATCGATTGGGGCGTTTTTCAGTTAATAATGCTGTATTGAACAGCATGCTCTTGGCATTTTTAACTGTTGATGTAAATCATTCAAATTCTATCGATGAGTTCCTTGGTGAATCACAATCCTTCGAGCAATCGAGTGTGTGCGTGGTGCGCAACGCGTATTTACTCGTTTGATAAAACGTGTGTGTCCTTTTTTGATGAACCCAACTGAGGTTCTTGGTTTTACTGGTCCTGGAATCTTAATTTCCTTTTCATCCTTCAGGTGTCGCTCCATTGTGTCCCACATTGTTTCGTAATTTATTCAAGTACTGTATACAGGTGGACTCCCTCTACAAAGAAATTCAAGCGCCGAGAAAGAGAATTCATTGTAGGAGAAGTTTTGCTGTAGAAAACTACTGTAACATGGGAAAAGAACCCTTTGGGACCAAACAATTTTTTTATAGATGGAACATCGTTGTGGACAGGATTGTTTTAGAGAAAGTCTACCTGTATTGGGTCAGATGTGAGAACTTGTTGGTAAATTGGAAAAGGAAAATTTTTTCAAAGTTAGATGAAGCCTTTATGGAATTCCTGAAAGAAAGTCCTGCTGTTCAAGTCAGAAGAGTAGAAAATTATCATTTGTGAATAATAAATCAGAATTCGAAGAGTACGGTATACATCCACGTTGCTTCACTGATCGTTGATTCAAGTACCGCTGTTTGAAAGGTAGCCTTGTGTCAACCTCTTGCGTGATCTTCGCGTGACTCTTTGAGATTCTTATTGCTATTTTCCTTTCTACATATTTTCATCGAACTGTAGGTATTCGTCCTGGGAAGATGATGACAGTAAAAATCGCGCTGCCCCACAAGCCATGGTTTTTCCATTGGAGATGGACGACGCCCGACGGGAAGACGACGACGAAGAGTTGCTCCTGCACGACATCCATGTGTTGCGAGAATTGGAATTGAAAGGCGACGACGTGAATGAAGAGGAGGAAGCGGAAGATTCTGGCTTAACTGACGTCGTTGCGGCGCGTTCGTTTGACAACGCTAATGATCAGAGTTGGGAGCAGTCGCCACAAGACGGTTTCTATCCGGTTAGTTCTGATTAATGTATTATGTTAATTGCGGGTTCCATTTTTGTCATTTTAACTTTTTTGATGAGGTCAAAACCAGGCTTTCCCGAGCATTTGAAATTGAATGAATGTGTATGAAATTGAGGATACCTTTTGAAACTTGAACTATGAAAGATATTCTTCATGCTTTTCGCAACACTTCGAGCAAAAAAAGAATGCTTCCGGAGATTCTTTCCGTATCTCTTGAGATTTCAGAAATATCAATATTATCTGGAAAACGGAAAGAAAGCTTTCCCGACTCTAATATTGCTTGATACCAAGTACTGCACAGCTTTTTGTTACGGAAGTGCCTGTCGTCTAAGGGTATCTCTTTGTTCCTATAGATATATTCCGAAGAGGACGGATACGGTGTGGGCCATTATGGTGAAAGCGTTCCTGTTGAGTACTTGGACAGCGACTTGTACGATGCCATGTTTGGTCTAGATGCCTCAAGGCCCGAACTATTTCTGTCATCTTCGCTTGGCTCCAAGGTAAGCAGTTTTTCTTGCTTTTTGAGCCAAAACTCCTGCACTGTTTAAACTTGAGTTAATGCTCGAGTATTCTTGGAATGCGAGAAATTTTTCGAGAGTCACTGTTAAATTTGCTGCCCATGGCGTGCCAATTTTTTTATAACGACGTAAATTTTATAAAGAAATTATTCTGAAGAGAAATAATGTAAGGGAAAATGTGTCCTTCGTCGCAGTTTGATTGTAAGATAATTTTTTTGAAGAATATTGTACATCCTCCGGAATTACAATTTTCGCGACGATTTTTTTAAAAGCTGTATTTCGGTCAGAAATTTTTTTCAATTGTTCATGAAAATGTTTCCAATTGAAATGAATATTTTATAATGTACCCATAATATTTCACTTTTTTTACAAAAATTAATGAATTTTAAAATGGCAGTCCGAAATGGAGAGCAGCAAAAATAAATCGTAAGAAATGTCGTTCTTTGTGAAGTCCTTCACAAAAAGAAATAGAAAAATCATAAAATAACCAAATTGATTTATGAAAAAATCCCTTATTTTTCTTCGTTGGAAAATCTTTTTCGCGTCTTGAAAAAATTAGCGGATAACTAGGGAAAAGGCCCAGAACAGGAAAAATCATAAAAAATATTTCCTTATAGATTTTGAAAATGTTCAGCGATTCTTTAAAATTCGTCATTCATGCAAAATTTGGGAACCAACGTCACCTAATTTTTTTCAGTAAACAGAAAATTTTCATTACGAGCTTCCATGACCCTCCGGTTTGGATGAAAAAAATCAAATTTCTGAATAGAAACCATGAATACATTCAAGAGAGACATATGTACAGTAATCATGAAGAAAATCACGAAGTCGGTCATTTAATGAAAAGATTCAACGTGTTTAGTGTACGCGATTCGTAACAGATCACTAAATTTTCGATCAACAATCAAACTTCCTCGTATAGGTTCGCAAGCGTAACCACTCGGGTGCAGATTCGTCGTTTCGTAAACAGCGTTTCCGTGGCTCAAATTGGGCTCCATGGCAGCGTCGTCCAGGATCCAACACTAGCACGCCATTGTTCAAAGAGCGTCCTTGCTCTTTCTTTCTTGAGGGCAGGTTAGTATTTTTAGTGTAAACTGACTTCGTTTGTAAATGACGATTTTCTCCTTTTTAGTATTTTGTGTACTTTACTGCGAAACTTCGATGCTGTTAAAATTTGCCGTATTTATTCGAGTACCACACGTATCTCGTTTTTTAGTGTGGAATTAGATCGAAAATGTATTCCTACTTCGCTACGGAAATCGCGCACCCCCGTCTTTGATGGTTCAAAATTTATTTAATTAATTTTTTTAAATAATAATGTTGAAAGAAATAATCTCCAAAATCAATACCATATTTCCTTGAGTACCACACACCCTTGTGTAAGACTGACTCATCGATTTTTTGGCTCAAATTTTGCCCAAAACCTTTTCTCGTATAAGTCCTGTACCCCAGTTTTTGTTAGCTAAAAATTGAATTTTTACAAAATAATCATTTTAATGAAGGAACATAGAGCTTTGAAACAGGATGGGTCGCCAAAAAATTTTCAAATTCATTTTCTTCTAAGACTAATTTCTGAGTTATACCAAGATTACTTTTTTATGTATACCACGCGCGCACCACTTTTCTGAGTATATTTTCCCGAGGGAAAAGGTGCGCGCGCTTGGTACTTGAGTAAATAAGGTATTATGAAAATTATCATTTTGAGAGGTCGGCGCCGAATTTTTTTTTCCTATTTTCATCTGAAAAGGCTCACCTGCAGTTTACGCAACTGAATTTCATGATTCTTTTTTACTTGAAAAAATGTATACCTGCGTACCACGCGCACCTCACTTTTCTCCCTCAATTTTGCAAAAAAAAAGGACGCGTGGTACTTGGGTGAATACGGTACAGTACTTTGGTTTGATTCGTTCAATTTCCTATTCTTAGGGATTTCTTTCAACGGAATTTTAAATTATTTGTGTTGTGCCAAGCAGCTGCAAAAAGGAACACGACTGCAAGTTTTCGCACGATTTGGCGTCGATTGCTTGCCGATTTTTCGAAGAGGGCTCTTGTTTGAAAGGGGAGCTGTGTCCGTTCAGACACGGACCTGCGCCCGAAACGCCGCCGGGCTCGTACCAGTTCGGATCATCGCCAGGCAGCTCCTTGTCCGCACAGTTTCAACAGTGGAGGGCCCAGCAGAAGTTCGATTCGAAAGCCTACGATGGCAGCGCGAGGTGATCAATTTTTTTTACCTGAAGCACAAAAATGTTCTCGAGAGATTACTTGATATTTTCTTTGTTCACTTTTTGGTTTGATTTTGTTGAAAACTTTACGGAACTGTTTTTTAACTGCAATGTGAGATTATAAATCAATTCTTTCCATGATGTAGCTTTAAAAAGTCCCCGAATGAGCATCAACGAAAGCCAAGAATGTTCTTTGGAGCGAATAACGGCTCACGAAGTCTGTCATGAAAGGGCACTGGGGGCTGAAAACGGTACAAAAAATTGGTAAAATCTGTTCAAGTTTAGCTAATGTTCTTGAAATCTATCACCAAGCGAGAATCTCAAATTTTCTGACGCGTGAATTATCTTTACCATCATTGAAAATTAGGTTGATTAATGCCGTGACAGTTTCCTCTAGAATTTCGCTGAACGATGCATGAATCATTCAGAAAAAGCTGAATGACAACTATTCCTGACTTGAAATGTCTCGTCAGTTTCATGATTATGCACTTCTGGGAGTAGTCCATTGACGTTGAACATGTGATAACTTCGACTCACACTTGTTGCAATCCACTGGGAATTACTGCATAAGTTTATTTACCCATTAGATATCAGAACTAACGCAGGAATGTCTATGAAATGGGGAATGATTTTTGTCCTGCGTAAACCTTCTCAAAAACAGCTTCTCCTCGGGAATTATGAAACCTATACGCAGTCTCAATTTTGTTTCGGAAAAGTAATTCTTGATGGTATTTGTTTGTGGAAAGATGAAGTAAGAAGCAATATACCTTTTGATTATTTGTTTAGAACAAGCAATTCTTGAACCCTTCAGTTTCTACTAGCAATTTACAATTTGATAAGTTTGGTGAAATTAGGGACTATTTTGTGGGTCAAATTTGTAGTTCTTACGAGTTGACCTACATTATACCGTATTCGAAAGCAAATCCTCTCCAAATATTTGTGGTAGTTCGTATTTTCAAGAAAGTAGGGTTAAATAAATCAGAAGGATGCGTCTATTGTAGTGAACAATTTTATCTTAAGACTTCGTATTCATGAAGAATTTCAGTACTGAGAAATTGACATGGTCTTATTCAACAGTTCATCGCACAATTCTAATTTTTTCGCAATATCAAATTCAGGTCGCTGAATGATCAACGTCGCAAGTACTACGCTGCGCGGAACGCGAGTGGGAAACGGCAGCGCCACGGCTCTGCTGCTGCCGCCGTCCAGCGCGAAGCTTCGTACGTGTTGTGCTCTGAGTCGGATTTTCCGGCCCTTTCGGCGTCTGGAAAAGACGACGGTCGGAGCCCCAACGACACGGTGCAAGTGACGTGCTCTTCAAACGGCCGACGCGCTCGTCAGAAGAAGAAACAGAAATCTGGTGGACAAGACAACCGAGACGTCGTCTGCAAATTTCTTTCCGGCAGTCGTCAGCATCCTCTGCAACAGGCGATGCAGCAGCAGCAACAGACGTCTCCGGACGCATTCTTGGATTTGGATGCCGCTCTATTGTCGCTCATCATGGATCCGGAAACTGAAGGAGAAGACGGAGCTGGTGGCATACAGTCATCTACGTTTTATGGATCTGGGTTCACAGCGACAGCAGCTGCTGCCGGGGTTTCAATCTGATGAGACTTTTTTTTTTTTTTAGTTCCTGGGGGACCTCTTTCAGAAACGGACCTTATGGTCAAGTTGCGGCAGAAGCTGTTTTTCTTTTCTGGATGAGATCATTGAGTCTCGTATTAGAGCCTACTTCCGGATGAAATAGCGATGAGTTTGTATGTCACAAATCGAAATTTCACGAATCCCAATTCTGCATTTTTCGTCAATCGTTGAAGGGAAAACCATTATTCTCAATCAAACACAGCTTTTGCTTCATCTTGACCCTCTGAAGGTACAATCCTCGTTAGACCGAGAACGAATCCGTCAACTCTGCGCGACTGGAATCCGACTGCTGATTTACTTGGTAATGGGTGGTGCAAAAGGAGAAAAAAATGCTGCTGCAGCAAAAAAAAAAAAACTGTTCGTTAGACAACACTTTCTGAGATGAGGCTTGGTTGCGTGTACCTCGTCGGAAGCGAATATACGAGTTCTGGGAGGATGAATTTTTTCCTGGGACTCCCAGGAAAAAGTCTGTGCAAGTCACATGTGGAAGAGTTAGGTAACTAACGGTATGGTAATGTTACGAGCTTGCCGGAAGCGAATGTTCGATTTTGTTCGAGGTAAGAGTGGGGCTTTTTTGGCGTTTCTGCGCGTGATTCCATTCGTCTTGTGAGACTGAAAATATTTATTTATGAAGTATAGATCATGAATTTGCTTTAGCGTTTGTCCCTGTTTTCGATATGATATTATACGGTAGTTTTAAAATCCATGTAAACTAGGATTCTGTTCGAAACCGATCGTGTTCTGTTGCAGCGTATGTTTCATCAGCTTCGCTAATCATTGAATTGAATGATCTTCGAAACGAGAGAGAATATTTTTTTTAGTTACTTATGTTCAAACACATTATTTCTGGCTTAGCAGCGATCAAAGTGTTGCGGAGGTTTTATGTTCGAGGTCCACGTGAGTTTTATTTTGGAACAAGGAGGGGGAAAAGCTTTTTGTGCGATGTAAGAAAGTGAGTGTTTTCCGTGACGTCTTGTGTAAACAGGGAGACGCATTTATCGATCGGATTCTCAGTTACTTCGTGAAATATTCTGGGGTTTCGTGATGTTTCTTTTAGAATTGTGAAAAGAAGCATGATTATTTTTGTGAATGAGTGGAATTCGTGAGTTTTCGTTGTCGTGGCGTAGTGTGGCAGTTTCTTGAAGGTTCAGCCTGAAGCTTCAGTTTATTTCTCTTTTTTTGTGATTTGACATGATCTGGGTTTGGTGGGTTGGCAATTTTGGGGAAATTCTTCAGCAAACATATTATGGTATATATTCTGTTCCGTTCGTCATTGGTGTGGGTTTTTCAATTCAGTCTGCCGATTTATTGAATGGGATCGTTGACAGAAACGATGAGTTGTAATCTTCGCGTAGCTGCGCAGAAATCTTCCAGATTGAACGCTACTGTAGTTGTGAAGTGTCATTGAAGCGGCTTACGATGGTTTTGGATCAGCCTGATGAAGTAACCTCTGCAAAATTGCTGACTGACCCTGGAAATGTTTTGTGACTTCGTCCGCGCAAATGCAGAGTAATGAATGCGTGAAGAAAACGTTCTAGTCCGCTGTGGCCCCTCGGGAGAGCCACGAAATTAGAAGAGAAATCCTAGTGGGGTGGGTGTATATCGTTCCATCCCATCAGTATTGTGTTTGAGCGTCCATCGCGGCAACTACTGAGGAAAGACGCGAATTTTTGCTCGGTTGAAAGAGAGGAGGGAAGTAGCTGAAAGCAATAACCTGGGAAAATTGATGTGTGTTTGCGGCTGATCACCGTTAGGGTAAGCTTTTTAACGAGGCTTCTGCTTGACTCTAGCACACGGTTCACGGAGAAAAGGGTTCCTTTCATTGTGTTGTTCGGTTGGTAATTCCTCTGAATGTACCTGGAAAAGAGAGAGAGAGAAAAAGAATAGCAAGAAGGGGTTGAATTGGGTGAAGGACAGGGGCACTTGCACTCATTATCGATGTCCTCAACATGGGCATTTCTTCTGAAACTTGAGTTCTACTTCAAAGATGTGTTGCGAATCTTTGCATTTTTTGGTTGACTTTGGGAGGCCCGTATTTCTGAAGGTGAACGATTCGTTATCTGGATTTGACCTCAATGCCATTATGCGCGTTAAACTGGCCTCCCAGAGTTGTTTGCTGAAACAAATGCACATGTAGCAGCCGACAACTCGCGGAACTGGTGTTAAGCACCCAGTCATGTTTGGAAAAATGTCCATGTTGTATTCCAATGTGCAAGTCCTCGACAAAAAAAAAGAGATGAGAATTTCATTGACAACTTTGGTTGTCAGAGGGATTTTTATTCACAAATTTCGACTTGGAAACTTCCTGGAAGGGGGAAAATATAATGCTTTGCTGTTGGCCAGAGCCAGGATTTTTCTGGGTCATGTGCCTGGTTCTGGAAAGCAGCTTTGATGTCCCTGGACAGACGCCATCACAATACTGTCTCTGGAAAAATCAAGGGGAAGAGAAGAACCTTTGAGAGACAGAGGAAAAATTTTTTGACATGACTCAGGGTCCTCTTACAGAATTGGGAAAGGAAATATGAAGGAGACGAAATGGTTAACAATAGGCTTTTCCGCGGTTTTTACCCTCTGTGTGTGTAGGTGACGTGCTTAGGTTTCTCTGCTGCATTATTTTTTTGGGAGCACTCGGAAATCCTCGGCTTTTTGGGGAAATCATAATACCTTTGATTACATGCAGCATTCCCAATGTCCCGTGCTTCATTTCAGCCACAGATTTTATATCTCGAATCGAAGTAATGAGAACAAAAAATGAAGAGGATCTGGAAAAAAAACTGCATTTCTTTATTATTTCATCACTTCATCCAGTTGTATTGACTGAGTGTTGGATCGTTGCTTGACCAATGATTGCATCTCTCCAGCATTAGCATGGAAGTCATGTTTGCAGAAGTCTTGGAATTTTTGCAGGTATTACTGGAGTAGCTGGGCATCAGAAGACAAAACAAACTGAATGTCATCTGTCTTCAGATGACAACACTCCAATGACTTGAGCTGCTGCAATGGATCAACTTGCTGCTGCTGCAAAAAAGATCAAGATTTGCTTGTGAAGCTCCTCAAGAAAAGCATTTAAATGTTGCTGGTGAGTTTACCTACGGGGGATTTCAGATGGGCAGAACAGAATTTTGCTCTTCACAAAGGTATGGAAACTGAGGAAAATGGTGTTAAAGGTGTAGCACATATACAGTATTTTATTTTATTTCCTTAAAAGCAGATTAGTTCAGATGAGTCATACATTCCAAATAAATTCCTTCTTGTGCCCTTGCAATTTTTGTGGAAAAACAATTAAATTACTTCCTCCTTAATCACTGGATCAACGAGGTGGCAATCTTTTTTCTTGGTGCAGTGGAAGAAAATCATTCAGTGTAAATTCCAAACAACTTTTTCTACAGTTGAAGACTTTTTCCTGTTTTGCAATTTTTAGGGAAAATAATGTGTTTTTGTCTACTTTCAGATGGAGAAGGTAAAGTTCTATGACAGGACTGTGAACAGAAAATCTGGCCAATGAAACCAGGATTGTCGTGTTGAAACAAGAAATATCCATCAGGTAGAAACTGGTTCTACCCTCACTTCTACTGGTTCTACCCTCACGTACTCTCCTCATCCAAGCAACTTTTCATTCTTTGATCCTTGGGGAAATCTATATCCCATTCCATGCTTCTTACAATATGAAACAAAACCAACAGGTTTCTGCTGTACTTCAGGAGAAGTTAATTGGTTTGGTTCAATTTTTTAGCATATACAGTATTGAATAAGTTGGTAATTCTTTTTGAAATTTTTTCATTCACTGAAATTCTCCGAAAACAGTATTTTCTTTAACGACATCTGAAAAAAATTCTTGATTAATTCAAGGATGACAGAAAAGAATATTGATTTTAATTGAAGCATGGGGTAGAGATGTGCAGCAGGAACTCCTTCTGTTTGAAATTTGAGCGCAGAATCGTATCGAAAGTGACAAGGTGAGGAAAAAATAAACAGCCCACAGGAAATCCAAGGATTCACGAAATGATCATGTTCATAAACTACTAAATTTCAAATTATCAAAATGCAACAATGCAAACGCATCAGTTTTTTCCCCCAAATGAATAATGTAGACGTGTCGTCGTTTCAATTTCAATCCCGTCATTCTCCTCTTGTGGAATTTTCCTCATTCTTATCTTGCTCCCGAGATAAGGTAGCCCACCAATCTTTTGTCTGGAAGTATCCCTACTGTGATCTGAATGTGAGTTCATGGGGATGTGGAAGTGCTTGGTACTTCATTTCTTTTTAAATTTGTTGATTTGAATGCAATTTTGTTTTTAAGAAGACGGAACAGAATTAAAAGGAGTCTTTTAAAGAAGTCAGAACATTAGACGGAATAATTTGCGAATTTTTGACGCGCTCAACTTCTTCTAATTGAAAATTTTGAGAACAGAACTACTGTATCAGTGTACGAAAAGATGTATGTACTGTATGAACAATTCGTTCGAGATTATTGGTCAATTTGCGTCGAAAATTCGATTTTCACAAAATTTGAAAGATGCCATTGTGCTTTTGGGGCATTTCTATTTTGAACGATTATACGTGAAATGTGTTGATTGTTTTAAAGGAATGTAAATACAGTACTGTATTCTAAACCTTCTTTGAGACCCGAAATCCAGCTTTTCCTCATTCATGGCCGTGGTTGATATTGCAGTTCATTTAAAATGTAAATTTTTTTTTTCTGCTTTTTGAACAATTGAATTGGATTCAAAAGCGATCCAACTGATATTCCCGAATTAACGTAGTTTTTTCTTTCTTCTTTTCATTATTGGATAATTTTTCGAAAAGTTTCTGGTGCTTCGTCTGAATAAGCTCTTTACATAATATACAGTACAACCCTTGAGGTGAAACAATTTGAGGTCTTCTACTCAGAGAAAACATGCATTTTCTCTCCCGGAAAACCGAATTTACATCGTATTCTGCTCCTGAATTTTGAAGGAGTGAAAATCGAAGTTCTTATTTTAGGAAAAGATGGTGATGGACGAGGTGCTGTTGGAGAAAGTATTCAATTTCCAAAGATGAAGGCGTGATTTACGTTAGTTGATCTACGCCTGACGTGTGTTACTCAAATCTCGGTTCAATCGACGACGTGGTACAGGCTCTGAGAAAGTGCGGAAATGGCTTCAAAGAGACGAGCACCAATTCCCACTAGTGCCATCGAATCGTCCAGGACTACGCCGAAGTTTCCTTTGGAGCTGCATCCGTTGGACAAGTTGGTCCTTCTGGTGCAAAGCTCTGACGATTTTGTCAGACAAAGCTTGTTTCGGAAACTTTTTTCCTGCGGACGTGCCTTGCCCTTGATCATACCCGTGCCATCATATGCACGTGAACAGGTACCGTATTTTCTCATTTGATCTGTGTTACAGAATGGGGTTCCTTTGATTAGAAATGTTGGAAGAGCTCGTACGAGGGTTCTAACAAAAGTTTTCGGAGTAGTAATGAAAATGGCTTACAATCGAGCTGAAAAAAATTTATTCTTTAGGGAGAACATATTCTTTGGCACACAGAAAAATATCAGCCCTGTTTGACAAATTTTTTTCATAATTCACCCTGGCGTAGTTTTGCTCTCCACTCAAAAGATGAGACGCCCTTTTTTGTTGTAGTCAAACAGGGCTGATATTTTTTTGTGTGCCAAAAATATTTCTCCCTAAAGAATAAATTTTTTTCAGCTCGATTGTAAGCCATTTTCATTGCTACTCCGAGAAATTTTGTTAGAACCCTCGTATATGTAGATCAGAGATGGATATATGTTCATTTGTGTACTCCTTGTTAGTCCCTTTTAACCATGTCATTGGCTGTTGAAAAATGATTTTAAAACTGTATTTCCAGTCGCAAAGGTTGGTAACGTTGACCAGTACAGTACGTGTGCTAGTGGGTCCCCGAGTTGTGGACATAATTGGTACTTGGAACTTGTCCCTATGTTTGATCACGCGTTGTATGCAGTACAGTAGTTGATTTAAAGTGAATTCTTTTGTGGAAAAGGTGAAATCCCAGCTGACGCTTCAGTCGTCGTAAGCTGTGTCTTGTTGATGTTCCAAATTTTCAGACCGGAGCGAGCCACGAATTACTTCTTTGGGCGTGCAGTGACATATTCATCGCGCATCATCGCGACGGACGAGTAAAACTATCTGACTGGTCTGGCCCTCTTGTGAGTGTGTTGGAACTCGGCGGTGACGATGGTGACTCCGATCCCAAAGAAATGCTTCTGCGTCACACGTGGTTCGACGATCATCCGGTGTTCAGTGAAGATACCGAGTCCGAAGCGGTCAAGCTGGTCTCCGATGGATGCGTTGAGATGGGATTCCACGTCGGCGAGAATATCGAGAAGGGACAACGCAGTTCCGGGTTTGTTTCAGATTTTGCTATAATATTGACAGTGACGAGGAGTGCATATTTTGATAGGTCAAGATGATATGTGATGTTATAATATATTTGAAAAAGAGTGCCGTCACAGCTGGTGGCATTGTCAAAGATTTTAGTCGGATTGTGATGAGTCATTGCAATCACTCAAATACGGGTATTATGAAACACACTTCCTATTTTTTGACGGTAAGAAATGGTAGGGTGCATTTTAGAATCGGTGACATTTTGCATTTGCATGATTTTTGAGGTTTTCCTAAGCTTGTGCAGGTATGTAATGCCCATTTCATGTGATTCATCGCATTCGCTCATTGAAATATATACTGTACTGAGCTCGAGCGTAAAATATTTTATGAAATAAATGCATAGCGTTTACGATAAAAATGTAAAAGTGAGAGTGCTGAGAAAGCATTGATGAACTTGTTTTTTTTCGAATTGACATACACATACTGCAGTCATCTAAAGATATTCAAGGTTAAGACTGTAATTAAAAGGATAAAAACGTTAGTCCTGTTTTTGCATTTTGTCGCAGCCTTATATTGTGAGTGTAGTTCTTTATTGTGAAGATTTTTCCGTTGAAAAATATTATGGAGAACTTTTTTGTTCACTCTGTATTGCATGAGTCATCCTAAATACAATACAGTATTGTTGAGCAGGAACGCTGCCCTTTATATTTTACTGAACATTTTTAGTTACAGGACTGAAAGATTGTAATGTATCAGCAGGTACTCGCAAAATTTTTTTAGTATCTTATGTATCCTGAAATTGGATAGATTCGCTAAATGTAGCTCTTGATGAGGTACATGGGTTATCTGTACCACATGGGTTATCTGTTTGTGCGTGTGCTCATAAATCTCGATCTTCCGTCAATCGAACACATTTACATCTCTGTTTTACAAGACGTCGAAAGAGGATTTGTTAGATTGCCGTGATATTAACGATACCATGGGCCTTATATCGTGAATGATTATATTTCTTCCAAGAAATTTTCTTCAGAAGCGGGTGTATAATTTACGTGAAAGAAAGAAAAGGGAGGATTAGAGGAAATTACCTTTTTTATTTCAGCTGTTCGCATGAATCGTGTCAAGTAATGCTCGCGCAGCAAAGTTTCATACTTTCCGTTTTGAAGATTCAAATTTTCTTCCACTAGAATATATTTTGTGTTCAAACTAGCGGATCGAATAGCTCCACAGTTCTAAAAAATATTTTTGCGATTTTTGTCTTGATTTTTTTTTCGTCCCTCGGAATGTGCATTTCTGAACGCTTCTATTCAATCATTTATTATCTTCTAACAGAGTGGATGCCTTGGTGATGAATTTAAGCGGCTGTCCCACTGTCCATGGAGCACAATTCCGGTTTCTTCTTCAACATTCCAGCGCATTGCTATTTTTCGTCAGCAGTGCTGCGAATGAAGAGGTTGTGAAGAGAGTGTTGCAAGGGATGCAGCAAGTTTCACGCGGCAAACATGTTGCAGTCTTCTGGATTTTGAACAAAGGAGTTAACGAGAAGCTTTTTGGAGAGTGTGAGGTAAGTATTTTGGAATAACTGTCATGCTTATGTAACAGATATTTGTTTTTTTTTCGTTTTGTTTTCTAAGATTTCATTCAATAGTTTTATGCCACGCCGACCCCCGGGGCAAAGTTTGAGTATTCGAAAATGTTGATTTTTGAGGAGCATTATGATGCACCTCCTTGAATCTTCCTAAAGATTGTGTTATTTCTGTATGTCAAAAGTTCAAAGGTGATTGGATAGCCAGGCGTCATTGAGAGTATTTCCTCAGTTTTTCTCTGTAATCACTATTCTGTGCCTTTATATAGTCATTAGGACACACAGTGATGGCGAAAACAAGATCAAACGTTCTTCAACGCAAGCTTCGCGATATTATGACATCAGTCGTTACCGATCCACTTCTGTGCCGGAAAGCATCAGATTTGTGGAATCATTATCCCGTCGGCATTAAATGCGACGAAGATCTGCCTGCTTGTCAAGAGGCGAAAACGAAAGTACAAGCATTTCTTGCCATTTGGAAGAATCAAATCCGGCGATCTGCGTCAGCTTTGCCACTTTTGCGACTGTGGTTGGAATTTAGTCGAGCATTTCGTCTGTCTCTGGCCAAGCGGACTGGCGTGAGCAGACTGTTTGGAGAAGAACAGGATGCATTCGACGAGGATGAAAAGAAGAGTGAAATGCGGGAAAAGCAGGTATGCGTACTGATGAACGCATTCGATAGCATATTACATGTTGATCTGCCTGTTTTTGTAAATAAACGCTTTTATAAAAAGGGGTCAGTGTGCTTGATTATGATAATCGCACCAGTATAAATATGTTCTAGCTGCTGTGAGGAATCAAAGCTTTATTTATAGTTTTTTAACCTTGGGGTGAATATTCATTATCTGGAGAATCGTACGTATTCCTCATCAGCTCTCCTAACCTCTTTTTTCTCATGGGTATCTGAGTTAAGCTAGTGTAGTCTCGGGGACCGAAAATTGCTTGCTAGAAAAAGAAGCACTAAGCGCGTTTTTCTGTTCTGTACATAGGTTGTTGAAATAAAATCGAACAGGGACTGTGCTGCAAAGCTTCTTGCAGACTTGTTTACGAGCCTCTATGTTCACTCGTCTGCTGCACTTTGCTTCGGCTACATTTGGCTCGCTCAATTCAGTTTGTCCATCAAACGGGACCGTGCGAGTTCTCTTCCACGTGGGAGTTTGTTCGTCTTGTTTCTTCGTGAACTCGCGCAATACTACGAAGCTTGCATGGCTTCTGGTGAGTATATGTACGCCTTGTTAATCGAATATGGTTGGTAAACATTTTCATTATTTTTTATTGAAATTGAATTGGCTCCGGTGTAATTTTCCGAGAGTCTCTGCTGGAAGAGTTGTCCGTTCGATCAGCAGACGCTAAGCAATTACCCAAGAAATGCAGAACCGGAAAATTTTGATTTTCTATAATTATTTATAATCCCATCCTTCCTTAGAATCCGCACTCTTTATAATGAGGTACAAAAATATTATAACACTCATGTTCACTCTTGAACGTTGCGAAGAACAAGTTAACGATTCGGTTGACGCGAAAGTTTAATTTTTATTCAAGTCGAGGGTTTTGATAGATCAGTCTCATCAATGTCCCTTATCTAAGGAAAAATTATTATTTTTACAAGTATCGTAGTACAGTCAGACCCCCACATGCGGACGCCTCGACCTGCTGACAATTCGACATAGAGACACTTATTCTCCCAGAAAAAATCAATAAATAACGCCCAACATGAGGACACTGACTCGACATAGGGACATTTTGTGATGAAATTGCAAATACATTTCAGGCCAAATCACAAGAAACGTATATTTCCAACCCTAAAATTGATGGTAAGAACAGTTCTTGGCATTTCTCTCACCAATTTACCATCCATTTGGCTGATTTAAAAAAATTACTCCAGCATAGAGGGACTTCTACTCTTTTTTCAATTTTTGTAGATTCCAAAATTTCAGTGTACAGTACAGAGATACACTTTTCAATGCTCCAAATGTTCTTATTGAGTTGAAAATGTATTCACTAATTCAAATTCAAGTGGCTAACAATTTTTTCAGGGAATTCTGAAGAATATTTCTTCCACTAAACACCAATTAAAAATTATATAATGTAAGTCTACCGGAAAACAAGACTCTGCTTAGGGACATTTTGACATGGGGACACTCTTGATGCACCAATTATGTCCGCATACCGGGGTCTCACTCTATATTCGTGTTACTGTTCTGGCCGTCGTTTTATGCCGAATTTTGTATATCTTCATAATTACAATAACGGAACCTGCTCACACACCCACAAAGAAAGATTACATTCATGTCTGATTCACATGTTAATCTCCTGACTTCCTGTTCTTTTTCAAGTTGACTTTGCTCTCTGTCTTTTACTGTGGGAGTTCCCAATGCAGAGAGAGTAACTGATTATGAGGAAACTTCTTGAATAAGCTAACTTCAGCTGTGAATGAGCAGCTGAAAAAATGGAATTGTTCTCTTAAAATTCGAAAATTGTTTATTTGGCGCTTGCCCTCTTCTGTGTATATAGTACTACATATTAACAATGTATCGTTTTGCAAAGGTGACGTTTCTTTGGCGCAGAAGGTGTCTGTATTGCCGGAAATTTTTGCGCATTTGCTGATGTCGGGTTTTCCGATCGAATTGATCGACGGAGACGGAGAGAATATTCCGATGACATGGATCAAGGCAGTGATGAACGAGCTGAAGCGGGATGGAAGGGTTCGATTAGTGCATGTTTTGTCAGTTCTGGGAACCCAAAGTTCGGGAAAGTCGACTTTGCTGAACGCCATGTTTGGATCCAACTTTTTGGCTCACAGTGGAAAGGCGACGCGAGGCGTGTTCATTCAACTACTTCCGATGGAGTCTGATCGGTATATACGCTTTTGAGTACAGTGTACCGCTTTTGAGTCCATCGTTTTTAGTATACAGTTCTGTATCTATAGTAATTCAAAGGGGTTTTTCATGGATGGCCATTACAGTTTTATGATAGAGATGCAAATTCTGTGCGTGTTTTTTTTTTTTTTTTTGTTGAAAGACGCATTTTGAATCGTGATTTCCAAGCATTTTCGCCGCTGTCTCAAACATTTTTTTTTTTACAAGTAACATGCAAGCTTCCTTCTGTTAAGCGAAGACATTTTGCTTAATTTTCTTTTGCTCTGCAAAATGTAAATCTGCTTTCTACATAAACTTTGGTGGCGTGTGAGAACATCGATCCGTTCACGCAAATGATTCGATGCTATACAGTTGAACCTCTCTAAGTCGAATTTCAAGGGACCAAGAAAAAAATTCGACTTAGGGAGGTTTCGACTTATGGAGGTTTTAGGGAAAACACAGAATAAAAAAAGTTCAGTACCATATAACACTCAAAAAGGGCATATATTGATCCTCTACATATATTTAAGCATTTACAGTATTGAATTCAAAGGTACCATGTCATCCGCCAGTCAGTCAATTGATGGTCGCGCACCGGCTGGTCGTCAAGCGCCGGTCGGTCTAACCGCCAGCCAGGGCAGTCCTTGGCCTTGCCAATCCCCAGTCCACCAAACTGCGGTCCGGTCACCCGATTGTTGGGGCACCCAAACAATTGGGTGACAAGAATCATGCTGATTCTTTCTAGAATTTGGTGAGGAGAATGGTATCCTACCATAGATTTTTTTTTTTACAAAATTTCATCTTATAAAAATTTTCACAAAAAAAAAAAAAACTTATCAAACTCAACCTAACTTAACCTAACATATCCTAACCTAACCTAACCTAACCTAAACTAACATAACATAAACTGACCTAACCTACCCTAACCTAACATTGCTGAAATTTTGAAAAAAAACATCTGTGGTAGGATACCATTCTGCTCACTGAATTCTGAACAAAAAATCAGCATGATTCTTGTCACCCGATTGTTCGGGTGCCCCGACAATCGGGTGACCAAACTGCAGTTTGGTGGGCTGGGGATTGGCAAGGCCAAGAACTGCCCTGGCTGGCGGTTGGACCAACTGGGGCTTGACAACCAGCAGGTGCGCGACCATCAATTGACCGACCGGCGGCTGACCGGACACAGAATTCAAAACAAGGTTAGGAAGAGATTCCTTCCTATAAATTTTGTAAAGATGCCATTTTTGTGAGTGGGTCATTGCTGCAGTAGTAAAGAGGGTACCGCGGACAAGTGCATGCAGGTAATCCTGCAATTCATGCACCAAAAAAAGGGCAATGCAACCCCAAACAAGGGTCCACCAGGAGTCCTTTGTCTGGGGCAGGGCCTGGGCTTTCACCAGAATTTGCATGACAGAAGTGTTGTCCTCATTTTGGGGACACACTTTAAGCTTGCAAGTTTTTGCATTTTAGCAATTTTTTTATTGCAAGTTTGCAAATAGCTGTTTTGCTGGAAGTCAATTCCAATCTGAAAAATGGCCTATCCCCAAAGAAAATCTTAATTCTAGTGCAAAATATAATGCAGTTGAACCAGGATAACTCACAACTCTCTATGCTGGGCTTTTTTTTGTGGCACAGCCTATGTAATTTTTCACAAGCAGTGCACAGAATTTCACAATTTTGTGTGTACAAAATGTATATTTTCATGGCACAAATTCATTTTTACAAGCTGTTCCCTGTATATTTTAAAGGCACAGACATAAATAATTTTTTTAAAGCTGTGCCATGCAGAATTTCCCAATTTTATGCCTGTGTGCCATGCCAATTTTCATGGGCACAGGCCTTGTGAGTTTTACAGTCTATGCCAAATCTCATGGGCCAGACCTAAGTCATCTCTGTTAAATTTCTACAGCTCTGAATAACTTTGTTGTGTTGTCATCTCTAACCTATCAGAATAATAAACTTCATGCCTCAATTGCTATCCAACTGCTTTACTTCTACTCAGACTTTCATCCATATTCCAGTTCCTCTTGAGGAAATCACAGTTTATAAAAGTTCAAAATATTTTTTGCATGCTTTTGGAAATTTACTGAAAATTCTTCAAGGGAAATGTATGAACTCTTGTCTTGATTCATCCAATATATAATGTGCACAAGCATCAATGAATTTGATCCACACCAGGTTCCACAGCAAAGTGTGGGAAAGAATTTGAGTTATGCATCTGGAACATGGAGTGTTACAGTTTCTCTGCTGCAAGTGCTGCAAAAATATTGAGGCTGGGAGTGCAGCAGAATTTTGCGGATAATATGCATTTAAAATCCTGATGAATTGACCCAATTTCATTCTTGGTCAATTCAGCAGAAAAGAAGAAGTTGGGTAGCTTTGGGGGTAGCTGGCCCCCGTTTTTGAAAAGTGTCAGCTTAAGCCTTTTGTGTGGTTTTCTTCCTGGTTGACTTTTGGTACATTGCACTGGACTCCTGGGGTCCCAGTGAAAGTTAAAGTGGTAAATGCTGGACTATTCCTTTTTTTTCTCACTCCTTCCTGCATGTCAAAGATTCTCTGACATCCAGGAATTGTTTGTTGCCCTGGTTTTTTTTGGCCACACAGGGGGTTCATGCTCTCATACCCGCAGTTTTGTAAAAAGAGACACTGTTTCTGGTGCCCAGGCACCGGAAACTGTGTCTCTGTGTTCAATGAATGGGGGAGGATGCTGCATCAAATTAAAGCGGCTCTCCTCCCCCACCCAAAAAATGCCTGTAGTAAAAAAAAATTCCCTCCTTGTGTACGAAAAATTTGACTCAGGGAGGTTTCCCATGAAATTTTTCGAGTTAGGGAGGTTTTTTAAGCATTATTTCCTAAGGGATTGGAAGGGGACTGGGGAAAAATTCGACTTAGGGGGGTTTTTGACTTAGGGAGGTTTGACTTATAGAGGTTGGACTGTAATTCATTTTTTTAAGGTTTGCTGTGGATTCAAAATTGACTGAGTAGCTGTCAATTTCTGAAATTTTGACATATCATTCAAAATTTGTAAAGGTCACTGATTTGATCCAGGAAGATTGGTTTCTATCTTCTTTACCTGAATTTGGTGGGAATTGATTTTGTAACGCAACAAAAATCCAATATTCAGGAACTTTTTAATTCGTCTTACTTTAAATCTTTAATTTTTTGCGTAAAAAAAAAACACAATAAAATTGATGCTCATTAATTTATGTTTATTTAGAGACCAGCTCTTATTCTGACTTCATATGTTGTTTGCGTATTTAGGTGAGAAGACCTTTTCTCCTCGATTCACAAAATTCTCCAAATCTAACTGTTTTATTGATTCAGCTGCATTGTTGCTGCAATAGAAAATATGAAGAAACGGGATTGAATTCAATGTTCGTTTGAATTTCACCGTCTCAGATCCAATTTATGAATAAAATTTGCGAAACATTTTTGAGGTAGGCCTAAAATGTGTTGGACAATTTTATTTTATTTTATTCAATATATTCTATTTTTTCAATTTTACTCGCAATTGTATTCAATAATATTTATCCTTCCGTTCAAAATTGTAGTTATCTTGTGATATTGGACACCGAAGGCCTAAATTCACCCGAAGACGCGGACCTGGCAGACGGATCGAAGCGAAAGGACAACGAAATGGCAACTTTTGACATTGGAATCGCACAGAAAACTATATGCAATGTTCGCGGCGAAGATTTGGCGGATTTGCAAAGCGTCCTCGGAATGGCTGCCCATGCTTTTATTCGAATGAATAAGATTAAACTCAGTCCGAGCCTTTGCATCGTTCATCAAAATGTCCAAGATTCCCCAAAGGCATGTATACGAGTACAGTACTGTATATTGATTTCCATTTCGTTCAAGCTTAGATTACAGTAAAATCTTGTTATGACGAACTCCGATAAGGGACCTGATGAAAGTTTTATCTTAACGAAATTCATGGTTCCTCTGGCATATTCAAGTCTGAAATCGTGTGGGAGACAGATGAAAATGATGATGCTTTGAGGTACAGGTACTGTTATTCCACAACAGATATGTGCGCGAATTTCCCTTATTAGAAACCAGTTTTGATGAATTAATGTAGAAAAATGGAAATGTGAAGTATAATTCTCTTATAAACGGACCTTCCCTTTCTTGAATTTTCTAAAAATAAAGAAAAAATGTACCAGCCTTACTGACGTATAAGCTCAAACAAGCAGAAAGTGCATGTTTAAGAAGAACATTTATTCGTTTGCCACTGTATGTTCCCTGAAGTAGAGCTGTATTCCTCCAGACATACTTTTTTTAAATTAACTATTTCGAAATTCTAAAATGAAGTTCAATGAATTTTTATCTGAGCTTCTTATTTCCTGGAATGCTAAATTTTCTGTACGGAAAGACTAGTATTTAATTTTTTTGAAGTACTTCCAATTACTTCATGCACATGTTGGGTTTTCACATTATGTGCCTAATAGTTATTGCTATGATCCATCCACCCATGATCCAGGCAAACATTTTTGATACCGAGATCATAGAGAAAAATTAGTTTGCTGTAAAGAAATTTTTACATCATTGTTCCGATGGACCAACTGCTGGTACCAATAGAAAAATTCGTTATAACGAGATTCCTTGTAAAGAAATTGTATTTGATTGTCTCTTTGGTTATTTTCCTCTTTATTTTTTAAAATCTTCCATGCGTATGACAGGCTCTTGAAGAAGCCCATCAAAATCTCATGACTCAGCTCGACAAATCCGTGATTGTTTCCTGCTCGGAAGATGGCAAAGGGAGCAAAGAAGAAAAGCGATTCGATGATGTGGTCAAGTTTGACATGAACAGCGACATCTACAGCTTCCCTCCTTTGTATACGTCCACGACCAACGGAGTCATGTTCAACATCAGCTTGCGATACGGTCAAGCAGCTGCGAAACTCAAGTCCGATGTGGTCAAGGACATTGCAAAACGGCCCTGGGGCTTCGCGGAGTTCATTCAGCACATTGAGCAGCTGTGGAAATTCATCCTGCAAGAATCCCACAGCTTCAATTTTCACAACGTGTTTCAGTTGGCTGTTTACAATGCAATGGACAGAATCCTGGGAGACATCAAATTGACGATGGACGAGGAATTCGCAAAGGTTGTTCAGGATTGCAAAATGTTGTTGCATTCGTCGAGCGACTTTCTGAAGGTATAAACGCAGAAACGGGCTACATAGGGAAATTTCGTTACAACAAAGCTATTGAAAATAGCTTCGTTTTAACAAAAAAACTCGTTCTAAAGTAACTCATTTAAAAATGTGGACACTGTACAGGGAACTAAAAAAGATTTCGTTGTGAGCAATTATTCGTTAAAACTAGATTCTACTGTATTCGATGCTTTTTCCGTGTATATAATCATCGATGTTGCGTCAGTAGAGCCTAGCTCTCATCTGTTGAATGCGAAAATTAAAATGTTTGGATAGTATCCGAGGTGCTGTATTATCATGATGGGCGGGTGTAATCTGGTGAGCCTTTTTTTTCTTTACCTGCGTTTTGCTTTTAACCTTTATAAAATTTGAAATGAATGTCAAACAGAGGGAAACAATGATACAGAAAAGTTTCCCCGGACCTGTGCTGTGATGGCACTAAATAGAGGGTGGACCAACCTAAAATTGTATTTTTAGTAATGTGAGAAAGTTTCAGGTAATTTTCATCATCAAAAAGAAGAACAAAGAAACTTGCAGTTTCAAAAGCCATTTCTGTCTATTAGCCCTTTGGCAGGACGAAAAAAATGTTGTACAGAGAAAATCGTCGTAGACAAGGTTATTTTAGAATGTAGAGAAATGTCAAACTGTGTTAAAATTTGAACGCAGTGTGCATACATAAGCTCTTGACAGATATACGATGCTGGGATTTTCGAAAAAAGCAGTAAAATTCTCAAGCTTGGCGCATTTAAAAAAAACCTGGATGAGAAAATTTTGGTGGCACAAATAAGTGAGTTAGCACTGAATCAGGGTTTCCTTTAGGTGCTGTATATAGCACAGAGATTTTTGCAGGTGAAATTTGTGGCATTGAATCGAGCATTGATCGTACTCTGGATTCAAAGTTTGTCTTTATTCAACATGAAATCGACACTCCTAAACCTTCAACACCATTTACAAACCATGGACAATTAATTGAGTGGCATCGCATGGTGGATGCGGTTGTTCCGTTTGTTGAAGGCATTTGATTGCCCTGAGGCCTGCAAGGAATTTCATAAAATAATTACTGAGAAAATACGCACGCAAGCAGATGAAAATGAGGTTTCTCTTTTGATTGTGAATGAAAATTGGATGCTGATTCGTCTCTCGTCATAGGAAAATGTTTCGATTGCCGGAAAATCAGTGGACGAAAAGTTCGAAGAACTGATGGCGAGCGTAACGCTCGACCGCTTGACAAAACTGATTGACGAGAGCCACGTTTCTTTCAATTGGGAATCCGAGCCTTGGCCCGAACGTCTGCAATGCGATCTTCGGCTTCATCTCCAAGGTTTCTTGTCCTGTTGAATTAAATTTACCTTTTTTTTTATAAACAGCTGTATACATTTCATGAATGTTGCGAAATTTAGAAAGAAAACTTAGTGCCCAAGCTGCGATCCGAGCCACTGAGCTGGAAATCGAGTCCAACGCGGAACGAGACCGGAATATCGGGAAACTCCTCAACAACTTCAATCGCACTCTGGAAAGCAAAGGTCTGCTGAAACCGAAGAACAATGCCAGAGCCCTGACAATAACCGACACGCAAGCCTTGCGCACGGAATTTGACCTATTCTGGGAGCGGGAGATTCTGCCAAAGGCCACGTTTTTGCCGCCAGAGCCCACCAGAGACGGCATTTGGCAAAACATGATGGAAGCCTTGGAAGACAATTGCTTGTCTGGAGTGATTCAGCGCAAGATTGCGGGTTGGATCCTGGAAGTTTTGCGGCAGCACAGACTCGCTGACGCTGGGAAGGTGGATGGGAAAGCAGTGTTGAACTACCTGATGAGCGACTTCAAAAAGGTCGTGGAAAATGATTCTTCGGGTGAATATATGCTGTACCATTTTCGGGGATTTCTACGCTGATCCACTGGAAAGATATTTCTTATTCCCAAGTCTTTCAGTGACGTTTCTTAATTTATGCAGGTGGATTCTCGCTACAACAAAATTCGAGGGACCAGAAAAAATTAATTATTTTCTAGATAATTTTGTTGCAGAGAACCGCGCTATAACACGGGGAGAAAACCCCATGGGACCAAAGAAAAATCCGTTATATGCCGAGAAAATCGTTGTATACTAGATTGTTTTAGATAGAGTCCATATAGTAGTTCAGTCGTTTCCTCAGCAGATCCTACTGTATTTTCAGTAGCTGCATATCTTCAGCCAAAATTAAAATGCAGTTATTAATGTAATAAAATTCTGCCCAATTTTATTTTCAGTGTGAAGAGGATGAAAATGTATTTTTTTCTAGTCTTCTGATGAAGTTTTCTATTCGATACCTTTCGTCAGCATGCAAGATCCGAACGTATTTTCAGTACATCTTTGAAGATGTTGTGAGCCCAAATCACCATATACCCAAACACTTATTCATTTTAACTAACGTCACTCTGCAGTGGGGCCCCGTAATTGATACTGTACTTGGACTTTGTCCGAATGTCGGAGCGTTATTTGCATTTGGGATCACATTTTTCTGTATACAGTACAGTACAGTACTGTACTTCAATGCTGACATGTTTGATTCGTTCTCCTGTTAATCAAAAATTAGGAAGGACGAGTTCTCCAAAAATTGTTTTCCTCAAGTTCAAGAGAGAAAAAAGATAACTGTGCAGAAGAAACCCACGTAGAACCTGATCTTTTGGCATCAAAAGGAGCTCAAGAAGCAAAGGACAAGAATAATTCTTGCTATACAGTACTGTGTACAGATGATGAAAAAAAAACTGAAAATACGCACAAGATTAGCCGTTTTTTTTATTACCTATTAAAGTAAGTTTATTGTGAAATTCATTTATAATTTTGAGATAATTAATAAAATACCTCAATTTAGTCAAGGGATATGAAAATTTTCCATTTTTTAAGGATGTTGGGAAGTCTCCCTATATGCCTTGTTTGGATGTCAGGACAGATTTTTTGAATTTGAAGTGTCCCTAACTCGACTCGTCTGTATGTCGGGGTCTCACTTTAGTCTTTGTTATATCTATTACAAATATAAAATTTTTTTAATATGTTTTTTTTTTTAATATGTGAAGATGAAGACGGAGAAACGCAACAAACGGTGGTCGCCCCAGTGCGTCCAGTCGAAGTGCCCCGGACTGCCGAGCTGGTCGCAGACTGGATCAGCAACAAAGACTTGAAAATGCCGATCCGAAAGATCGTGAAATTTGTGGCGGAATCGAAGCAGGCGGAAGCCAAAACTTCTCAGGTGCTCCACGAATCGAATGACACCGAATTAAATCGTATTCTTTTATGATATTTGCGGAGATAATGTACTTCCTCAGCATGTGTATTTTTTCTGCCTTTTCATTATTGTTGTAATGATGGCGTCGACTTTATGTTCGCGACAGATTCCGGAACTGATCCTGAGCACGTGTTACGCAGTTTCCGGGGAGTTTTTTAATGCCGCACAGCGAGACCGCGACCAGCAGCTGCGGCGCATTGAAGAAACCCACGAGTCCCAGTGGTTGAAATTCCTGGGTATCATCACGGCCTATCAGGAAGACCAAACCAATGCACAAGTGAGTCATTGAAATCCCACGCAGATTTTCAATGAAAAAATTTCGTTCAAAGAAAAAGATTCTCGAGAGTTTGACGTTGGCCTTATTTTTGTGTCATCTTTAACCTTTTTTTGTATTAGATACGAATTCGTGTCTTGAAATATATTCAGAGGAATCAACTTACAATAGATTCAGAGGGTTGACCACGAATGTTTAACTGAATTCGAAGCTAGACAATTTTTTAAACCGTCATGGGTAGAACTTTTAAATGTGGCTCGAAAGACGTATAAATTAAAAGTGCTTTGGATTTGATTTTGATTTTTCATATTTTGTTTCTCATACTCTGAAATATTATAATTGGATTGTTAATTTGAAAAATAAAATCCCCATGTAAAATTTATATTCTTCAGGAAGAAAGTTCCTTCGACTCCAATGCAAATACAATCCAGTATTTGAAAATATACTAAGGGTAAAAATGGGATTTAGTCCGTTTAAAAGTTCAACCCTCCAAGGCTTTCCAATGGGCACGCGTTTTTACTTTTATTGTGGTACATTATGATGTTCATGACCATTTGAAATTCTAGAAAAAAAGAGAGCAGTAAGAAGCACAGTTGTTTTACTCTTTGAGCAGATATAATTTCATTGCAAGTGAGCAAAAAAGAGAGCAGACAAACTTGTACCGGGTAGAGAAAATCTTGAGATTCTGAAACTACAGTTGAAAGTGGTATTGAAAATTGACTGATCGGTGTTATTACCGTATGCATACCTTTTGTGAGTGAAAATTTGCTTTGTACGTTAATTCACATTATCATGCTCTAGGTTTTACTGTATTTGACTAATGCCGTTTAAGTCGAAGGCTTCACTGTTTTACCAAGAATTGTTTCGGATTTTCTGCGTCGATTTTATGTCGCTTGAAGAATACATTTCTCTGCAGTACTGGAAATCAATTTTCCAAAATTGTATGAGTTGTTTTAGAATGTAATTACTCTTTATTCGGGATACTTAGCAGATGCAGACTTTCCACGGATGATCGAAAATTCAAGGATAATCTAAAACGACTGCAATTTTCTATCCGTGTTTCACGTATTTCTTACAAACTTGCCTCTGTATTGAAAAACGTCACATTTCTTTGATGTCGTAAAATAAATTAAATTTCAAAAATTATGGAAAAAATTCCGCTATTTTCGATGCCAATACTGTAGGATAGTGACTCGGGCCTCTGTTAATATGTTATATACATGGACGTCGTTGTTCGGATAAAATGTACAACGTTCGTGCGTTGGAGGATGTAGTAAATTATAGAAAGAAAAATGCTTTGTCGATGCAGTACAGCAGTGTTATATTTTTCACGCATCCATTTTCACAGGTTTTTCTTGTTGCCTTGGGGAAGGCTCTGAAATATGAAGTCGGTCGGTACGCGAGCCACCTGCTGGTGCAGCGCCTGAGGGCATCGCCGGAAATGCAGAACAAGCATTCGTTGCACCGCAAGCTTTTGCAGTACCTGGCAGAGACGGATTTCGTGTTGAAATCCGTCTTGAATTTCATCAATAACCCGCACGCTTTGCGAACGGAATTCCTGGGCGTAGTTGTCAAACGAGAAATAAACGCCAATGACGGCTCCGTCAAGAAGTTTTGCGTGGATTATCTGGAGAAGAAGAAGCAAGACGTTTCTCGTTGGGTCATCGACGTACTGCGGACTGCCGCAGAAAATGAAGTCAGTTTTTCTATAGATGAACGAAAATAGGATGGAACATCTTGATTTCTTTTTAATGGATTTCTGAAATCGATTTTGAATTTCTCTTTATTTCTTCCTCAATCTGGAGATACTGTACATATTTTTTTCAATTAATTTTTAGATTTCTCAAATATTTTTAGAATTATTTAATTTTCAATTTATTTAAATTACTGTGTAAGGAAGGGTAGCCAGCAATAAGACACTGAAGTGCCAACACCATATGACCGAAGAATTTTGCGAATGTTTAATTATCACGCCTAACCTCTATTGGTGATTATTTTACAGTGGATCCTCACGTAAGGAAACTAATCCCTTCCTGGATGTTTTTCGTTATGTGGAATTGTCTTTATATGCGATGCGCTATTTCTCTCAAAAGTTACATTACAAAATAGTCAACTCGTTGGAGGCACTCGCAAAAAGACCATAGTAAACATTGATAACTGCACATTATTTTTAGTTTATATAGCGTGAATGATTTATTTTGAAATTGACTAGCGATACATTTTAGTAATCCTTGCAAGTTTGTGCTGCGTTTTACTTTCTGCTGTACTTCCATAATTTAAAAAGGCAAGATGAGGCGAGACTACGTTTGTACCCTCTTCTTTTATTATTTTCCTCGATATTTTTGTAAATCAAAATTTGTAGCCAAAAATTTGCGGGAATTCGAGTGTTTTTCTGCGGTGAATTTTGTTTTATATTGAAAGAATACCGCCGTGTGAGTCATGATTTTTCCCTTGAGAATTTTCGTTGTGTGAGTATTTCGTTATGCAGGGACTCACTGTAATTGTGTGCTAGTGATGGTTTCTTTTGGAGGATGATGGTACTTTGGTCTGCTTCAACTTATTTTCTGAGCGCTGAAAAATTCAACAGGAAATGTTGGGCTATAGAGAATAATTATTGATTTCACGACCATGACGAGTATTGCGGCTATTGCCTAATTTCTAGTGTGTCGTTGATGCCAAAAAAAGCTCCTCGCTTCAAGAACTCCACTGCTGTGCTGTACAAGTACTTTAATTTGTTATACTGAATCATTTTTCTCTGGAAGGGTTTGCCGGAAAACGGAAAATTCACTCTGCTGGAGGCTGTGCGATTGTTCAACAGTTGCCAAATCCTGGGCACGCACATGAACGGCGCCGTTGGGTTCGATCTGACTGAAGTCAAGTCGATCGAGGATTTTGCGGGGAAAGTCGGCAAGGGCCTGGATGATTTGGTCAACGACGTCATGACTGAGATGCAGTCGTCTGACGGATTGTTGGGCTGGTGGCGACTGGATGACGACCCCGTGGCCCAATTGTCGGAACGCTTGCATGGTTGCAAAGAGAAGTGTCCCATTTGTGGGGTGGAGTGCGAATCCGGTTCGTCCTTTTTTTTTTTTTAATTATAAATCGATATTTATATTTTTTCTGTACAGCGAATATACGAGTCTTTTCAATGTACAGTGCTGTATTTTAAATTTAAATTAATTATGTCAACAGTATCTTGGAAAAGAAGAAATTCTCATCTATTGTCACTTTTTGAAGAGGTATACAGTATAATAAAGAAGGAATCTGTCCCAAATACCATTTCTGTTCAGTAGTGAAGGTTCTACATGTATTTGCCATTTCAGTTTGTATTTATTTCCGAGAAAATTATACTGACGTGAACAAATGAAGTCTCCTCTTCCTAAAAAAACAGAAATTATCATCCACAATACACAGGTAGACTGAGAGAGAGAGATGATGTTTTAAGTCACCTGGTTTTGTAAACATTATTTCTATAAAAACAAGATCCCTTGGAGATATCATCACAATGGGTTGGAAAAACCCGGTCGTCCGGTCGTTTCAAGAATTGTATTTTTCGATGGCGGGCAACTTCACACAAAATTGTTTGCGGAGTGGCTAATTTCCAAAAAAATTTGACGCGGATCGGCGAAGTTTCATAAAGTTTTTGAGAATGTTTTGTTCAAAAGACATTTAAGGCAGGTACTTGGAAAGTTTCTGCTTTTTTTTGCAAAAAGTAAGGTTGAGAACTGATGAAGCAGATATAGTGGAATGTCTTGAAAGATGAGAAATGTGGGCTTGAAGAAAGGTTTCTCAGAATGAAAAATTCATATAATGTATTTCAGCAGTTGATTTAAACAGACTTCGCAATAACCCTCTTTTCAGTTGAAAATAAAAAGTAGTCTACTAAAGTTGATGTTAGCAGAACGGTTTTAAATTCTATTTTTGCTAATTGAGGTAAAAATGAAAAATATTTACACTCATGCTGAAGAAAGTTTTCTGTGGACTGGCAAAAAACTTCTGTGGACCTGCGCCAGCAGTCCGCATACCACAGGCTGGGGAACACTGCTCTATGTAGCATGGGTAGGGTGTGGGTGAAATTTGCCGCAGTTGAACTTGCCGCACTTCAACTTGCCACTGTTGCAACTGACCACAGCCTGAAGTGACTGCAGTCACAACTTGCAGTAGTTATAAGTTGCCACTCTTTCAACTTGCTGTACTTGATGAATAATTCAGAACTCTTTAAAACTTAATTCACTGTAGAACATGTTTGCAATTGAAAAAAATTGTACAATACAGTAAGATGAAAAAAACCTTGCCATCAAAAATAAAATGCACATCATTTAGCCACCAATAGTACTAGTTCAGGATGAATGAATTCATTGAAACCCCCTCTATACAGGTATATTCAAAAAATTTTCACACAGCAGAATGCCCAGTTAAGAAATGGAAGAATGTGGGAATTCCTTTTTTCCTGAAATTTTAGTCAATGCAATGGCAAGTGGCTGCAATTCATGCTGCAAGTTGTGATAGCAGCAGGTGAGTTGTTGCAGCGGCAACTTCCACATGCGGCAACTTATCACAGGGGCAAGTTAACACTGTGGCAAGTTGTGACAGCGGCAAGTTGAACTGCTTGCAGCAGGTTGGGTGTGCGGCAAGTTAGAAAGCAGCAAGTTTCATTGACACGCATGGGTAGAGACCCTATAGGTGAAAAATAAATTAATTATACAGAGTAATTCATGGTAGAAAAATTATTGTAGAGGACCGTTATAATATGGGGAGAGGACCCTATTATGGGCCAACAAAAATGATCATACAGAAAAACTCATTGTAGACAAAATTTTCCGCACCTGTATAGTCTCTTTTCAAAGTGGCAATTCAAAGTGGAATCATATTCCATACCTGTATACCCATTTATTTGAACCCGTGACTGTCGTTGTTCCAGGGAACCCGAACCACTTGCGGATGGGACACAAGCACATGTCCTCCTCGCACCCTCCCATCTACGTGAGTGCCCCGATCCTCAAGCGACGCATTGGAAGGATGACGTGTCAGGAATGCGTCGCCATGTCTGCGAAGGTCTACGAGGCTACAAAAAGCACGTGGATGAAGTATGGCTCTGACGAGGCCAACCGAGACAACTGGACCATGACCAACAACTCGACCACAGTGCCGGCTGGAGTGGACAAGTTTTGGCGCTACTTCCAGCGGTTGTCCGACTGCCTTAACTGCGGCGTCTTATTATTCCAGGCAAACGCGTTTTTACTATAGGGCTCCTCAACCTTTTCCTAGTGACACAGGCTTCACTAAAGACCAAACTTTTCATGACTGATACAATGTGGAGGGAGATTTTTGAGAGGAACTTATATTTTGCTGAATTGTTTTGCTGGGCTATCAAAAAACGTTTCCTCTGCACAATTGCACTGTGTCTTTGTCTGATATGAATCATCAGCTAGCGGAGATGGTTCATTTCTGTGTTCAGTTCAGGTATATAACTTCAATGAAAAAGTAAATCCGCAATTACAGTGATTGACCTTGTTATTTATTGAGGCGTGCTTGTGAAAAAAAAAGAATTGCCTTTTTACGTGGGGTTTAGAACAGGGACTTGGAGTATGGTAAAAAAAAATTTGCTCCGCTCCAGTGCTCTGGAGCTCCAGACACTTTTCAGAACCACTGACTATAGTACACTAAAATCCCATAACAATGATTTTTGTTATAAAATTTTTTGCAAAAACAATTTTTCTTGGTCCCAGCAGCAGTTGTTCCATAGGAACAATGCTATAAAAATTTTATTTTTGCAAACTAATTTTCATCAATAATCTCAATATATAGAATTTTGCTTTGATTATATGTGTGCTCTATAGGAAATACAAATTTTCAATAATTGACTCAGAATTTGAAAATTTGACTTGAAAATAATAAAAAATCATCAAAATATAGCATAGAAATTCTAATCTTAGTGAATTTATATTCATCTATAATATATATAGAGGCCCATGGGCCACTACCTGTATTAAAAAGGTTCTCTAAAAAAAGTGTGTCAATGACATTTTTTCTGGTCCCCTGAATTTTGATGTAGAGACAAATGTTCCCCAGCCCATGATCCACAGACCAGCACCAGTCTGCAGACGTTTTGTGTCAGTCTGCGGGAAATTTTCCTCAGCATAATTAATAAAAAAGCAATAAAGTCTGTTATTTGTATCTGAAATTTCAGAAAGATAATTGCAGTTTGAATTATATGATGAAAAATGAAAGTTGGCTTTTCTCCAAATAAAACTTTAGGCAAATTTTTGCTTGCTGAACTAAATTATTTTAATTATTATTCAGAGAAACCTTTCTTCAAGCTGAATTTTCTAATTTTTTGAAGACATTCCCCTGTACTGTAGCTACTTCATTAGTTCTTGGCTTAATTTTTTCAATAAAGGAAACACTTTTTTGATACCTCCCATGAAGTCTTTCAAGCAAAACATTTTTGAGTCTGCAAAAATGTTATGAAACTTGGCCTGTGTGCAGAAAATTTTCTGGTCTGTGGGCCAAAAAAGTTAATTGAACAGTGGTACAGACTATAGATTATAAAGTGTCCACTTGTACTGTAGTAAGGCGACCAGGGGATGCATATTTCCAGTAAGGTGTTGATGACTTATTCTAGGGGAGGGACTTCTGTTGTCTGGCACCAGCCAAACTATAACATATAGCAGGGAGTTTTCCTCAACTTTTTGAAGTGCTTCATTTGGTATCTGCAAATATCTCACAAACTAACCCATTTTTCAGATTTCATTGAAAAATAAAGTTGACCATGGGATACTTGTGCAGCAAACAAGCATCCACATCTTTGAGGTTGTTGAATGTTTGGGGTTTGAGGACTTGATTGCCTGGGAGGGAAGTAGTTTTTTTGACTGGTGCTAGCCAAACAGTCACATATGGCTGGGGGTTCTCCCAAAATTTTTTCAAATTTTATCTCAGGCCTGGAGCAGCAAAATTTTTGGCTGCTCCGGGCCTGAGATAAAATTTGGCTGCTCCAGGCTCCGCTCCGGCTAAAATTTATCTGCTCTGGCTCTGCTCCAAGTCCCTGGTTTCTTTGGAATAGGAGTGTCTCAAGAAATTGATATAATTAACGAAGTGATGTATCAGTGAATTGAATTTATCAAGGAAAAAAAAATGTCAGCAGTGAGTTTGGAATATTATGAGACATGGTGCTGTTTGTTGTTCCGCGAATCTTCATTTCCAGATAATTTTTGCCTTGATCAATAAATGAAATCATGAGAGTATTTTCTTCCAATTTTAGGGTTGTCTTCTGTGTAAATTTGTTAGCTCCACAAATACTGTCTTTGGAAAGTATTGGACGAATAGCAAGGTACTATAATTCAAACCTCGATACAGTATTTTGTGCCAGTGAAAAAAGCTTCTGCTCAAGTTTGAAGAACATTCATTTCAATATCTAGGCCACTCTTGAATTACAATGAAAGCATCACTGATTTCTAAAACTTGATGTAGGCTTCTTGCAAAGTTGAATCTGCTTGTATGATGCAAGTGNTTCCGCACCTGTATAGTCTCTTTTCAAAGTGGCAATTCAAAGTGGAATCATATTCCATACCTGTATACCCATTTATTTGAACCCATGACTGTCGTTGTTCCAGGGAACCCGAACCACTTGCGGATGGGACACAAGCACATGTCCTCCTCGCACCCTCCCATCTACGTGAGTGCCCCGATCCTCAAGCGACGCATTGGAAGGATGACGTGTCAGGAATGCGTCGCCATGTCTGCGAAGGTCTACGAGGCTACAAAAAGCACGTGGATGAAGTATGGCTCTGACGAGGCCAACCGAGACAACTGGACCATGACCAACAACTCGACCACAGTGCCGGCTGGAGTGGACAAGTTTTGGCGCTACTTCCTCGCCAACAGGCTGACGGAATTGACGCCGCAGAATAATAAGGTCCGTTTGCGCAAAAATGATATCCCGAGGAGTTGGAAAAGGATCACTGTGTCCGAAGTGATTTCTGGTTTGAAAAGTACTGACTAGCAATGTGGAGATTTTTGAGAGGAACTTTTATTTCGCTGAATTGTTTTGCTGGGCTATCAAAAAACGTATCCTCTGCACAATTGCACTGTGTCTTTGTCTGATATGAATCATCAGCTAGCGGAGATGCCGAGATGATTCATTTCTGTGTTCAGTTCAGGTATAATAACTTCAATGAAAAAGTAAATCCGCAATTGCAGTGATTGACCTTGTTATTTATTGAGGCGTGCTTGTGAAAAAAAAGAATTGCCTTTTTACGTGGGGTTTAGAACAGGGACTTGGAGTATGGTAAAAAAAATTTTGCTCCGCTCCGCTCTGGACACAATCACCTGCTCCGCGCTCCAGGCTGGTGCTCTGCTCCAGTGCTCTGGAGCTCCAGACACTCTTCAGGACCACTGACTAGTACACTAAAATCCCTTGTTATAAAATATTTTGCAAAAACAATTTTTCTTGGTCCCAGCAGCAGTTGTTCCATAGGAACAATGCTATAAAAATTTTATTTTTGCAAACTAATTTTCATCAATAATCTCAATATATAGAATTTTGCTTTGATTATATGTGTGCTCTAAAGGAAATACAAATTTTCAATAATTGACTCAGAATTTGAAAATTTGACTTGAACATAATAAAAAATCATCAAAATATAGCATAGAAATTCTAATCTTAGTGAATTTATATTCATCTATAATATAGATAGAGGCCCATATGGGCCACTACCTGTATTAAAAAGGTTCTCTAAAAAAAGTGTCTCAATGACATTTTTTCTGGTCCTCTGATTTTTGATGTAGAGACCAATGTTCCCCAACCCATGATCCACAGGCCAGCACCAGTCTGCAGATGTTTTGTGCCAGTCTGCGGGAAATTTTCCTCAGCATAATTAATAAAAAAGCAATAAAGTCTGTTATTTGTATCTGAAGTTTCAGAAAGATAATTGCAGTTTGAATTATATGATGAAAAATGAAAGTTGGCTTTTCTCCAAATAAAACTTTAGGCAAATTTTTGCTTGCTGAACTAAATTATTTTAATTATTATTCAGAGAAACCTTTCTCTAATTTTTTGAAGACATTCCACTGTACTGAAGCTATTCCATTGGTTCTTGGCTTAATTTATTCAATAAAGCAAACACTTATTTGATTCCTCCCATAAAGTCTTTCAAACAAAACATTTTTGAGTCTGCAAAAATGCTATGAAACTTTGCCTGTGTGCATAAAATTTTCTGGTCTGTGGGCCAAAAAATTTGATTGAACAGTGGTACAGACTATAGATTATAAAGTGTCCACTTGTACTGTACTGCAGTAAGGCAACCAGTGGATGCATATTTCCAGTAAGGTGTTGATGACTTATTCTAGGGGAGGGACTTCTGTTGTCTGGCACCAGCCAAACTATAACATGTAGCAGGGAGTTTTCCTCAACTTTTTGAAGTGCTTCATTTGGTATCTGCAAATATCTCGCAAACTAACCCATTTTTCAGATTTCATTGAAAAATAAATACAAGTTGACCATGGGATACTTGTGCAGCAAACAAGCATCCACATCTTTGAGGTTGTTGAATGTTTGGGGTTTGAGGACTTGATTGCCTGGGAGGGAAGTAGTTTTTTTGACTGGTGCTAGCCAAACAGTCACATATGGCTGGGGGTTCTCCCAAAATTTTTCAAATTTTATCTCAGGCCTGGAGCAGCAAAATTTTTGGCTGCTCCGGGCCTGAGATAAAATTTGGCAGCTCCAGGCTCCGCTCCGGCTAAAATTTATCTGCTCTGGCTCTGCTCCAAGTCCCTGGTTTCTTTGGAATAGGAGTGTCTCAAGAAATTGATATAATTTACGAAGTGATGTATCAGTGAATTGAATTTATCAAGGAAAAAAAAATGTCAGCAGTGAGTTTGGAATATTATGAGACATGGTGCTGTTTGTTGTTCCGCGAATCTTCATTTCCAGATAATTTTTGCCTTGATCAATAAATGAAATCATGAGAGTATTTTCTTCCAATTTTAGGGTTGTCTTCTGTGTAAATTTGTTAGCTCCACAAATACTGTCTTTGGAAAGTATTGGACGAATAGCAAGGTACTATAATTCAAACCTCGATACAGTATTTTGTGCCAGTGAAAAAAGCTTCTGCTCAAGTTTGAAGAACATTCATTTCAATATCTAGGCCACTCTTGAATTACAATGAAAGCATCACTGATTTCTAAAACTTGATGTAGGCTTCTTGCAAAGTTGAATCTGCTTGTATGATGCAAGTGGAATACATAATTTGAATCACGGCAAGTCGCATTCATCAAGCGTGAAGTTGTCTATAATGGCAATAGGGAAAGAAATTTGGCTGCTGAATAACATGGGTCATTCCTATAGAGAGAAAACAAGAAATTTGGCACCAACCTTCAGGACGGAATAGAATCTTTTTAATATCCCTACGATTCATCAACTGACAACATACTTCAAACATTGGCAAAGATATGCACTTATCATTCAATTCAATGCACTCATAAAAATCGCGCGTATCACAGAAACCCGGGAAGCAAGAGTTGTCATAAGCAACCTCACACAACTTGAACACAATTTTCCCGATAGAATTTGTCGACCAAACAAAATACGAAGTGCCAAGAAAAAAGGCTGGAGCACGTTCTGACAACTGTTTCCCTTTTCTTTTGAAATCTGTCGATCCTGTTTTTCTTCTTCTTCTGAGTCTTGATATCCATGAAGGAATCAAATGGCTTCGTATGAATTAAGGACCTCTCTTTCACAGCTGTAAATTTTTTGCAAGCAGACTCCTCTGCGTTGGAATTTCAGAAGCAAAAAAAACAACATTCCAATATTTTTGGCATCATTCAAAATTTCTCCATGGCCACGACCGCAATTAACCCCCACTTTGTTTTTCTCCGAAAACAAAAATTACCTCTGGATGAGAATACCATCATTTCTTCCCATAATGAAGCAATTCGAAAATCAACACATGACACCTGAATTTCCAGGGGAGGGGAAAAACAACAAAGAACCAGTTCCTGATTTGGAGTAAGCTCAGGTATTCACTCGTGATGGTTCTTTAAGGCTGCACCACAAAAGAAGCTGCATGGGAAACCATAAGGCAACAATTTCAGGTCTCGATTCGCACCCACTTGTGCAAAGCACTTCTCTGCTGCATGATCCTCCGCAAATTTCTCAGGAAATCTGAATCTCTCATGAGAAATGAAAATAATTCATGGCAACTGCAATAATCCAAGCGGCAAAAAATCCTTGCAGGCAGGTTATTGGTGCACATGGCCGAACTGCTTCTGACGAAGCTGGAATCGTGTTATGCACCAGATCCTCATCCCTGCGTATGGTGGGACGAGGCGAGAACCCGGGTTTGCGTCGGTTTCCGAGCCCAGTTGGGTAATTTTTCGGCCATGGCCACGTGGTTGTCCGTTGGGGAGCCGGCGACGTCGTGCGGGGCTTCCAGGAATCCATTGGCCGACGTCGCACAGTAACAGCGACAGATGTCGTTACTGCCTGTTTAGCGGTGCTTGTTTCGGTGGGTTCAACGCGTTGCGCAGGCGTTGACTCATTCAACAGAACAGGTTGCACAGTCGCGGATGTCAATCCTCGCGTGGTATTTCTTCCTGATGAGCACGATCCTACGAGAAAAAATTGAAAATAAATAAATATTCGACTACAACCGCGTTCTTCTTGCTCGGGTGAAATACTGTACATCAGAGAACACAGAACGGCGCTGTACGCAAATGACAGACATTAGCTACCTAGAAAAACGATTTCCGATTTTAAAAAATAGTGAAAAGTGTTCTGCATTGAAATATAGAGGTCAGAAAATAATATTAAAAAAGCGAGGTCAGAAATTAATTTGAATTAGGGAGAAAAGTTTCCAATTGAAAAAATATGTCAATTGAAATTCGTAGCTGACTAAACTGACGCGCACCTCGTTCTTTGCTCCATTTTTTTTTGGAAATAAAGGTGCGCGTGGTACTCGATTAAATGTGTGGTACTTGGGTAAA